TTACTAAGATGATGATGGAGAGTGGGAAATTGACCAAGGCGCAGAAGGTATGGATTTTTTTTCTTCCTGTTTATGATTGGTGTGGGGTGTGTTGAGAAGGTCGACTAACTGAATATTAGAACATGTCTCTCGTTCTGGACCACCTCCGCACCTCCTCTCCTCCCCAGATTAACCCCCGTCGCCGTCTTCTCGGAGCTCCCCCTGCATCTCAGCTCCCCCTCGACCCCGTCCTCTACCTCACTCTCGTTGTCGACTCCGTGGCGCCTCTCTTCCGAATTCGTCAGCAGAAGGGTATCGCCGGTGGTGGTACTGCCGTGCAGATCCCCCACCCATTGACTCTGCGCCAGCGCCGCCGTACCGCTATCAAGTGGATTCTCGATGCATCTGATAAGCGACGTGATGCGCTGTTTGCGAACCGTGTTGCGGCTGAGGTGGTGGCTGTTGCTGAGGGTCGTAGCGGTGTCTGGGAGAAGAGGGACCAGCAGCACAAGATTGGTATCTCTGGTCGTGCGAACTTGAATACTAACGTTCGTCGCTAAATTGGCCCCTTTTATCGGCTTGTATTTCTTCTATCTGGGTTTTGGGGTTTGTCTTGTATCTCTGAGCATTTCTGCATATGTACATTTATCTAGTCTGGTCAAACAAAATTGACTTTTATTCTTCATGGACTTATGGTATTCTCCGAGACATGTACTACACAACTTTAATCCTTGGAATTTGACATATGCCACGGAGTTTTTAATGTGGCTTATGATCTCTCAATATCATTGCCCTACATACAACATAGGTATGGCTTACTCCCTAGTGTTACATTTTCTATTATTGGAGGACCACCTGCCCTGAATCAAACTTACTTGCACACCTTGCATATTAATTGCTTCTATACATCAACCCTATCTTGTTCTCTGTGACAGCTCTCCCCAGTGCTTTGTATAGACCATTCTCTGATAGGCCCCCGCCAAGCAGCACGCTTACCTAATATACAGCTTAGCTTGAAGCGCAAACCTGTTCTTGGAGTCGGAGAAAGAAAAAAGCCAAAAAAAAACCCAATACGTTCAATATTCTACATATCTACAGCATCGGGGTACATTCCAACCGAATACACGATACACCTCTAATCAGTGCAGCGCCCCGTTTTATCATTGCCGACTTGACCATCACCCAGTGCAACCCCAAAGCGCCAGCTGACCCGGAATTCTCGACCCTCTTCACGACCCCACCCACGATAGAGCCCACTTCTACATTCCCCTCGCTCTGGCACCTCTCTCGACTCTTTGGATGACCTAGGCCGACTACCCTCCGGCCCCCTCCCTCGACGGTGGCTCCTACCTCGCATTCCGATTCCATTGAACTTGTCGAGTACAACCCTAACTCCCACCCGGCTCCCACAAGCGCATCTGGCTCCGCTCGCTCAGACCGGTATCAAGAAAGCGCTGGGCGGTTAGACCCTTCCGCCAACTCGCACCCGCTTGCGGATCTTGATATCGTTGGGGAATCACAGGAGAAGACATTAGAGTTTGACCAGCCTCAGGGCTCCTCTCGTCTTCGGTTCTGGGCGGAGGCTCTCCGACGTCGCGCTCATAACGCATCGCACGGGAACGTCGATCCTGATTCCAAAGCCAAGATGAAGTTCTCGCATAGTGTGCAGTTTAACGCTGTGCCCGATTGGAGCTCGAATTACATCGCGTACAGCAATTTGAAGAAATTGTAAGTTGTTGGTTGGTTTTAACTTGGTTCATGGGCTGCGTGGATGTGATTGTGTGTACATGCAGATTCGGGAATCTGGATTGGTGTCACATTGCACAGGATCGATGCGTTGGGTCGGATAATTGTTTTAAATGGGTGCTGACGTTGCATCGTGACCAGGATCTACACCCTTGAGAAACAGCTCAATCGCATTGAGGGACCGGCCACTACAGATGTAGAATCTGCTCCGCTGCTTGGTGCTGAACCGAGTAACCCGGATGCAGTTTTTAAACGGGCTCTTGATGTTGAGATGGAGAAGATCTGTTCCTTCTATCGGAAGAAGGAGGCGGAGATTTTTGAACTCGCGAATGAGCTCTTTAAAGACGCCGATGTATATCTTTCCGAGACTGACGGTGTCAATATGGACCCCGTCAGTGAGACAATCATCAAGGCAAGCTCCCGCCGCGACAATAATGCCCCGATCCCGCGTCGGCGGTCTAGTGCTGTGAGCAATGACTCGCTGGCCGATGACGAAGGAGAAGGTGGTGATAGTGACGATGACCGGTCCCCGATGGTCCCCCCACAGCGTCGGAGATTGTTGCAGTCGACCGATGGCGAGTCTGGTACAGACGACCATGATATGGTGGAGTCTTCCTACTTTGGACAGTCGACTACGCGAGAAACGCACGACTCGCATCTCAACGACGAGGATTTCCTCGCTCTTTACAACACCGGTGTATCGTTGAAGAAGCGCCTGATCGAATGCTACGTCTCGCTTTGCGAACTTCGCTCTTTCATCGAGTTGAACAAGACTGGTTTCGCCAAGGCACTGAAGAAGTATGACAAAACCTTGGATCGCAGCCTGCGCCGGGACTATCTAGCTTCTGTTGTCCACCCGGCGCCTCCTTTCACCGACAGCACCATGGCTGAAATCGACCGGCATATTGAGAACGTGGAGGGTGTGTATGCGAGCATCGTCACGAAAAACAACAGGCAGTTTGCTAGACGCGAGCTGCGTCTGCATTTGCGTGAGCATGTCGTCTGGGAGCGGAATACCGTTTGGCGTGAAATGATCGAGATCGAACGTCGTGCGCAGGCCGCCAATGTTGGTATTCGCCGGACCCTTCTGGGCGGTGATGAGGACCCGGCCACTGCACGGCGCCAGGGTGACAAGAACGAGATCCGCACCCAGGAGATGTCAACGCCGCTTGGTCGGTTCCAGTTCCCGTCATGGCTTTGCAGCTTGAGCTTTGGTACGCTGGTATTTAGTATTGCTCTCTTCGGTACAATGCTTTCCGTGAACGTGATGGAGACTCCCGAGGAGCAGAATTGCTTGGCTATGTTGGTCCTCGTCAGTGTCTTGTGGGCCACTGAGGTATGTGATAGTGTTTATTTATTTCTGCTCACATCGAATGCTAACATCGAGTGATAGGCTATTCCGCTGTTTGTCACTTCGCTTCTTATTCCGTTCCTAGTCGTGACTCTAGGTATCATGCGGTCAGACGAGGAGCCTTCCGTGCGGTTGGGACCCAAGGAATCAGTCGGCAAGGTGTTCTCGGCGATGTGGACTCCTGTGATTATGCTGCTCCTAGGTGGTTTCTCAATTGCAGCAGCACTGTCCAAGCACGATATCGCACGACGCATGGCCATGTTCGTCCTGAGCAAAGCCGGATCGAAGCCATCTATAATGTTGTTGACCAACATGTTTGTAAGCATGTTCCTGAGCATGTGGATCAGTAATGTTGCATCTCCCGTGCTCTGCTACTCGATCATCCAGCCTTTGCTGCGCAACATGCCTCCCGAGTCGGACTTTGCTAAGGCACTGGTGTTGGGTATCGCGTTAGCCGCCAACGTTGGTGGTGCAGCGTCCCCAATTGCCTCGCCCCAGAACATCATTGCCCTGCAGAACATGGAACCGAACATCAGCTGGGGTACATGGTTCTTCATCGCACTGCCCGTCTGCATCATCTCCATTCTCCTTATCTGGGTTCTGCTGCTGGTGACCTTCCGCCCGGGCCGCAACGCCACCGTCATACCTATCCGCCCTGTCAAGGACCGCTGGACCGGCATGCAGTCCTTCATCAGCATCGTCACCCTCCTGACCATCGTCCTCTGGTGCGCCAGCCACCAACTCGAACACATCTTCGGCGACATGGGCGTCATCGCTATCATCCCTCTCGTCCTCTTCTTCGGAACCGGTATCCTTAATAAAGAAGACTTCAACAACTTCCTCTGGACAATCATCATCCTCGCCGCCGGTGGTCTGTGCCTCGGCAAGGCTGTCACCTCATCCGGCTTACTGCACACAATCGCAATGGGAATCACCGCCCGCGTTGAGAACCTCAGTCTGTACAGCGTCCTCTTGGTCTTCTGCTCCCTCATCCTTGTCATGGCCACCTTCATCTCGCACACTGTCGCCGCCCTTATCATCCTGCCCCTTGTCCGTCAGATCGGCGTTAGCATGGAGAATCCTCACCCCAACTTGTTGGTCATGGCCAGTGCATTGATGTGCTCTGTTGCAATGGCTTTGCCCACGAGTGGATTCCCTAATATGAGTATGTCCTTCTCTTCCTTCAGCTCACTTGTCCTGAGCTTCCTGCTAACTTGTCTCTCTTAGCCGCTATCATGACAGAAGTACCCCAGACAGGCCAGCGATACCTCCAAGTCCGCCATTTCCTCACTCGCGGCATCCCGGCCAGTCTCATGTCCTTTGTGGTAATTGTCACCCTTGGATATGGACTGATGTATGTTGCGGGATTGTAGAATATGGTATGGTGGGATGGTCTTGTGATCTTTTGGAAAGAGTTTGCAGTTTGCAGCTTTTCTTTTTGGTTAGATCGGTTTATATACTCGGCATAAACAAAGAAATCGGAAGATATATGGTTTGGGTATCCTACCTATTCTTTTTGTTAGTGTTAGTGTTATTTAGATTCATTGTATTTAATTTTCTTCGCTTCGTTATGTCTGGTGTGTGGTTTTCTGTTGGGATTGGATTGCACAAATGAATATAGGTCACTATATAGTAGATGAGATGCCTAGGTAGGTATGATAGTAGTTACACCTGTCCGACTTCCTTTTTCAAGAAATATGGACGCCTGGATGACGTCTCCTCTTTACTACGTACTTCTGGATCATAAAGAAGAGAATAATAACACACAAAAAGCCTAGTTCATTATCCCAGTTCTCCCAACCCCAGATACTTTATAAGACTAAAAGCCAACGGGTCCCCCAGGTGTTCATCGAGATGAGATAGGACAAGCAGATATAGAAGCGAGGTATAACCCCTCTTTCCTATTTCCTAAACAGCAGCAAGATCAATTACTAGATCGTCAGTCAGTGAAAAGCACCAACAGGAACATGCAAGCCAAGTTAATAGCGACAGGGAAGGAAGAAGGTTAGACATGAGCAAAAGGGAAAAAAAAATACTAACAGTAAACCAATCGTCAAATCCCCATGAATCTTCGCCTTAAGCTGAACCTCAATATCCAAATTCAAGTCCAACCGCAACCGAAGCTGCTCATCCCGTCCACCATCTTCTTCCTCCTTTTTCTCCCCGCCGACAATCCCGCCAACTGCCTTGCCCGCACTACTAGTCGCCCCGTTCACGGCATTCCCCGCGGTGTTCTGTACGAGCTGGCCGGTCTGGTCGACGCCACCAACGCCCGGGAGTCCGTTGAGCGGATTGCCGCTGCCGTTTTGTTGTTCTTGTGACTGGCTCTGGCGTTGGCGCTGGCGACGGACGCGTCGCTGGGGTTTAGGGTCTGGTTCCATTTCGCTGCGGGCGATGGATTCGGTTTCTGATTCTTGGGGGCGGGGACGAGGTCTACGACGGCGACGTTCGGGTTGGGGTTGGGGTTGGGGTTCTGGATCTGGGTCTGCTTCGTCTTCTTGTTGTTCTGGCTCAGGCTCAGGCTCAGGCTCAGGCTTAGAGTCTGGTTCTTGTTCTTGTTTATTGGCGGGTTCTTCGGGCTTGGTGTCGTTTTCTTTGGGTTGTTTGTTTTGGTCCTGGTCTTGTTCCGAGGATGGAGGGGTTTGTTCTTGGTTGGCAGGAGATTTTGTGGTTGTTGAGTCGGGGTTAGGGGTGGGAGGTTGTTCTTGATCGGACATGTTGGAAATCAAAGAACCAGAAGAAGGTGGTTAAAACGGGATAAATATGAATGTACTATGTAATAGTGCGTATAGTGTAGTGATGTAGATTACCCAACCATTTATATCATCAGAGCCACTAGGCATATAAAACCGGACCTCGTAAATTGAAATCTAACCGCCTCCGACGTCAGATTGGAATGATGTGGTTTTGAGGGTCCATATCAGATGTTGGGTTGAGACCCTCAGTAAATCAAGATGGGTACCTAGGTACTGCATGGGGAATATCAATATCAAAAACGGAAAAGACGTATGACACCCGGGACAAGGATCAAGACGTGGAGTAGTCCGTATGGAGCAACAAATTTGTATATCATCGGAAAATAATAGCCACCGAGTTTGACGTGCCAATCAGGTGAATTTAGTGCATTGACGATCTCCACTGAAGTAGAATGAAGTAGATGAAATAGATGAAGTAGACGTAAGACCTCTGACATCAAGATCTTCATAGTAAAAAATAAATTAAATAAATAAAAATAACCAGCCAATAACATAAGCACTTTTGTTCCTGGATTTTATTCCATTTGGTTCAGGCCACGAGTGGGATAAAGCGGATTATACAATTGGCCACTTGGGACTTGTGGACACACGGCCATTGTGACAGTTCTATCCAGATATTCTCTGACAATGACGATGGTGGAGGGGAGAAGTTGGAGAGGAACAGCCTCCAACGTCATGTCCCTTGATATGGTGTCGCCATTTATCCTTCCACCTTGAATCATATTCCGTTTTGATTTATGTTTAAACCCATTTCTATATTCTATACTTCCATAAACTAGTCCCCTCTCATCCATCACACCCATCATGGCAACCGTTGAAAAGACCAAACAGCCCAAGAAACTTCCTATCCAAGAGGACCTCTCCGACGGTGAAGACTATGACAGTGCCGACGACTACACCGATGACTACACTGACGAGGAATATGAGGAGGTACCACAACCCCAGACCCAAAAGGGAAAACAACTGCAAAAGAAACCCCTACCGAAACAGAAACAACCCGTTCAACAATACGACGATGACGAATACACGGACGGATCTGAATACGGCTCCGACGAGTACGAATACTCAGACGACGATGAAGCCGTGCAGCCCTACTCAAATGAAAATTCCAACTTCAAGCCCAACGGAGGCATGGACGTCCTTCACAAGAAGGAAAAGTCAATGCTGGACGAGGAAGGCATGAAGTTAAGATTGGAACTGAATCTGGAAATCGAGGTCGAGCTCAAGGCACGCATCCACGGTGACCTCACCCTAGCTCTCATGTAAGTAATATCCGATGACCCTTTGGAGAATGTCTTTGCTCAAAGACCGAATTAGGAGTTGATCGTGTTATATCAACAATAGGGCTTGATCACCCAATTATCCATTCTGGCTCCATTGCCAATAAATATCATGAAGATCCGACGTCGCCACGAGTGATCCTTTTTTTCAATTGAAGCATTGATTCGATGCATTTCATAGAGCCGTGTTTCTTGATTTAATATCTTTCCATTTGTTTGGGATCTTTTTCTTTTCTGCAATGATGTTCCTGGTCGGCGTGCAGGGTCAAGAGGATGCAAATACACCGGAGTGTATATGTTGTACTGCCATGTGTATTCCTTGGGCAATCACTTGAATGTTGTTGAATTCATTTTTTGCAACAGTGCAGAAGCAATAGTGCAGAAATGTAATAGTAACAGTGTGTAGTGTAGTAGTGTGGTGTGATGAACATCAAGTGTCATGGCGGAAACTGTGAAGCCGAGGCCGGGGTCTTGGCGCAGTTTTCGACTGACCCGCTGTGTTAACAACTCCCCTCTTACATTCTACTTAGTATTATTCAATACTCGGTTCATTTTCCAATTGTCTCACTGGTTCTTCACAATTAAATTGACCCCGTACACCTCTCCCACCCAATACCACCCAATACCACCGCCACCATGTCGTCCAAAGACTTCATAATCAAGCACATGAACGCTGACCACCAAGACTCCCTCGGACTATTCCTACAAGCTTACTGCGGTATCACATCCACCCAAGCCAAAAACGCCCAGTTGGAAGAACTCAGCACCTCAACCCTGATCATCACCGCTCATGGTACCCGCTACAGCGTCCCCATCGAACCCCCTATGAAGAATTACTCCGAGGCACGTGGTCGAATGGTCGCCATGCACAAGGAGAGTCTAAAGCGTCTGGGCCGCAGCGAGATCACACTTACCGAGTACCGTGCCCCGCGCGGCATCCAGGCCGTGATCTTTGTGCTGTGTTTGTTGTTCTACGTCACCTGCTTCCTGCGCAGCAACCTGCAACCCGGCTCCGATCTCTACGAGTACTTGGGACTCCAGCATGTGCCTTGGTTTCCGCGTCTCGTCTGCATTGCCCAGCCGTTTGTCGTGCTCATTCATATCATTGAGACCACCGCGCTGATTGTGACTCAATTGAAGCCGCTGAATGTGCCTGTTCTGTCTGGTTTGTGGTGGAAGTGGGTTGCGTCGTGTTTTGTTGAGGGGTACGGTTCGTTCTCGCGCATTAAACAATTCGTGAAGGAGCAGAAGGCGAAGAGCGGAAAGAGCCAGTAGAGGGTAGTAGCATGGGCAGGTAATGGTGACACGTGAAATTACTGGCGGAGAAAGTCGATCATTTGTATTTGTACAGAATTCAGGATTACCAGATAACTGGGAATTGACACAATTAAAGGTTCAATGCTGTACAACGTTAGGATGTAAATGGCTTGGAAATGGTTAGATTATGGTTGATGGGCCCCTTCCAGATCATGGGATTACGGTTGTAACACGTGACTACATTCTGAGTCAGCCAATATACATCACCTGACTGATCCAGTGACTGATCCAGTGACCGATCCAGTGACTGGGGCCACTAACCCCAATCTGGCCTAGTGTCGGTTAGGGCACTACACAAGCGAGCGACACAGTGCGCCCTGCGAAATTCAGCGACTCCACGACCTCAAACTCCCACGACAACCCTACGACAACTAATCTGTGTTTCTGGTGAAGGGCTGCACATTTAGAGGTGAGTTATCCGGCTATCTCAACTCCTGCAAGGTCTCTTTCGAAAAATTCTGTTTCGCTCGCTGCGCCCATCAATTTCGATCATCGGTATTCAATTCCTCCACATTCAACTTTCGACCCTGTCTCGCTTTCAATGGTCATTCAACCACTCCGCAACTACCGTCGCCCAACTGTTCGATATTAGAAGATTGATTTTGTACGGCGCTCGCGACGAAACAGAAGGATTGAAAGGGCAAAAAAAGAAAAGAAACAAACCTGTTAAAAGGTCCACAAATCAACAACATCTAACCTGTGTCCGTCGACTTAGACCCCTCCATCAATCGCAAACATGGGTATTTCTCGGGATTCTCGCCACAAGCGCAGCGCCACCGGTGCCAAGCGCTCTCACTACCGCAAGAAGAGGTACGATTCTATCCACCCAGCATGAGGTCGAATATTTCTTTCATTTGGAGGAAGGAAAAAAAAAGGATTCGATATACCAGTTTCAGATTCTTACATGTCTTCGTTCTACAGAGCGTTCGAGAAGGGTCGTCAGCCCGCCAACACCCGTATTGGCACCAAGCGCATCCACCTTGTCCGCACCCGTGGTGGTAACCAGAAGTTCCGTGGTCTCCGTCTCGAGTCCGGTAACTTCTCGTGGGGCTCCGAGGGTATCTCCCGCAAGACCCGTGTCATTGGAGTGTCCTTCCACCCCTCCAACAACGAGCTGGTCCGCACAAACACCTTGACCAAGTCGGCCGTTGTCCAGATTGACGCTGCCCCCTTCCGTCAGTGGTACGAGGCTCACTACGGCCAGCCCATCGGCCGTAGACGCCAGCAGAAGGCCGAGGCTACCGAGGAGGAGAAGAAGTCCGCCTCCGTCGCCAAGAAGCAGGCTGCCCGCTTCGCCGACTCCGGTAAGACTGAGTCTGCTATCGAGCGCCAGTTCGAGTCCGGTCGTCTTTTCGCCGTTGTTGCCTCGCGCCCCGGCCAGTCCGGCCGCTGTGACGGTTACATTCTGGAGGGTGAGGAGCTTGCTTTCTACCAGAAGGCTATCCGCAAGTAAACGAAAAAATAAAATATTCGGTTGTTGCAACGGGTGGATCGGAGTTTCAGCTATGTCATGATCAGAGCATCCACAGGATGCAATTTGTCTGTAGAGCTCTGAGCCGTCAAATCCATGGGAATTGTTCCTAGTTTCATCTCTTCTTTGATAGTTGGCATTCCTTGTAGTGAGCTTGTGTAGTGAGCATACAAGTGTCGAGTATCGTGACTCTTGGAATATTATATTGTCGACAACCTGCGGTATGGGGTCCTTGGACCTAGGTATAGGTGATTAACATACAAGTACTGTGGAAGATACTAGTTTGATGTTTCAATTTATTCTTTTATAAAACATATCAATACGCTTTTTATCAAGTCTAGATCCTTTAAACATACAACATAGAAGAGAAGAACAATCTCCGGGGGTCCTTCCCGGGCCCGAGCTCGATGCTTATCCATGTCTCTCCCCCGCAGCCCAATCTTCCCTCTTCCCTCTTCCCTCAAACAACCAACATGTCGACCATCAAAACCCGCATCTGCATGATATCAGACACACATACAGCCTCTCTACACCCACCCCAAAGAACAGACAATGCCTACCGCTATCCCCTCCCAAAAGCAAACATCCTCCTCCACGCCGGCGACCTCACAAAAGTGGGGTACCGCGTCGAGCACGAAGCAATGATCGCCATGCTCTCCGACGCAGACGCCGAGCTCAAGCTCGTAATAGCAGGAAACCACGACATAACCCTAGACGAAGAATACTTCACGACCTTCGGCTACAAACGCCACAAACATGCAGAGAAACTAGGCAAAGAATCCATCCTACTCTCAGACGATAACCTCCAAACAACCCTCCGCACCTCCTCAACCAAGAACCCAAACACAGACTCTCTAAAAGCCTACGTGCGCTCCATAAAATCCCTCTGGACGAGCGATGCCGCCCGAAATGCAGGAATCATCTACCTAGAAGAAGGAACCCATTCCTTCACTCTCTCAACAGGCGCAACATTCACTCTCTACGCATCTCCCTACCAACCAGAATTCTATAACTGGGCTTTCGCATACCCCCGCGATCAAGACAGATATAACCCCGCCCCCCGCTGCCCACCCACAACCTCAAAATCCAATCCCGGACTACCCGGCCATCGACATCCTCCTAACCCACGGCCCGCCCGTCGGAATCCTGGATCAGGTCCCGCCTGATATGAACGTTGGGTGTGAACATCTCCTCCGTGCAGCGCGGCGCGCAAAGCCGCGACTACATCTCTTCGGTCATATTCATGAAGGGTGGGGTGCGCAGCGTGGGGTGTGGGATGACGAGGCCGGTGATGGTATCAAGCTTGAAGATGTGCCGACGGATGTGGAGGAGATGCTGGAGAATCGGGGCGCGTTTTATGATGTTAGTGCAGGGGCGGAGCGGCCGCTGCGGGTTGGGGAGGAGACGCTGTTTGTTAATGGGAGTATTATGACAGTTAATTACCAGGCGAGGAATGCGCCGTGGGTGGTGGATTTGGAGCTTCCTGTTTCTGGGGAATAGATGTTGGTGGTTTATTGTTCGGTGATTATGCATAAATTACTGGACTATAGTAGGAGGTTGGTGTTGGTGTTGGGGGAGATAACTAGAGAGACTGGGTTGTAGCCGGATATATATTTACCAAGGGCTAGGATGAAGATGTATGCACACGGAGAGAAATATCAATTGAGAATTACTACAACCAAGAATAGTAGTGAGTAATAATATAATAATACCTAATCATAGTCATTTCGTTCTATATATACGCAGTACAGCACAAGAAATAGCTACGAAGAAAACCCTCTGAACCACCACAGTAGGATCACCCGAGAAACAGAAACATAAATAGAAATAAAAGCAGATAAAAATCAAATCATAAGGCCAAAAGAAATAAACATAAGAAACTTAACCTGCAACTCCATATCCCTAAGAAGTAAGACCCCTCTTAAGGAGCACCACCAAGACCTAGAATATTGGTTAGCTTCCAGAAAGACATCATACTCTACCCAATAGACTAACCAGCAACAAATGCAAGGTACCAAGTACGCGTAGCGCCACCATCAATCCAGCTATAGTCGAAGTTCGGCTGTGTAAAGAATTCCCACGACGCTTTGGGATCGATGAGGGCCAGGTTGGCGTATAGCACACCCCTCCATCCGCCCTCCACCTTGGAAGCTGGGGTCGAGGCATTTTCAGCGAACATAGCCTGCCATTCCTGGTGCACGAATTCCTTTCGGCGTGTGAAAGGGCTGTGAGGCATCAGCGGTAGCATGTGGATACTATGGTGTTTTGTTAGCAATCGTTCATAATTCAGAGTGAAACGATAGCGCGGTCGATGGTATACATACCCTTGGATGAATTCGAGGTTAGCGCCGAAGTAAGTCGTGTGATCGACTTTGTTCTCGAAGAGCTGTTTTGGACGTGTCAGTGTCGAGTTTGCGTTAGATATGAATTGGGGACAGTGGTCCTTACAATTCCAGTTACTTTGTTTCCGATAAAGTTTGCTGGCTGGTTGACATTGTCATCCTCCATCAAGAAGTAGTTATTGAGCGACCGACCCAGGATGCCGAGCATGACGTTGCCACGAGCTTCCATGCTAGCATCGCCGGTCGTCTGTCCCCACATCTTGATCGCGTACGCGAACATGGTATCTTCGGATGTCGATTCCTGATCCTTTCCATCGAAAGACTCGAATAAACCCTTCGCCCACGAGTGTCCGTTATACCAATCGAACGAGCGCGAGAATGGGAAGTGCGGATCATCTGTGGCAGAGTTACCAGCATCACGCACAAGCATGTTAACCCACTCCTTGTTAGCGGCTAGCCAGCTGGGATCAAGGGAGCCGATGATGGCGGCTGCTTGGATGAAGTAGCCGTAGTGGAAGTGGTGGTCGTTGTATGCGGTGTTTCCGAAATCCTGGTTCAGGTCGCCGTTGTAGCCGGCGGTCGAGACAACGCCTTTCCAGACGGTGTCGTAGGCGAGCGGGTATTGTTGCTTGTTCTGTACGAATAGATCGAAGGATTTCTTGAGCTGTTGGAAGGCGTCTGTTGCTAGATCGACGTTGTTGCCGAGCTGGTTGACAGTGTACACTAGCGTTGCGAACTTGCTCAATGCCTTGCCGCTGTAGTACATGCTGTTGAGACTTGTCTGCTCTGGGATGTTCTGCTTCAGCTCGTGGGGAGCAGCCTGGAGAATGGCCTTTTGGGCTGCGGCGGAGAGCTCGTGAGCACTGCCTTGGGTGGTTGACCACGGCGCGAATCCGATATCGATGGGGAGGTTTTGTTCGACCATGGTCCAGCTTTCTCCGATCACCGCAGTGGAGTTGCCCTTCGTTGTGGTGCGGAGGTGAATGTCGGTGATACGGCCCTGGGTGGAGTTGTCGAAGGAGTGGACGTGATGGGGTAGAGCGAACATGATCAGAGGAGTACCTTTGGTATCCTTTCCGGCCTTGGTCCATGAGAGGGTGTAGCTGCCCACATCATCTGTGACAGAGCCGGAGATCTCTCCTGCCACCGGGTAGACACCAGACGAGTTATCATAGAACTTCTCGCCAGACTTTCCTGCAGGGTTCTTCGCGACTTGGATAGTACCAGAAAAGCCCTTGAGACCGCGGAGATCAGTCTTTGAGACTAGCTTGAACTTCGGATCCTGGCCATCAGCCGGAGTGACATAGACAAGCCAGTTCGTGTCATCCTCAAGGAAAACCTGGTACTTGAAAATGCCGGGCCTAGGGGAACCGGCGTTAACGACCTTGCGGAAGAAAACACCACTTTCAAGAACGGGCTGCAGATCATTGTACACAGCTGTTGTGTAGGCCATGCCTTGCACAACGGGGAAGGTAATCTGCTGAGCCGAACCTGGGGAGCGCTTGATCACAGCGTGGGCCGAGAAAGCCTTTGGCTGTTCGACATTCATGATGGAAGACTTGCCAAGTTCGGTTGCAGAGAAAACGAGATGTTGAAGACCAACTGGGTTGATGTAATACTGTACTGGTTTCCCGGGGATCTTGTCGTTCGTAGGCCCGTATGCGACCATATGCGGCTCGATATGGGAGATACCCATACCCCAGCTCTTCAGGGAGCCGCTTCCCTTTGACCATCCCAGAGAGTAGGGCTGAGTGAAGGTAGCATTGGTCTGAGTGCCCAGGAAAAGGCCGGCGTAGAACTTATTCGTTGCAATAGGGTCGGTGGTATTGGCCTATATTACAACCTTAGAATGTTTCATCTGTATTTTGCTCGCATTGGGGAGTAACTTACGTGCTCGTTCTGCACAGGGTGGTCATCTCGAGACTTGATATTAGCAGGGACTGAACCAGTCGCAACTGGCTGGAAGATATCTTGGGCGTTCATTTTTTTAGGATGATCTGATGCAATCGGGGGTGAAGAAACGGTGTCGGCGGGCCCTACTAAGCATTAGAATATGTATAAAGTGTTAACATTTCATGTTCAATCATACCGTGCGCCTCGGTAGTACTTGGTTTGACGTGTGGTGAGTCTGTCACAGATCCAGCCGTAGGAATTGGCGCTGAGTGTTTAGGTTGTTGTGCTGAAGTTGGCGCTTGAGTCGCAGTCGGTGCTGCTGCAGTAGTATTATCACCTACGCCTAACAGATCTCCCAAGCCGTCAACGAATCGACCAACGTCAAAATTCGGAAAAGGCTGCTGCGATGAATGGCCGTCCTGTTCCAAAGCCACTCGATACACCTAGTCCAAAATGTCAATACCATGCCATATACCACGTAGCACATTTCTCTGAGACGTACTGGGTGAGACTCAGGAACGAGTAGCCTGTCTTCACTGTTTGAAGGTGGATATTGAGTCTCATAGGCACCTGTGGACTCGGTAGCTGTGGTTTGCACAGTAGCTTCTACCTCATTTCCCACATGCGGGAGACAGTAGGCTATGTCTGTGGCTAGAACCCAAGTCAGCAAGGCTGTAGCCTTCCATTTCAAGCGTGAGTTCATTGTGAAAAGCCAAGAGTCTCGTCAGGAGTGTTTAAACACGCGGAGCTGGTAGAACGTCTATGTGGTATTCCTCAATCCAATCCAATCGGATATGAATTATTCGAGGGTAGACGATTTCGGACGGATCCAAAAGGCAAGGTAAAACTGGCAAAGGAGACAAATGAATCCAAATGAAAGAAAACTTACAAATATGTAGCTATGGATTCCAGGAGACGGACTATACCCCCTCGGAGCCCAAACACTCAAACACTCAGGTCCAGATTGGGACACCACACAGGCTGGTTTGTTGTGAATGGGCCGCAGATAGATTCCACAGGCTGTCGATCTTTCATCGATATTAGCAGTGTACAGCCTTTAGCCAAGGGGAATGATGTGAGTTGGGATATCGTGTCTGGGCTCAGTAATGTAGGGAGCAACAGGCAACACGTCGAGTCCGCGTGAGTTCCCCACCCCCCAGGAATGTGTACGGGAATCACTGCAACGACCACTTACTGGATTATATGGGACTGAATTATCCAGTGTTAATTGGTGATAATTGGGAGATAGATGTGATCACTACTCCGTTAAGTTAGTTGAAGTAGTTAACTCCAGGCTACCACTTGCCAAGAGATCGCCCATGTGGAGTGGAATCCACGAGACCACGACAAGATGGAGAAGGAACAAAAACATGAATGTATTCGGATTGAAACTGTTAAAAAGAACTCGGGGATGATTCAATATGAATCATCAGACTATCCATGGATACTTTTTAGTTACTTTTGATGGAATCATGGGACATGTTCCAATGATTTAAAGTCGAGGCTAACATTCCAAGGTCGAGGCATCTGCATTGTCCAAATGACATGTACTAAAGATGATTTCAATTCTGCGTGAGGACATAAACCCATGTGAGAATATGGTTGGCAGGTGATAGAAGGTGCGAAGGAGTCCATTGGACGAAATGAACTATATTGTATGAACTATAGTTATTGTGTGCACAATGAGCACCTGAAGTACTTGAAGTAAAGTACAGCAAGAATGAAATGCTTTTAATTCAAAAGGCGCCGCAAAATGGGTCGCATTAGGTGCTGACATGAAACATGGCATATGTGTGAAATAGATATCTACATTCATTGCATGGGCTTCGACATGGGCTTGATGATACCCTGCTTGATCATGACACGAGGCTTGGTGCCACTCTGGAAGGTTTCTTTCGTAGACCACTCGGGGCCCAGGGGCAACCGCAGGGACCGTTCGTACTGCTGTTTGGTCTCGAACTCATGCGGCAACTGGCTGGCCATGTACTTCTTGTTCTAGAGTAAAAAGTTAGTGAATTGTCCATCTTTGGGTGTAGGAACAAAACTTGGCTTACCTTCTGCACTCGCTTCTGGTTGATAATGACCCGATCAAGCTTTGCGTCCTTACGCTGATTGGGATTCACACCCGCCACAGTAGTCAGGTCTCGCTTTTGCTTCTTCTGCTGTCTCTTGCTGACACCTTCGCCGGCCCAGCTGCCCCAGCCCAGGAGTGTGTTGTCCACAACCTGGTCGCCTTCATCTTGGACGGTGTCCATTTTATCTTGTTCGAATTCTTGGACAACTTCATCGCCGGCAAAGGCTCTCTTCACGAGGTCGTGGTTCTTGAGCAAGACGGGCACCTTCTCCTCATCATCGCTGTCGTCCCCGTCGAATTGTTCTTTCGTGAGCGTTGCCTTGGCGTTCTTTTGCTTCTTGCTCTGTTGCTTCGCCGGAGCAACCTCGGGCTGGGTAGCATCGAGCGAAATGTCAATGCTCTCTTGGGCATCTGGGGCAGTTCGGCGACGGTTGGTCCGTTCGGTTTGAATCAACCAAGGATTCTCCTCCTCCGTGGGGGTATCCTTTTGCTGATCGGAAGAGTCGCCTGAAGATCGTGAAACCTTCTTGTTGCCGGAAACTCCTGACTTGTGCTTGGTGGTACTGTTGACAGCAATGTCAACGTCATCGTCTGATCCTACTGCTTGTGTAGCTTCATCATCGGAATCTAGCTTCTCCTCGAACTCGTTCTTGGGCAACTGCTTTGCGCCAGACTTGGCGTCGGACTTCTTTGATTGACCAAACTTTCGTCGACCGACCTCTGACTCTGCTTCAGACAGAGACTCCTCCCCGTGGAGTTCACGGTTGAGTTGGCGAAGCTCCGCATCGTTCTGTTCTTTGCGGGCGGCGTCGGCATTTTTCATGAATTTCATTTCGAAAAGGTCAGCATGGCGCCCCTTCACGCCATCCCCGCCAGCATCATCGCCCTCGAGGGCCTTGAGCTTCTTTTGGATTTTTTGTCTTTCCACATCCGAGCCCTCCTCGTTCCAAGGGTCTTCATCTTCTGACTCGGAGCTTGAAGAGCCCAAGTAGTCATCGTCTCCATTAGAGACACGCTTGCCTTCGATCCTCTTCCGTAGCTCCTCCTCTCTTTGGGCCAAGTCAGCTGCACTGTTGCGGGCTTCTTCGTCCCAGGCAGTGCGACCGGTCTGTTTCAAGCCCTTGGCCCATTTGCTTTCACGATGCTTGGAGCCCATGCGAGCTTCGGCTCTCAAACGCTCGTTCTTCTCCTGGTCCATGTCGTCCATATCCACGCCGGCTTCCATGAGGGCATTTTGCTCCTGTTGCTCCATCTTCTCGCGCTCTTTGCGGTGAACACGGCGATAAGACTTGCTCTTGATCTTCTTTATACGCTTGGCACGTACTTCCTCTCGGAAAAGGAGGTCACGTCGCTTGCGGAGTTCTGCGCGGCGAGCCTGGATCTCCTCGATAGGAAGATTGCGGGCCTGCAATTCTTCAAAACTCTGAATCTGGTCCTCGGCTGACTTGCCTTCAGCCTCAGCCAGTCCACTCTCTACAAGGATGTTCTGGATGGCGTTTTCGAGGTCTGTCTGCGGCTTCGCAGCTTCCAAGCGGTGGGTCTGCTCAGCATCAGGATCACGTAGCGGGAAGGAAAGATGTTCGGCTCTGCGGTTGGCTTTGACAGTTTCGAGCCATCGGTTCAATGTTTCTTTGCTCTTCTCGTAGGCAGCAGTCCGGTCAAGTCGGTCCTGTTGGCGTTTTGCCAGAGGAGCATCTAGCTTGCCAGGAATGCCCGATTTTGATGCCTGGACAACGGAGTCGATATGTTTGAGCGAGTTCTTGAGACGGGAGTCCGTGATTGAGGGTAGAAGATCGGCGACAGTCAACTTGTTGGCGGATGTCAAGCCGTATTCCGAGTGCTTGCCTTGTTCTTGTGATTTTTGCGTGCGTTTCGTAGATTTTTCAGTCTCCATAGACTGGACAAAGTCTTGTAGTTTCGAAAGTCCGTGCGGATCCGCATCGGCATCGTCGTCCGAAATAGAAAGCCCGTCGTCGCTGGTATCGCTTTCACTGTCCCCCTCTGACCCAGAATCCTCGTCGCTATCGTATTTCGCAGCCCGCTTGGCTTTCTTAGCTGCTTCCTGGGCCTCCTCTTCCTCGGCCGCTACATTCATATCCCAGGCGGTCGCGAGATCAACAGCGTCTTCTCCAAGGTCATCGTCCTCGTCGTCGTCTTCACCGTCAGATTCTTCCTCCGACTCGTCGACATCCTCAGACAGGCTGATCTCTGTAGGCTTCTTTGGCTTGGGTGCCGCTTTCTTCGGCTGAGATTTGGACTTGGATGCGCGGAAACTGAAGCCCTCAAATCGCTCTTCGTCGCTCTCGCCGAGAGCTTCGTCGCTGTCCAATTCGCTGTCGTTATCGCTGTTCACTTGTCCGAGTGTCCATTCGTGTCCCTCACTGTCGCTGCCAGCATCAAGACTTCCGGTGTCCTCGGTTCTGCGGCGCTTATATTGGGCGGCGGTATCCTCCTCGTCGTTCTCGTCGTCATCGCCTCCAGTGTTTCTCTTGCGGTTGAAGGTGCCATCATCGTAGGCTCCAAGACGACTGCGTTTAACACCCAATCTAGTGTGAATTGTCTTCTCTGCAATAGATAGTGCATTCAGAGACCGAGTGCTTTTCCGCTTCGGCGCTGATTTCTGCGCCGAGCGGTCTTTCGGACCCTGCTTCTGAGTCTGGCTGCGAGGCATAGTGGCGTATAGGTCAAGAAATCAAATTCTTGACTAAGAAAGAAGCTTCAGATCAGTACTAAGAAAGTACCAAGTGATCTGATGGCTGCTTTCAAGAGGGGTGTAGATGGTGTTGAACTTTTTTTCTGCCGGGAAAAAAAGTTCTCGGCGCGGAGATTAGCGCGACCCGTTCATTCGTCGAGTTTTGTCTCCCAACTCCCTCCGGGACAACTCGACTCGCTCTATCCCCCTTCTGTTCCAACTTCAAGGCTATAGAACTGTCGCCATAATGTTCAAGCCCACGCAGCCAATGATGGTGCGTTTGCGCTTGACCACCAAGCAGGTCAATGGTGGCTATTACAAGGGAAACCGGACTGGCTCCATGGGTCACTTCGACAAGAGAGGCACATACAGGCCTGATTTGTCAAAGCACCGCGTGTATATTCCTGCGGAAAAGCTCGAAATTCCCGGGCAGCGTTACACTGCTGAGACTACGAAGGAACCATTCACCGTGAGCACTCATAACCATTTGATACCAGTTGGCCAAAATGCGGATTTGCTAACACGGTTATAGCTCGCCCCCTTCATCACAAAACACATGCGCAAGACACCGTCGAACTACGTTCAAGATATCGAGAGAAATGGCCGAACGATTACCGTGATCAGAGGATTTGAGGGCAAGGACTATTTGGAGAAGTGGGCCGAAACCGCTGAAGCCGATGAGGCCCGACTAGCACAACCCTACACTGAGAAGACCAAGAAGATTGAGACCAAGCCGACGCCGCAGGTTGAGAACCAAGAAGTGGCCCAAACGCCCGAGACGCCTAAGCCCAAGCCCAAGCCCTCCAAGACCCTTTTCTAGGAATTCCAATAGACTGAAACCGCATAGCGGGGATTCTATATGTTTTCAACTGAATTTGGGTGCGCACTAGCCCAGGCGCTTGAGAGCACTCCCTAATTTTTGTGCCACCGGCCCAGCATATTACCCACGACCACCTTCGCTGGGCATCACTCAACAACCTCATCGATCAACCTCTCCGTTGATTGAATATATCCCATGTATTATAGTCTACAACATCAAACTTGATTTGAACCACGGAGGAACCCGGATGTATCCGGTGGATGTGTACCATTTGGGATCGAGACAGGAGCAATTGTGTACTATTTTGACAAATTCCATGAATATCAGATTATAAAAAAGTTCAAGTGGCATATCTTTTAACTATGTATTTTCTAGTATCCTTTTACTTGGAGGTCATATAATTTGCCAGTATATATACTGTCTATACCAGGCACTCTCACATATGTCAGCTTAAAAACTAGAAGATTCCAGTGGCGATTCCAGTGTACAGGTACCTCAGGTCTCGATATATGGTCTGTGCTCAACAAGTCCGATAAGCCCGCCATGCTCCATGCTCTCCCGTATCGGCACCCAACAGCGACGGCGATGTCATAGTTCTTCACCTTTTCCCTTTTATTCCCCACCAGTCACGCGGGCTTGAGTTGACTTGATTCTCCGCATCTAGAGCGTTGATTTTAACCAACCTGCTGGCTATTTCCCCATCAGGCAGCTCTTGCTGCAATCATGTTTCAATCCTTCACTGGCAACTCTCGTCGCCCGCGGCAGGTGAACCTCAGTGGCAGGGCCACTAATCCCTTCGCTGCATTTCCCGGAAACTCGCCGACCAGACATACTCCTCATGCTGCAAACCCCGAGAGCGCAGTTGCCATTGCCCAACGAGAGCGAGCACTGAGACAGCAGGAGAGAGATCGACAGACGGCATCTCGCACCGTTCAGCGAGTTTGGCGGGGTCACTACAGCAGGCAGGCAACATATAAGGGCTGGAAGTCTGAATGGGATATCTTTGAGTGGGAGAGGGTTACCAGTGCCCTGGGATTTGACGATAATCGAGGCCCAACGACGGAGCTTGAGCGTCTGGAGTGTCTAGCACGTCTTTCCGCGCCACCATATCCCACAGCGGAACAATGTCTGGACCAACTCAGGCCTCTAGTTCAGTTCGTGGGACTGGTAAAAAAGAAAGAAGATGTTCTACGTCTGGTATACTTCTGCAATGTCTTTGAGCAGACCTTCCATGCTCTCCCCACGATCGCTACGGAAAATGACTGGACCGAGCTGTTGAAACGGCTGGCAATTGCTATTCTCCATGCCCTCAGCTCAGCAACGGAGAGTCCGACTCATGAAGCAGCAGTTCTGCCTCTCCTTCGGACGATAGTCTTCCTGGTTGACTTGATACCAAAGAAGATGGCAACAGTTGCCAAACACTACTATCAAACGATGGCTTTTTTGACAAAGAACTTCAAGCGCCGGGAAGGCACCCTGTCACCGGAGTATGTCACAAATGCTGTTCTCGCTCTTCTGAGACCAATCACTTCAGAAACGATGACAGCATATGAAGCTCTTGCTATGTCGTATCTCACCATTCCGAACCTGCCCGCTTATCTTGGTGAGCTTGATGGATTGGCGCACCAAATCAATTACAAATTACTGGCGCCTGCAATCGAATCATGTATTCCTATGACAAAAGAACGCCTTTCGACCGACGATGTCGAGAGTATTGAGGGTCGACTTTGGCTGCTTGCATACTTGATCTTCTTTCACCGATATGCTCTTCCAGGCCAGGCCAACCTGCAAGCACCAGACCTCGGATTCCTGAATGTGGTTTCTGGGTTACTTAATTCGACCTCTATCTATCTTACAAGGTGCTTGGAAGCGGACGAAAATGGTCTAGATTCAGTCAGGGGTCCTTATTTGGATCAGTTTGTCACAGATCAAGTCAGTAGCCTGGTGAACCAGAGTAGCATCACGGGGCTACTTTCTCGCATTAAAACATCCCAGCTTTCTCACACAGATGTTTCAAACAACGAATACAACGCTTCGAGAGAAGCAAAAATTCTTGCCACGTACGCTCTGAACTTACTGAGGGTGTTCCCTCGGCGCGGAGATGATATTCGGATGTGGTTATACCTGGGCTCGGCACCTTCAGCAGATCCGACTTCTGACCAGCCAGGTGCGAAGATACCGGCGATCAAGTACTTCTGGAGCGCATCAAAATCTAGTCAGATTTTTGAAACCATCAGCAAGGACTCGACCCGGGTTCTTCCATTGCTCCAACCGCCACAAGATGGGGATAAAGAGGAACAAGAGCAGGAGTGGACTATTATCCTGCTCTTTTTTGAGCTTTACACGTTCCTTCTCAAAGTCATGGATGACGAAGAGTTCTTCTCAAGCGCGTCACCGTTTGCAGCTTCGTCAAGTGTGTTGTCTTCGTGGACGAAAGAGAGTGCGCTGCCACTCAAAGACATCAAAGATATGACCGTTTTTCTCAAGAACCTGACCTTCACTCTATATTGGAATGTTGCCGACTTAACCAAGAAAGGGCCTGTTCCGTCATCCGCTGTGGATCTGAGAAGTTATTTTAACAACACGGCTCAACCTTCTGGTCCAATGGAGCGTGCTGAAGTGGAGACCAAGAAGGAAATCAATGATCTTCCTGGCGTGACAGGTATCCCACTTGACTACTTCAAAGGCTTGGTTACGGGTTTGCTCAGAATGCTGCATGAGCGAGAGTAAGTCGAAATGTTCCATTTCCTATGATGTAGGTACTCTAGCTGACCCGATTTTAGTTCTCGACGCAAATTCCTCCCCCAAATCATTGGCTGATGATAGATCGATTTGACATGGAAGGCTTTATCCCAGCCGTTGTGGCAGAAGAGGAGAAACGTCATGAATTCCAGGACGATGATGAAGAGTCCGAACCTGACCTTCTTGACGAGGAATACCCGGAGCCTTCCCACCTTGTCGGGAATAGCCATGCGCGACGACTGATTCACATTCAAGCCATGCGGAATAGCCAACGAAGGCAAGCACATAATAACGCTCTGGCCGCCATTGCACCACGGCTAGAGATACTTCGAAATATGCCTTTCTTCATCCCATTTGCCACGAGAGTGCAGATCTTCCGTCAATTTATATATAGGGATCAACAGCGTCGCCGGAAGGGCTTCGTGGATCCCGAGTCCTGGCGCTTGTCTGTGGCCCAAAATGCCATGATAAATGGATCGCCCGAAGGTGCGGCGGATATCTTGTCCCGACACCACGCCGACATCCGGCGTGAGAGTGTGTTTGAAGATGCATTCTCCCAATACTACGGCTTGGGCGACGGTCTCAAAGAACCAATCCAGATCAGCTTTATCGACCAGTTTGGAGCAATGGAAGCCGGCATTGATGGTGGTGGTGTAACTAAGGAGTTCTTGACTAGTATCACTAGCCAAGCTTTCAAGACTGATGACTATGAGAGCATGTTTGCGGAAAATGATCACCATCTGCTATATCCCAGCCCGATAGCCGTTGATCAACTCAAAAAGGTTCTCAGCGAGGCCGGGCTCACAACTTCAAGCCCAGAATGGCAGGATGACGTGCGCGGTCTTCTTCGACGATATGAATTCCTCGGCCGGATCATTGGAAAATGTCTTTATGAGGGGATCTTGGTCGATGTTAACTTTGCACCATTCTTCCTCTTGAAGTGGGCCTTGACAGGAGGCTCTAGGTCTGCGGTGAAGGAATCTTCCTATCGTGCCAATTTGAACGATTTGAAGGATCTGGATGAGGGATTGTATCAGGGATTGGTAAGTGACGCCCAGCAAGCTCGGGAATTTCTTTTTTTTGGAACCTGCAGCTGACCAATTTGTTCCAGTTACAACTGAAGAATTACCCCGGAAACGTGGAAGACTTTGGTCTCGACTTCACCATTAACAACATAATTCGGATGCCCAGTGGAGCGAACCGCACTGTCACGGCAGAGTTGAAACCAAATGGTTCACAGACCGCTGTGACAAACAAAAACAGATTAGTCTACATTTCCTACGTGGCTCGTTACCGCCTACAGTTGCAACCTGCTCTACAGACGAACGCCTTTTTGCAAGGTCTGGGCCAGATCATACAACCTGCCTGGCTATCCATGTTCAATCAATCCGAGTTACAAACGTTAGTGAGCGGAGACAAGGCTGATATTGATGTGGAGGACTTGCGACGGAACACCCTCTATGGAGGCGTGTACGTGATTGGTGATGACAATTTAGAACACCCGACCATTGCACTGTTCTGGCAGGTTATGCACGAGATGACCAACGAGGAACGACAAAAGGTCATCCGATTCGTGACATCTACCCCTCGAGCTCCATTGCTGGGATTCAGCCATCTTCGTCCCAACTTTAGCATTAGAGACTCTAGTGAGGACCAGGAACGGCTACCGAGTACCAGTACTTGTGTGAATCTTCTCAAGCTACCACGATACTCTGATGCAGACACATTGAGGAACAAGCTTTTGTATGCCGTGAGTTCTGGTGCTGGGTTTGATTTGAGTTAAAAGAGGGTTTGTGTACATTTTTATTTTTCTGGTAGAGAGACTTTAGTCTACTTTATGATTAATCTTTTGCATGCATAGCATGGGATTCTTTTTTTTTTGGAAATATTTTGACCATGATATTAACTATATAACTATGTTGGATGTACGAAGGAGGTATGCCCGAGGTTATACTTAATAAGCCCTTAAAGCGGCAACCCCATCCCAAATAGGACTAGTGTCCCCATCTCGTGCAGCCTCTGAGTTTTCCAGAACCAATTGCTTTTGAACGGCTCAACTTTTTTTCTTCTCCTCTTACAACCTTCCCCTCCATCTTGTTCTCTCTTTCTTTTCAGGGAAAAGTCTTCCTTTTCTTTTCGAATCCTTAATCGAAAGATACAAAATCTCAAAAAAACACGAAAAACCCAGAAAAAGACTTTTTCCAGTTATCTTATCTCATCCCCGATTGTGCGGTGTGTTGTGTGGAAGATTTTCTTTCAACGCCTCCATCGTCTTCATTTTCACCTGGTTAGTCATTTTACTTTTTGTCTTCCCTTTGAGACTTCATTGAAAGCAGTGGCATCTCTGCTTCGTCTTCTCTCTCTCTCTCTCTCTTGCGCATGCTATACACTTCGATTCCCCTTCCCCGCTAACCAGCCATCAGTGCTCTCTGCTCAAGTGAAATTTCTCTGAACTCTTTGATTCGTGGATCCTTTGCTGTATGGCACCCCTCTCTTTTCATTGATTCACCCCTCGTTTTTCTCATTTCCCCCTTGGTTGCTTGCCAAAGAGACTGCATCAACTGCGGTGTAACCTTATCTCATATGCCTCCTTGATTCCCCCTCCCCCTCTCCGCGATAGGCTCAGTATGCACATGCTAAAACCTTTTTTTTCTTTTCTCAGTGAAAACAGTCGCCATCATGTCTGCTGAAGCCCCCACCACCGCTCCCGTCACCGACAACGTTGTCGCCGCTACCCCTGAGGCCAATGGCACTCCCGTCGAGGCCACTTCCGAGGCCGCCGGTGATGCCAACAACCAGCCCCACTCGGCTTCTCTCTACGTCGGCGAGCTTGACCCCTCCGTGACTGAGGCTATGCTCTACGAGCTCTTCTCTTCCATAGGTCAGGTTGCCTCCATCCGTGTCTGCCGTGATGCCGTCACCCGCCGCTCCCTGGGCTACGCCTACGTCAACTACAACAACACCGCTGACGGTGAGCGTGCTCTTGAGGATCTGAACTACACTCTCATCAAGGGTAAGCCTTGCCGCATCATGTGGTCCCAGCGTGACCCCGCTCTGCGCAAGACTGGCCAGGGCAACGTGTTCATCAAGAACCTCGACAACGCCATTGACAACAAGGCTCTCCACGACACCTTTGCTGCCTTCGGTAACATTCTCAGCTGCAAGGTCGCTCAGGATGAGTTCGCCAACTCCAAGGGTTACGGTTTCGTCCACTACGAGACCGCCGAGGCTGCCAACAACGCCATCAAGCACGTTAACGGTATGCTGCTGAACGACAAGAAGGTCTTCGTCGGTCACCACATCTCCAAGAAGGACCGCCAGAGCAAGTTCGAGGAGATGAAGGCCAACTTCACCAACATCTACATCAAGAACATCGATCTCGAGATCACCGACGACGAGTTCCGCGTCATGTTCGAGGCTTTCGGTGAGATCACCTCCGCTACCCTCAGCCATGACCAGGATGGCAAGAGCCGCGGTTTCGGTTTCGTTAACTACGCCAACCACGAGAGCGCCGAGGCCGCTGTGGCTGAGATGAACGAGAAGGACGTCAAGACCCAGAAGCTTTACGTTGGCCGTGCCCAGAAGAAGCACGAGCGTGAGGAGGAGCTGCGCAAGCAGTACGAGGCTGCCCGCATGGAGAAGGCCTCCAAGTACCAGGGTGTCAACCTCTACGTCAAGAACTTGACTGACGACATTGATGACGAGAAGCTCCGTGATCTCTTCACTCCTTACGGTACCATCACCTCCGCCAAGGTTATGCGTGATGCTGCTGAGCGTTCTCCCTCCCCCGAGGGTGAGGAGAAGGAGGCCGACAAGGAGACTAAGGACTCCGAGGAGAAGGAGGTGAAGTCTGAGGAGAAGCCCGAGGTCAAGGCCGAGGAGCCCACCGAGGAGAAGAAGGCCGAGGAGGGTGAGGAGTCCGAGGAGAAGAAGACTGAGAAGAAGGCCTTCGGTAAGAGCAAGGGCTTCGGCTTCGTCTGCTTCAGCAGCCCCGATGAGGCCTCCAAGGCCGTCACCGAGATGAACCAGCGTATGGTCAACGCCAAACCCCTCTACGTTGCTCTCGCCCAGCGCAAGGATGTCCGCCGCAGCCAGCTCGAGGCTAGCATCCAGGCTCGCAACACCATCCGCCAGCAGCAGGCCGCTGCCGCTGCCGGTATGCCCCAGCCTGTAAGTTACAATTTTCATGATCAGTTATATACTCAGTTACTAATTTTGTCCAGTTCATGCAGCCCGCCGTCTTCTACGGTGCTGGCCAGCAGGGCTTCATGCCTCCTGGACAGCGTGGCGGTATGCCCTTCGCCCCCCAGGCCGGTATGCCCATGCCTAACATGCCCGCTGGACGTCCCCAATACCCCGGTCCCTTCCCCCAGGGTGGCCGTGGTATGCCTCCCAACCAACAGCTTCCTCCCAACTTCCAGGGTATGCCCATGGGTATGCAGGCTCCTGGCGGTATTCCTAACGGCATGGGTTACCCTATGCCCCAGGCCTTCGGCCGTGGCGGCGGTGGCCGTGGTGTTCCCGGTATGCCCATGAACATGCGTGGCGGCCCCGGTTTCGGTCGTGGTGGTCCTCAGATGGGTCGTGGTGGTGGTCGTGGCCAGCCCGCCCCTGGCGGTCAGCCCGCTGGTGGCGAGCCCGCCTCTGCCAACCAGGCTCTCCTCAGTGCTCCCCCCGCTCAGCAGAAGCAGATGCTCGGCGAGGCCCTTTACCCCAAGATCCAGGCTCAGCAGCCCGAGCTTGCTGGCAAGATCACTGGTATGCTTCTTGAGATGGATAACGCTGAGTTGCTTGGCCTGTAAGTTACACTATTGTTTTCGTGTTATATGTGAGATGATTTACTGACTTTGCTTCTTTCAGGCTCGACGATGAGGAGGCTCTCCGCGGCAAGGTCGATGAGGCCCTTAACGTCTATGATGAGTACATGAAGAACAAGGGTGATGGCGAGACCGAACCCAAGCCCCAGGAAGCCGCCAAGGAGGCCCCTGTTGAGGAGAACAAGTCTTAATTGATGTGTTCACTCTTTGTCTTCTCGGAAATCTTGGACGCACGTTTTTGACGACTTTTCCTTTCTCTTATCATTATTTGTTCCCATCTTTTACCCTTTCTACCCCTACATCTCCCTATCTCTGATCCTGATATCCCTTGGTTCGAAAAGTTTGTTCTTAGGCAGTCACCTTCCTGGTGTTTAGTTGAATGCGGTATGACATTCGGATTTTTTTTCTCCTATTTTTTCCGGATTCCCTAGTACAGCCGATTTTCTTTTTGCCTTTTCACTCGGACTGGGCTATATTGAGTTGTTCTCCGATATTGGCATTGGTAAAAAGTCTTTTCTTATTCTAGGCGCTGGGTGTGGTTCCTTTTGACAGTCAATCTTTTCGCTATCTTCATTTTTTTCGTTTTTTAATTCAGTTGGGAGGGATTCGTTGAGTTTCTTTGTTTCCACAGTTCTCTCCCTTGCTGTCTCTTGTGTCAGATAGATTTATGAATTCCTCGCGGGAAATTCCGGTCGTTCTTGTGTTTGTTCTCGGATTCGAGAGAGCAGCGCCAGACAATCAATGGGATGGTCGTGGCCTATTTTGCTTCAAGTTTCTCTTGACCGTAGACGAGAGTTGAGTGTCTTGTTTATGTCATGAGATATTTGACTTTGTGGCCGCTATTGTATGCCTTCAGATGACTCAGCGAGTCTTGATGCCCACACCCGATGGATGATTTCTGACAGCATCCAGCTTTAAAGAGATCATCTCATACACACGAGATGATATATGCACAATGGCATCGGAATTTGTACCCGAGACTTCTGAAATTGGTTCCTTGACGACGCACTCGAACGAGGATAGCCAGTTCGTCGGTAGCTCAAGCGGTGTCTATTTTATCAAGACAGTGAAACGTGCATTCAACGACCTAGATGACCCGGGTTCACCCGACTCCCATTTTCCCACAGCAGAGGAAACCCTTGTAGGCGCTGAAAGTTCTCGTGACAAGCGCCAGCGTACCTCATCCGTCAGAGAGACTGCTTCGTCCTTGGAGGCAGTTGAATCTCCCACAGAATGGACCTACGACCCATCGTTGACAGCGTCTCTGGGAAATCTCCCTCCCCCAGACGTGGCAAAGGGCCTGATGATGATGTATTTCAAAGTATGGCACCCTCTGTTCCCGTTCCTGCATGGTCCCACCTTCCTGCAGGGGATGGAGAAGGTCTACTCCAGTACGAATCAATCTCAGTACACGCAAGAACCCTACATAGATCACCGGAGTACATGCTGGACAACCATTTTCCAATGTGTCTTCAATCTGGGCAGTCTACTAGCGCCAGAGTTAGAGCTCCCGCCCGAATCGAAGATTCAATCACCAAACAGTTTTAATTCTCTGCTCGGGACTCTCTCCTCTCGACATGATATCGTTTCCCTGCAAGCGCTGCTAGCAATCCAAGTCTATCTCGTCGCGACCATGTCACTTCGACAAGCATCGACCGTCGGAGGTTGTATCCTTCGCTCGATGCTTCATGCCGGTCTCCACCGGTGTCCATTTCGATACAAGCAACTTTCCACCCACGACCGACAGCTGCGGAAGCGGGTCTTTTGGTGCGCTTATGCGATAGATAGATATCTGAGCCAAGCTCTGGGCTTGCCGCTTGGTATACAGGATTCTGATATTGATGTGTGTTTGCCTGCTGCCCGGGAAATGCATTCTCCTCAGGGCCAGACGACGCAATCTGCGAATGATATCTCTGCGTCGCAGCACGGCAATAAAGAAGACCACGGCAAGGAAGGCGTTCTTGCTAGCTACGTTGACTCGGGGACTTTGACGGGCCGGGCATTGGAGCTCTTTCATAAATCAATATTGGTTCGATCCGTTCGTCGCAGTTCGGTGTTGTTCCTTGTAACAGATGTGCATAAATGGTGGAATCGACTTCCTGCCGGCCTCCAAAAAAAGCCGGGGGGCTTTGAACAAAGGGTGGAATCTGCGATAGCAGATAGTGCGTTTGATTTTGCTCCTTTTTTCACTGTGCTGTATCAGCATCTCATTCTGATCATTCATCGGCCTTCGCTGTCGCTGGATCCATCGACCGCAGAATTCTGTTCTGGATTGCAAACTTGCATCGGGGCTGCTCGGGCTATCCTTTCGGCGCTCAGGTTGCAAGTTGATAGCCACCAGGCTTTATTCTGGCCTGGTTTCTTATCGGCTGCGTGGATGTCTGGGTTGGTTTTGGCTTTGGCTTGTCAACTGAACCAATATGTGTTGACAAAAGGTCTTCAGTACGTGACGTGTTTCTGCTCACTGTGCTTGATTTTGATTTAATACTATATGCTAATTATTCGATAGGGAGATTGAAGAATTTTCGGGATTCCTGCGTTTGATGTCCACTCAATGGGAGACGGCCAAACACTGCCACATGTCGCTTTCAGTGCTGGCTGCGAAAATCAAACAGTCAGAAAGCGGATCCGATCCAACATCAAACTCCCAAGCATATGTGACGAGGGGCTCTGAGGGGGGTCCGACACTTGTGGAGTCTTTGACAGCACAAGAGGAAAACAGACGGAGACTTGGTCGTCTGTCACACTTGCAAGAGCCTGGCTCATCTGCAGAGCCGTCGGATCTTGAGCAACGAAGTAACGCATGGGAAGAATCTACCCACAGGGAATATGATCCCGCGGGGGTTCTTTCAGCGTCGATGCATCCGTCACAAATGAACGAGCAACACATATTCACCGATACACCCTCTTCACTACATATGAATTTACAGGACACGAATCCCGCACAGCTTGAGGGTATATCGAATTTTGACCTGAACATGGTCGATTTAATCGAGGGCGTTAACTTCGACACTCTGTTCGATATGATCGGGCAGCAATTCCCAAGCTTCTAAAACCATGCTACTACACAAAACAATCTACAGTCTACAGATAATACCAAATGAAGCCAAACCAAATTAATGCATATTGTTCACACAGTGTGTATGAGTATGTGTATCCCTCTCAAACGCCCATCATCAAATCCCCCATCTATTCGGTCCATAACCCACCCACTGCACCATCACCATCACGCATCACACTCAATCCCGATCCCGCACCCCGCGCCGAAAAAGCAGAGCCCGATTAATCCGCACTCTCCCATTTCGAATCTCCTGGCAATAGTAGTCAGCCTGCAGTTCGGCGGCCGCGAGAATAGAAGCCTTGTTGGAATGGTAGTCTCCGGGCACCTTGATAGAGACGCACAGGGGGTGATCATGATGTTTGGCATGGACGGAGATGGTGGCGGTGCTGGTTCGGATGTAAGTTGCGACTGTGCGCATGAGGGTCTCGTCGTCGGAGTCGGAGTCCCGTGCCTGGATGAAGACGTTCACCCAGTTGCTGACTTGGCGTGGGTCGTACTCGGGCTCGGGGATTAGCTTCCCGTCGAAGTAGAACATGCCCTGCATCCTTGCTGTGGAGGTGAGGATATCAATTTCTTGGGATAAAGGGTTGTGGGATTTTGCTTTGCTTACCTTGTGGCTTGTTTGTTTGGACTGAAGTGGTGGAGTGATTGAGAGGAAAGAGGGAAGAGGGAAGATGGAAGATGGAAGATGGGAAGGAAGTGGATTTCGAGTACTGTGGGAGTATATGGGCTCGGTTTATATACTCTTTGCCTGGTGTTGTTTATGAGGGCTACCTGGGTAAGAACAAAGGAGTTATGATACAATGCTATTTTCAAGGCTTTCATCTATTTCCAGGATGTCTTTGTGTCTCTGTAGTTTGTTGAGTAACTAAGGAACCTTCCAGCAGCTTGAGGTCTGCCTAGTTTATGACTCGAAAGGAATCTATGTATATTTCTGCCTACTCTATTAACAATGGGCCTTTCACAGTTTATGAAAATACACAATGGGTTCGTAGTATCCTATTTCGACTAGCAGCATGGCATAGCAGCATAACGGCATCCAAGACGATGCTATAGCGACATAGTTTATTACTTTCATCTATCTATAGTCAGCTATATCAACTCTCGCAGGACTTCAAGGTTGCTTCTACAAGTTTAAACCGACCGAACTTCTACAGCACACACACTATTCAAAGTACAAAGGAAAACAAAGATACTCCAATCCCCCATTCTATCAAGTAGCCAGTTTCAACAATCTATAAGTCTAAATTCAAGCATCAGGAAATAAAACAACCAAACCCAAGATCAAAAGCCCCCTTCCCCCAAGAACCAAATCCTATCTATTCCCTCTGAAAAAGCAAATCTCGATTAATACGAATAGACCCCCTAGCGACCTGCGCTCGAATCTCTTCTGCCGACACCTCCGCAGCAGCAAGGATCGACTCCCTATCACCATGGTCTCCGGTCACCCGGATCGAGATACAGAACGGGATATCGTAGTGCATAGCATGGCCGGTGATGCTGGCGACTCTTGTGCGGATGCAGGTGATGACTGTGCGCATTATAGAGAGGTCATCGCAACTGTGGTCGTGTGCATTGAAGAATACGTTCACCCAGGCTGTTGTTCGAGAGTCGTATTCGGCCTCTTGTAGCAATCTTCCGTTTTGGTAGAACATTCCTTGGAGGGTGTTAGTTGGTTGGCTTTTGGTTTGGGTTTGTGGGTTTGTGCCTGAAGGGACTTACCTACCTTGTTTCTTTTGATGATGAATGGATGGCAGAGTTTAGGTATAGATAGATCCGAGTGGTCGAGTGGATTTGGCTTGTTGGAGGGCTCGTTTGAATACTTTCCGAGTAGCTATGAGGTCCTGATAGAGGGTGCTAAGGTTGTTTAAATGTTGGACTCTTAAGACAATATCATACTGATCTTGTTTCTGTTCCTTTTATATGAGAAACAGGTGTCATATTGCTATAATGACATTTCTGGGTTTATTAGTCCATGGCCTCCTGATCTGTTCCGTCTTGTGTTAGATGCCTTTGAGGTTTTCTTTATGGATATACAATTTTGTCAGTTTGGTGATCCTTCCGGATTATTCCCAGTAATATATTGCTCATTATTCAAAAAGAAAGTGTCAGTTTTTGTAATCTAGGGGATGGTAGAACTGCCGTCTCGGGAAGTGATCTGTTGCTAGAGTATAGGGTAAGTTAGTGACAGAAATCTGTCTATATTGCAATGTATGGTATAAGTGGTAGATGTATGAATCTCTAACTAAAAATGAACAACCCCCACTATTTCAGCAGTCTGTGCTGACATCGATGACTAGGCAAAAACCCTACTAATATAGCCCCGTTCTCCGTTGCCAAAAGGCTTCCACGAGTTAGATGGTAGTTTAGAGAAGCCTTCTTCTAGGCCTGCCTTGTCGGGCCCTGTATACAAATCAGTTCTTTTTCTTTTGGTTCTCATTTCATCAAATACTTTAGAACCTCCACCATTAAGAAGACACAACTGCTGAACATGTCCTGGATCCGTAGCGGACCAAAGGTGGGCATCAGAATCCGATGGTGATCTAGATTAAGGTCCTAGACTGATGGTTAGCGATGGCTCTTCCTACGCATCTGACTAGACAATAAGATTCCAAATTCTTGTCCAACTGAATTATGAAGTGTATCAGACTTTGAGATCGAACATCTTTTCTACCACCGAAAGGGCTAAATATAGGGCCAAATCAACAAAGAAAACGAAAGTCACTCAGAATGATATACCTCGGCACTTTTTGGCCTTAGAATTGATTCCTTGTCTTATATTATTCACACATTTAGATAGTGATTATCATTAACGCAGCGAACTCAAAATTTGGAAAGTTGAGAGAAACATAGTACGACTGATATTTATAACACATAGCGCATCCAGCAAGTGCCACGGAACAAACCGTCTCAGAAGACTGTTCGTCAGGGAACTCCGAAGAGTGGCGTTTTTTTCGCCTTGGTCTCACAGTGTTGTCTCAGTGATGTCTCCACCGCGGCAGGGTAGACCAGGTAATGTCGGACCCTTCTCTTCTAATATCCTACGATCTCGTTCAGTAAACCTTATTGATAAATTAAGGAGAGTCAACCAAAGACGTAACATCTCAGTCACTTTTATAAGAAAATAATTTGGCCCTTTGACCATCTTTCTATGTATGTTGTACGCTGATAGTCAAAGCAAATTGTTCTAATCATATCGCTGCAAGATCACACACAAAAAGCAATTCCAGGCCCTTCATAAAAAGATAAAAAGGTCTAAAGTAAATGTCTGTCAGAATATTTAGATATGGTTCTTTAAGAAAGGGTTCTAATGTCTATAATATGTCTTGAGACCATGAATCAAATGCAATTAATAGTTTGTTTCGGTACACCGAACACCGAGATAAGGGCAGAATACGCGGCTTGCCTTGTACATATATCAAGCCTCGGTAGATTATCAGGTTGATCGGCCGAGAAACACCCACTTCTACAGTGAGCGGTAGCTCTTCAAGTATTGAAATACAAACCTTTGCCTTTACCTTGTCAAGCTGATTCATAATCTATAGTAGTTCACTCATAACAATATGACTGATCGCTATTATGTCGAGACTATGATGACGAGAAAAGATGGACTTCAACTATTCTTGGTCAATTGAAGGGTCTTCTAACATGGTCTGTGCATCGTGAAAGCACAACTGGATGAGGTGAGATATACTCCATATGATGTTTTACTTTGTTTGTCTAACTACATACGTTTAGTGGCATTCGACTTTAGGCTATTCTCGGGTATGAGCCGGCCAGATTCACCTTAAGAATTGCCGGAATCGCTGTGTTTTTTTTTATTAGGTGCTGATCAGCAATGTACCCGAGACACTTCTTTTTGTGGGCCATGATCAATGCTCATAGGGGTCCTGTTGAGCAATATGAGTATGTCCAACATGTTCGACAATCACTTGACCAGTTCAAAGCATAAACAGAACAACTGCCTCAATCTGATGGGGAGTGAAAGTTAGATATTTCCCCTAGGATGTTCACATGCAATCCCTTGTTATTGCATAACGATCTACGTAGATCTGTGTATAATAAAGAGTAATTTAGTCGGGATGCCGTAGATACCCAGTTATGCCGTAGATATTGTAGCCCCTTTCTGATAGGTGGCTCAATGCGAACTTTAGTCACCTGATATGAAAGAGTGGAAGCGGTCAGCCTTTTATTTTAATTAAATGTCTCTCGTGGGGACAAGATCACCTACAACATAACATATACTTGAAGGTCTTCCAATCAATTTCCTTGTACTTGCCTGATTCAGCGTTGTATATGTTCCATCTATTTGTCCAACTACATCCTCAAGTTCACATATCCTACTTCGGAGTAATTTCGGAGTCACCTCATACTTCTTATGCTGCGAGACCCCAACAACGAACGATTCGTGTAGAAAGAGTAATATCAACCGAACAGGAAATGGTTGAAGACTGATGTCTCTTGGTGAAACAGCCCTTGATATAACTGTCTCTCATTACCAGATGAAAAGATAAATATACTTAGTACTGTAATTGACACCGGCTCATACAACATATGTGTACATCAGCTGCTATGCATTTACTCCGTCCTAAGAGGTAAATTTAATCATGCAACAAAGAAAATCGATAATATCTAGTTTCAGCCCTGGATAGTATTAAATTAATCGTAACCCCACTTCTACCAAGGCATTTACCCGGCGAGCGACGATCTATGGTTAATCTAAGTATATCCTGGAGCACCTCACCGATGGCAAGTGAGAAGCGTCATTTCTCGCCTTCTGAAACACCGTGGACCACTCCTGATCCGGAATCATCAAAACCAGTTTGGAGGCAGTTTTGGCCAACACTATAGACAGATTCTATGAGGTAGTGTAACTGTACTATGCCAAAGAATAGCAGGCCAAATTTCTTAATCATACTAGGTAATTGCTTTGGTGTCTAGCCAGATAAATGGAAATAATCTTTTTACAGATATCTTTGTTATGCCAACACAACAATTAGAAGAAAACCGTTGCTGCTTATTGCTATGGAGCCCATGCTATTTAAGATTAATTGCCTTGAATTGGATTATGAGCCAGGGTCCAGGGAAATGCGGGTCTTTCCTTTTACAGATGCTTGAGTTTAAGGCTAAGACATCCTTTTAATAACGTTTTAGATTGAAGCAAGACATTTGGAACTTGTGATACTATGGACCAAGTACCTTGCTACCGTCCATGAATGTTATAAAAGAGTCACTTTTCCCATGGAGAGATCTCTTTTCTAAACACAACCAACTTACTCAGTCATTCTTTCAACTTCAGTCATTCCTTCAATATGGTTTCCTTCTCTAGCCTCTTCTTAGCAGCCTGCGCTTGCGCAAGCACTTTCGCAGCTCCTGCTGTCGACGTGACCAAGCGAGCTATCACCACCAGCCAGACCGGAGAAAGCAACGGCTACCACTTCTCCTTCTGGACCAACGGCGGTGGTGATGTCCAGTACAACAACGGAAAGAACGGTGAATACAGTGTGTCTTGGAAAGACTGTGGCGACTTCACTTCTGGCAAGGGTTGGAGCACCGGTAGTGACCGGTAAGGCCAAACTCATTCAGCAATCTGCTTATGATATATTAATTAACGTTCAATTAGCGACATCCACTTTGCTGGAGACTTCCAATCCACCGGAAATGCCTATCTTGCCTTGTATGGCTGGACCAAGGGCCCTCTCGTCGAATACTACATCCTGGAGAACTTCGGAGAATACAACCCCGGCTCGAGCATGACCAACAAGGGATCTTTCACCAGTGATGGATCGGTCTATGATATCTTCACCCACCAGCAGGTCGACCAGCCCTCTATTGAAGGCAAGACAACCTTCATGCAGTACTGGTCAATCCGCCGCGACAAACGCTCCGCCGGTACCATTACCACTGCAAACCACTTCAATGCTTGGGCCCAGCATGGAATGCAGCTTGGCGCACACGACTACCAGATTCTTTCCACCGAGGGATTGGGAAGCAGTGGATCTGCTCACCTGTCTGTTTGGTAAATACCAGCGCGAGAGACACGGGTTTTTTGATCTGACAAGCTAGAGTGGATGTTTGAAGGCTGTGTGGGGGTTTTGGTATGGTGGCAGACAGGCTTGTCAGATTTTGGTCCCTTTTTTTAAATAACTTATGGGTGTTGATCAGCAGTGGCCTTTTGACCACTGTTTGGAGAGTCTGGGGCTGGTACCCTGGACTACATCATGGCAAATCTTTCATTAGTCTGTGCTGGAGTGTAGATAGGTCACTTCACAGACTTCAATATGACTCCGATTACATTCTGTATGTTCATCTTTATTTAGTCTAGCTCGGTTGAAACTTTAGTATGGATATGAAGACATTGAAGGGGATGACCTGCTCTTGCAGCCGGATCAGGTTACAGTAGACTCTACATGCTTCAATCTATACTCAAATCCTGATTTCAAGACACATTGTATTGGTTTTAGATTCACAGAACAGCCTAGTACTTAAATAGGACGCTTCAAACGGCGTCCAAACTAGCCGGTTTTGGTGCCCAATTTACCGTCACCTAGCGTTGTAGTTTGATCATCTTTCCATACTTTGTGTCTATTGGTATTCAATGTAAGGTCAACTGATCAGTTCATTCAAAGAGGTATTTCAGATGAGACGAGACGAAAAAAGAAAGACAAGAGACAAAGAATGGAAAGAAAGAAGAAAAGTAGAAAAAAAGAGAAACAATGAATTGTCTCAGACCTTCTTTCAACCCAACTTCTCAATCTCCAAACAAACAGCATCCACAACACCCTGAGTGTCAGAACTCCCCCCAAGATCAGGAGTCAGAATCCCCTTGGCACAAACCCGTTCGACACAACCCATCAACTGAGCAGCAGCATCCTTCTCCCCGATCCAAATCAACATCTCCGCCGCCGACCAAAAAGTAGCAACCGGATTCGCAACCCCCTTCCCAGTAATATCAAAAGCACTCCCATGAACAGGCTCAAAAATCGACGGATTCTTGCGCGTAGGATCCAAATTACTTGAAGGCGCAACACCAATCGACCCAGCCAAAGCAGCCGCAAGATCCGACAAAATATCCATATGCAAGTTCGTCCCAACGATGGTATCAATCGACTCCGGCTTCATAACCATCCGAACAGTCATCGCATCAACAAGCATCTTATCCCAGCTCACATCCGGGAAGTCCTTGGCGACAAGAGCAGCAATCTCATCCCACAACACCATCCCATTGCGCATGGAATTGCTCTTCGTGACCACGGTTAGGAACTTACGCGGCCGCGACCGCGCCGTCTCAAATGCGAACCGCATAATTCGTTCGATGCCCACCCGCGTGAATAAAGCCACTTCCGTCGCGGCTTCCCATTGCTGTCCGACGTGAGAACGTCCGCCTTGGCCTGCGTACTCGCCTTCGGAGTTCTCGCGGACCAGCATCCAGTCGATGCCGTTTGTTGCTGTGTTAAGGGGGCATTTGGTTCCTGGGAACGTGCGGACTGGTCGGACGTTTGCGTATAGTTGGAGTGGGCCGCGGAGGGCGAGGAGTAGGCCCCATAGTGAGATGTGATCGGGTACGTCTGTTTGTGTTAGTATTGCGGGTTTATCAGTTCAGTGGGTGCGTTTGGTATGATGCTGTGCAACATAGAGACCGTACCGGGTGATCCAACGGCGCCGAATAATATAGCATCGTACTGTCGTAGAGTATCGAGGTAATCTTCAGACAGGTATCGTCCGGTTTGCTTGTAGTATGCGGTTCCCCATGGGATATGCTCAAAGTTGATATTGAATGTGCCAAGGGTCTTTGCGAGTTTCTCGATGACCTGGATAGTAGCGTTGACTACCTCGATACCAATGCCGTCGCCTGGGATCGAGGCGATGCGGTATGAATTATTTGAAGCCATGATGAGAGAGGAATCGTATGTGGAACTAGAGAAGATGGATGAGTATTTCCAGACAGATAAATAGCAGACTATATATAAAACATGTCTGCAATCAAAGATGGCTGATAGTTCGCCCTGTCATACACACCTTTTGACCGTATGGCCACTGTACAGACAAGTCGAGCCTCCCGGCAGAACTTTCAGGCGAAGATATTTGCCGTCCTCCACTATACCACACACTCTCTACACGACTTGAATCCACCACAACAAGAGAATAAAATGCCATCAAAATCTAAAGCAAAAACGCGAATAACAATTGCCTGCAACGCATGTCGCTCAAGAAAACAAAAATGCGGCGGCCGGAAACCCATTTGCGAACAATGTCTCGAGAACAATCGACCGTGCAACTGGCCCGAACAACTTCGAAGAGGACCAGAGAAAGGATATGCTGAAGCACTTGAGAATCGACTCCAGCTCACCGAGAGCATTCTTTTGAACTTACTTCCACATGTCTCGGACGAGCAGCTTTCAACCGCGATTCCTCGTCGAGAAAGCAGCGGCACGTATGTGCCATTCCCCAGACTTGAGAAGAGGGGCGTGGAGGGTTGGTCTCAGTTCCCTCTTGATACTTCTCGTGGTATTCGGAGGTGGCAGCAGGCTTGTACTGAGCCTGAAAGGGTGGGCTTGGAGGTACAGCAGGAGGGTTCTAAGAAAAGGCGTTTGCAGCAGGAAGGGTCTGATGGTTCGGTTGAAATGTCTACGACAACACGAGACATCGATGAAAGTTTCAATGAAACACACGACCGTACGGACCTGGGGTCGTCGGGTAATACACCCGAAGAGAGTACTCCGGTGGAGAGAATGAGTTCTTGGCAGGGAGCCCCTTCGGTCGAGTTTCAACGTCAGTTCCTGTGGTGAGAAAGCAGAGGTAGGCTTCTTGCTCCAGGATTTTCCCATATCGTTTGAGATACCCATTTTGCTATGGATGTATCCTGCATGATCAGCCAACGAAGATGATCTTGAATGACAACCTGATTTTACACCGTAGTCAACTAATCAGATATTATGCTGTCACCTGTGTTTGTACTCCGTATCGTTCTATGGTTCAGTCTTGTCATTGATTGTGACTTGGTGATCGAAAGCCTTTTCATTAAATATGGATAGCACGTTGTAAATATAGGCTGGCCACGGATATGTATATACGGCAAAGACAAATAATCATTGCCTCGCGAAGCATAAGTGGTGTTCCCTGTCTTCTAAAAAATAAAAAGTATAAAAAAAGAAATCATGGTGGTCATATTGAGGTTCGACCAATATCGAGGTCTTTCGCCTTCTGTATCCCAGAACTCAAGAGTGTAAACAGGGAGGGTCGACCGACGAGCATATTTTAGTTCTGACAGGAGGAATCGCTTGACCCTACCCCTCGCAGGTGTTACCGCCAGGCCACGGCCACCTGGAGGGGATACTATCTTGGGTTTATACTTTTACATATAGGAACACCTTCTTATCTCTATATCGAGTTGGAACCCGATTTTACGTAGTCAACTAATCAGATAGACAGAAGAATTATAAGTGTGAAAAGAAGCACAACTCCAACTACGTCTGGGACATCATTTTGATATACAAATTGTGTAGGATAAAATGCCCAGGTGGTCAGCTTTAAAACGTTTGACCAAAGAAAAAAAAAAAAAAAAACAAAAAAAAAAAAAAAAAAAAAAAGATAGATCTTCCTGGAGAAAGGAAGGGGGAGCCAAAGAATGATCAACAGCGACTTCTTCATTGGCTTTAATTGGGAAGAGTAGCGCCAAGGAGATGGCGGTTGCTTCCTTGGGGTCTCCGATTTTTGAATCGAGTGAGAGTCGATCGACGAGCATATTTTAGTTCTGACAGGAACGCCAGTTATGAGATTTTGCTCACCCCATTTCTCCACGCAGATGGCCGCAACTGCCGCAAGTATCACCGCTAGGCCACGGCCACCCACGTGGTACTAAATTGGGATGAATCTTTTACATATAGGAACATTTCTTAGCTCTTTATGTCTCACTTTGCTCTTATTTAACTCTTCAAAGTTGTAGTCCCACCTAAACAGTCCTCATCTCCTCGTTTTCTACGTATATTTTAGCCTGTATACTCTGTATGGATCTTGGAGGCCTTAGGCCGTAAATCATTTATTTCCCCCTATTTCTTGATTATCTTATATGCCGATAATTTGAGGCTTAAATAGTAAGTAGAATACCTAAACTTACTGGAAAATCTGTATGGTCTATTTAGTAAGGCAAATAAATGGCAGTTGGAAGTTATAGTTCGGATGAAACATTTCCCCTTCAATATTACCCCGCACTTCACCTCAATATTGCCAAGACGATAGGATATTGCAAATGCATAGTCTCATGGCAGAAGGACGAAGAAAATATGCCAAATCCCAGTGTCCCCCTAAAGAGGAGGCACCATTCCTCCATGGCATGCGTATCATGCCGGGAGAGTAAAGTTAAGGTGACTATCAATTAGCCCAGTGGAAAATCACAAGCTAATCCCAGCAGTGCGACGGTGGTAAGCCCAAATGCTCCAGCTGCATGAATAAGCACCGGGAATGTCGATACCAGGCTGTAGACAAGAGAAAGTAAGTGAACCACCAGGTCATTCCATAAAAAAAGATGGCTGTTGGTTAGATCATAGTGCTGATCATGTTCAGACTACCACTACGGGCTGCCGTAGAGCTTCTATCAAGCAGAGTTGAACAGCTCTGTCTCTTCATTCACGAAAGTGGATTGGAAGCCCCGCCTATGCCACAAGAAAAGCACACGGCTCTGGCTAAAGTCCTTGATCTTCTTGGTTTGACTGAAGTTCATTCAGCTGCAGGAAACAATCACACTAAGAACAAATCTCCCAATCCCAACTCCCCATCTGCGACATCCGGTCTACCTTCTGATGCACCAATTTCTGTGCCATTCTCCACTGCTGATATAGCAAATGATTTGAATAGCACTTGGGCCCATGCATCGAAATCCCCGGATAACACATCGCAAAATTTCCTGTCGGGTTCTGCAATGCTTTCGGATACCCATCCTGTGTCGACACTGCCCATGACCCTCGACACTGGAGATCTGGACATCTCAATTGCAGAACAGTATCAACCGGTGGATGGTCACTCGGATCATTCATTGGCCAACTGGGACTGGACCTTGGATTTTGGAACATGCATTACACCACCTTCTCCAGGCATCCAAGACATCGACATAGAACCACTACAGTCGCCCGGGGAGCAATTCGAGAGAAGACCTGAGCCGTTTGCCGCCGTTCAAACCCCACCCAACCTCAACAACGATACTAGGAGCGCAGAAGAAATTGAAGACCTTATTGATGAGCTTTCAGATCGGATGGGCACATTGCGATTTGGCCCTGGAGGACGAGCTCACTTCTATGGCCCGACATCGACCTTCAACCTTGCCGATGCTCCAGTGTCTATCAACGCGCAGAAACAGGGTCCCGTCGATTATTCCAAGGACACAGAGTATGACAGACAAGTCCCGTTATCTCTCAAGGAGCATCTCCTCAATCTCTATTTTACCTGGCAAGATCCATCGTTTCACGTCGTCGACCGAGAAATGTTCGAGAAAGGCAAGATAGCCTGGGATGGGAGGGAAGTGACCCCGTTCTATTCCGAGACACTCTGCTGTGCAATGTGAGTTTGTGTCAATTCGACAAACTAGATATGCGAAATAACATTGGAAATAGGTGCTCTCTCGGCGCTGCTTTTGAAACCCGTTACCACCCATCCTTTGTGACGTTCCCGAAGTCTCTCGGTGAATTCTTCGGGGACCGTGCAAAAGAGCTTCTAGAAATAGAACTAGACTCTCCATGTGTGGCAACAGTCCAGGCACTAGTCATCTTAAGCAGCCATGAAATTGGTGTGGGCTCAGATACACGTGGATGGCTATACAGTGGTAAGTTCTTTTTTGAAAGTTCCTGGTTTGCTTAGCTTACAATTCTAGGGATGGCCCTTCGACTTGCTTTTGATCTTGCCTTGCATATTGACCTATCCCCCTATGTTGCTCGTGGGTCTGTTACCGCTGCCGACGCTGAGCTGCGTCGAACCGTCTTTTGGGTTGCGTATATGGTGGATCAGTGAGTTCCCGCGGTGTTTTCGTGTTCGCTCAGGCTATATATATCTAATCTGTTGAATTCCAGTCTTGTCTCCTTCTACCTGGGAATACCCTTTTACACCAACATGGAGGATGTGACAGTGCAAAAGCCCAACGATGACGCTGACTACCGAGCACCTTGCAAATGGACGCCCTACGCATCTCCCATTCCATTTGACAATAATTCGGGATTGAATGACTGTGTAGGAGCTGTCAGTCGACAAGAAATCTCACTATGTGAGCTTATGGCACCTTGTGGCTACTTCCTGTAAGTTCCCGTTCCCGTTCCCGTTTGTCGTCTCTCCTGGGCTGCCTCAATTGGGCCCAAGTCAGTGCCTCAGCTAACCTAACCTTCCCCTCGAAAAAGATATGGAACATCAGGTATTCCAAGAGCCTTGCTCCAACAGCTTAATGCAAAAGTTGTTGCTAAGCTTCTCAATTGGAAAGCGCAATTGCCCTCATTTTTGCAAATCGACCTCAACAATCACACTTCTCCTTATCTTCCGCATGTGCTACTACTTCAGTGAGTTGCTATTGTACTTCTCTTCAAAAGACTTTACGAACATGTTTTCTAAATCATCCTAAAGCATGCAATATTACCAGAACCTCATCTACAGCCATCGACCCTGGATGTCAAAAGGCTACCTGCAGCCACAACCCCCAAAGGGACCAGGTTCCACGCACGCTCGAGAGATGTGCATCAATTCCGCCATCTCCATTGCCAAGATCCTTGTATTATACGAGACCCGATATACTCTCCGCCGCATAAATGTCAAAGCCGTCTCAATTACCTCCTCCGCCGTGCTCCTACTCCTCTTCGCCGCCGTATCCCAATACCAAACCCCGGAAGGAGAGAATATCATCGCTCATCTGAGTACCTGTTTCAGAGCCCTTGATGAGTTCTCTCTATCTTGGCAGAGTGCCAATCGCGCTAAAGACCTCCTGGTAAGGCTCCAGCATAAATGGGACACCCGCACACGTGCTACCAAGCCGGACCGCGGACCCGATGGGACTGGTTACCCGCCAAGAATACGGTCACGAACACTTAATGGATCTGGCGCCATAATCCCTGATCGTGGAGGACTTACAAATGCACAGCCTGAGACGAGTGGTTTTCCGCTAGAGTCTGGGTTGGGCTGGAAGCTTATGCTCAACGGTCAGCTGCCATCGGATGGGGACTAAGGCCTCGATTCATTCGTTGCAAACACAGATATTCCTGAACCCGAATCCGAATCCGAAACTAAATAAATATCAGGAGATTCCAATTAATTTATTTTTTTGAGATAAATAATGAAAAAAAATGAAAAATGTGAATCATTGATAAAGGGTAAAGGGTAAAGGGTAAAATGGATGATCCACAAACGGCGATCCCCTAGAAACCTCGGGTGACTTTTAAATTGGGCTGGGCCGAGGTTCTGCCACATTAATTAATTACAGTTTACAGAGTTCGAACCCCTGCATCTTCTGCACCAAAAATTGCTTATTTGTGTCTTGTTAGTGCATCAACATAACCATACAGAGTACACCTTCATATATGCATCCTGTTCCCCTATCCTCATACCCTGATTGCGCCCCGCAGTTGCCCCTGATCCCAACGACGATCACCCCTGCCTATTCCATCACCGCCTGTTTCACCACTACAGCCTATTTCGCGACCTCTCGCAAGCCTACCGCAAGCCACCGCAAGCCACCTCAAGCCTATCGTAAGCCTATCGCAAGCCTATCCCGGGAGTACTTCGGGGCTTATCTCGGTGGTTGGTACGGCACATTGCGGGATCGGGAAGCCCGGGGCAGATTCGGGGACGAGCTCGGCGGAATCGGGGAATCAATAGTTACTAACCTAGGTAGGGAAGCTATCTTAGTAATAAACCGTTTGGGAAGAAAACGGGGTGAAGAATCACATGTGACAGGTGTGACTTATTTTTGTTAGCCGTTTACATATAGACTGCAGGTACCTTACAGTCTTCGTACATTCTATGTCTAGGCCTCGGGATAGGGGCAAGGCAAGAGCGATGCCCAAATTAGGAAGGCGGACCTGAAATCTCATCGAGACCAGTGGGGAGGTGGGTCGCTATAGCATACCTAGCTAAGCCATGCGCAACCCTAAATGAATACCAAACGGTTTATTCAAACAAACTTTCATGATTTGAATAACGTGGCGATCTCGTATGTAGATCTATTTCAAATAGAATGCCAAGTCCGCACCTTCTGCTCTCTCCCACCCTAGGTCTCCATTTCCAAAGATACGAAAACGGATCCGAGTTGTTATCGTACCGGATATCGAAGTCCTCACCCCGAATGTCCTCGATGGCCTATAGTATAGCCTCTATTGCCAAGTCAATGGCGATTGCCAGACTTGTCTTTGTAATGTAAAACACTACCTGGGTACATCGCCGTAACAGCTTGTCCATTGTTATACTAGCATGACAACCCTTGCTCCACACATTACGCTTTAGACAGCTTGCGTACGACGGTTGTAGTTTCGAACAGCGGAATCGTATCGTTTACTACTACGGACCTGTTCAGATATTAGTTGGAGATCATGTCTCCCATCTCACACAATGCTCACTTGATATCCTTCCGAGCTATCCAACTGATCATCCGGGGCACGCTGCCATGACCAATGGAAAAAACAGTTGGGCCCCATTGACCATGAAGTAGTTTGGTATTCCACCGACGCAAATAGAGAAGTACGCCTCGGGTACCTTCTTCCACTCCACATCAAGCCGTCAACCTTCCCGGACACAAGCTCCCACCCGGAAAGGAAGGTGGTATCAAAACCAGTCGCTCAGACAATCAAGTCAAAATCCTCCTCGCCCGCTGCGAATACAGGTCTTGGCAATTTCTTCCATAACCTCCAAAGCATCATTCAGAATTTAGTTACTGTAGCGCTTCGAGGTACCCATCACCAGGACTCAGTCTGCGACATCCAATTTCGAATTTGGGGATAAGTTTGTCGATCAGGTCCGAATAGGCCCCGAAATTGCATCAAATAGCATTTGGTTATGCTCAGAGCCAGATAATATCAGGCGATAGACGATGTTAACACTTCTCATAATTAGTCTGATTCACTTGAAAAAAAAGAAATTACAACATTAAAAAAGGGTTGTAAGCAGTAAGCACTCAGCCCGTTTCCTGTACTCCAGGAATGCTTGGGGATCATCTCGGAACTTCGCTTTCTCTTCCTCGCTATATTCAAAGTTTGATCCCATTCCATCCTTTGCGATCTCCAGACAGAGATTGACCCAGGTCGGGTGACCAATGTAATTGACGATCCTGGCGGCTTTGGGCTGGAGCGCGGGAACAACTTGGATACCAGATGAGCCATTACCAATGACCGATATTCTCTTGTCAGACCAGTCGTACGTTTTATCCCAAGCAGTCGTGTGGACAAGCTTTCCAGAAAACGCCTCCAAAACGGCGATATCCCGCATCTTTCATTAGTTGAGAATCCCAGAACCATTGATTAAAAACGTCCGCTTCGTCAACGGATTCTCGTGCCGTTCTGTTTGGGCTTGAGTGCCCATTTTCTTCGTTCCTCATTCCAAATAAATTTCACGAGTTTAGTATCAAACACGATTGGATCTTTCAATCCGTACTTGTCTACCGTGTCAACAATGTATTTCCCAATTTCGCCACCACCAGCATAGCCGTTGGACCAGTTCGGGTTAGGCTCGAATGGCAAGACATAGATAGCTGTGGGCGGGAACATCGCATCCAACACCAGGACAGACATTCTCAAACCATGAGCCTCCAACCTCGCAATTCTTTTCGTAGATTTGTAAAATCCACGGAATCAAGTGGATGCTCTTGTTTCAGTTTATGGGCGAGAATTATGCCAGATATGTCTGTCCCTATACAGACGACTCGGAGGTTGGGCTCCTCGAAAGCATATTGACCGGGGTTTATATTGATAGTCTCACTACAACATATGAAGGAATTCGTTGGATGGCATGGCGACGCACATCAGTGGAGGCTTTTTGGTTTTTTTTTTTGTTTTTTTACCCCTTCCCTATCTGTTTCTTATCCCACTCTCCACTGTATGTAGGAAGACGGAGAACTTCCGGGCCCAACGAATTACTCCGAACTCAGGAACTCAGGGGTCGTCTCCATAGCTTTAGCGTCAAGACAGTAGTCCATAGTAGCGTTGAGTAGCGTTGACCGGGGTTTGGAATTAGATCCGAATCCTTCCAAGTGAGGATTCAAAGACACGTCATAGGCCAATATCATTTGATGGGTTTCATCCAGCACGGGAAGTGGAGATCCGATTGATATTGTCCACGGCTGGCATTGGGGGCGTTTCTTGGCCATGCATTTCAAAGCCTGTGAAGAGATTTAGACTATTATAATGTATGAATCTAAAAAAGTATGAAAAATCTTAATTTGGAAAATGACTTTAAAGATAGCTCATCCTGTATTCACCCTATTCTTCTTTTTTTCCATCGGATGTGAGCCTTTTCTCTAATTCTCTACATGTCGCACAGCCCGATTGGGCAGCCTCCACCAGGCACGGATCTAGCCGCCGATCACCCACTGAACATTTCTCCTGTGATCGCTACCTATGTCATCGCAGTGGTAGTTGTCGGACTTCGGTTCTATACGAGATTTCAAGTGCAAGGTGTACGAGTACTTGCAGACGATTGGATAATCGTACTTGCCTTGGTATGTGGTCACTGCAAAAAAAACAAGAGGGGGAATCTGTTTCTGACAGATATGTACAGCTGTCTGTGACCGCAGGTTTCGCTTTGGTCGTGATTGGTATTTATACATCCTTAGTCGGCGCAAAGCAATCTCAACTCTGACCTTATGGTAGTAAATCGAAATCCTTGTATCGGGAAACATGTATGGACCGTCCCTCAGGTCCAGGTCGAGGACATGATGCGCATTCTCTTCGCCTTCGTCGTCTTCTATGTGTTCAGTACACCACTCATTAAACTATCTATCATTCTTTTCTACCGCCGTATCTTCGGCATGACATATTCAATCTGGTTCTGCATGTTCCTGACGGCTGGATATTTTGTCTCTGGCATAATCGCCTTTCTGGTTTGCTGCAGACCAGTTTCATACTACTGGACACAGTTTACAAACCCCGATGGAGGAAGATGCGTCTACGACCTCTACAATTTCTATATCAGCTACGCTGGTGTTAATGTGATCACGGATGTGGCCATCCTGTTGGTTCCAATTCCCATTGTGTGGAAGCTGCAAATGCGAAGGACACAGAAACTCCTCGTATGCGGTATCCTCTTGATTGGAGGAATGTGCGTCACCTCCCCCTGGTCAATTGTATTTGGCTCAAGCTTATATATTTTTCTTTTTTTTTTAGTGTCTGCATTGCAAGCCTCGTCCGAATTTATTATATAACCTTCATCAAAAACGGAGATTACACCTGGGTCATCGGCAAAGTCTTCACGTGGTCCAGCATTGAGCCCTCAATTGGCATCTTATGCGCCTGTCTTCCAACATTACATCCATTGATCCGCGCCGTTATGTCTCGTGTGTTTGGCACTAGATCGGCGAGGTATGTTGCTTCAAGGAATCAAGAGCCAACGAATAAAAAGACATTTATTCGTAGACAAAGGCCACTTGACTGGGACGAGACCTTGTTGACTACACATGATATACAAGTCGAGATGAGTGGAGTCAGGAGGGATCATAATGTCGAGGATGGGCATATCACTGTGGACATGGAGTTTCAAATCGTTGAAGAGAGCAATCAACTAAGTAAACGGTAGCGGGTAATGCTTTACCCCTAGGGCATATTTTATGCCTGTTTTCTAAGGTATCTACCTTCCCAATACAGTCGAGTCTACCTTGGAACCCCGGACTTGCTGACTAATATATTTTCCCCTCCAGGGCTCCAGGGCTCGGAGCAGGTCTCGAGAGCTACATGTACCGTAATCACCCATCTTTCCGAGAGCGCCGTAATGGTGTTGAAAAAATGTTCCATCTGTTCGCGGGTGTTCAAAAAAACCGAACACTATAAGAGACATGAACGGTCGCGTCAGTCACGTCGAACCCCTGCAAGAGCTACAACCTGACATGCAAAACAGACACCAAGGAACGCCCATATGAATGCAATGTTTGCCATAAACGTTTCTCTCGAAGGTAAATTCCGTTGAAAGCGCATGTGAATTGTAACAATATTCAATATCATATGTTCAAATCCCTGAATTGAATGAGCATACAGCGATGTCTTGAGCCGACATGCCAAAGGCCATAATCAAGTCAATGCGACACCCGGTCCATCGGAAGCGCCAAATCAACAGTCATCAGTAATTTCGGGTGCATCATCAATGGTCCCCGGATCAGGAAATGGTTTCAGCAGCGCAGAAGCACAGATTCCACCTCTATCTAGCACTTCGCGAGATGCGCCTCCCGCATCAACGGGGCTTCCATCGTCACTAGATTACCTAGCCGACATTTCAGCCCACCATGGCCGCAGTGAGCCAGACCTCGGCGTGATGGTGACGGACGACCAGCAGCAGTACTTTGGATGGAATGCAGTCACGGCTGCGGATCAGGTGGCACATCGAGCTGGCTTGCCCTTCGATCCTGGGCCAAAAGACATGCTACAAATGTGGCTCGAACCTCGCACAGATTTAGGGTCAAATGACTCGCTAGATTTTATGGGCGATAGCCATTTCCCTTTGATGGGTGGTAATTTGATGATTGCTCCAGACCAACAGAATCAACATTCAGTCGGCAGCAGTGATGACATTCCCAATGAACGCTTTGCTAGGGTCCAGCAGTGCTGGCTAGCACCACCGAACACTGGGCGTCTTATCAACAGTTTATGGCGGGATATCGCCATGTCGCCTGTTGATAATATCTTCTCAGTTCAGTCATCACACCTTACCAGCGAGTCAAATGCCGTTCAAGGATCGCGGTGTGGATTCGACGAGGATTGTAGACGGCGACTGCAGGCAGCTTTTGGACCGATGGCTGTTTCTGGGCATATTACTCCAGCAACGCCTGCCTCGGCCTTGACTCATTCTGATTTCCCTCCCGCTGAGATCTTGGATATGGCACTAGACTTATTTTTCCGCATCTTTAATCCCCTCTTGCCATTTGTCCATCAACCGACATTTTCGGCAAGGAAGGCGCGACCATCTATCTTATATGTTATGACGCTGGTTGGCATGACATTGCTTGGCACCAAAGGAACAACCGCGTTTGTGTCCAGAAATTTCTCAGTATGTCAAATATTGTTAAGCGCGTTGTATATGCAGGCAGCTTACTGGCAATCATTAGGGCGCTTTGGACAAGGTCACAGCTGAATTTTCTCGATGCTCGATGGGACTTGAGAGCGCTTCCAGCACTATGACACTGTTTGCGACAGTTTTGCTTTTATTAAACCTGGCTGGTTTGACCGGGGTATGAATCCCTCGGCCTGAATTTGCTGGACTGAAGGTACTAATTGATGTTATTTTGCAGGAAAAGGTACATCTGGAACAGTGTCAACCTCTTTATATTAATGTTATGTCTGTGAGTGTGGAGAGAACCTTCTTGTTTTCCTCCATCGCTGTGGTACTAATGACAACTACTGTAGGTCGCCCAAAGACATGGGTTATTCTCGGTCACTGAGGGACAGATCCTTGACATGACTCTCTTCGAAACAGTTCCCGATATTGAGCGGAGATGGAAAATCTGGAGCAAGGTGGAATCAACCAAGAGGTATGCCGCGATTCCCGCCCATACAACGGTGTTCGTCACTAATAGTATCGCCAGAATAATCATCGGACTACTGCTCCTGGACTCTTGGTACTCTTCATTCCTCTCAACCAGTCCGATCACAGTCCCGGATTCGATCCAACTCATCCTCCCCTGCAGCGAATCTCTCTTCAACGCCCAGTTCTCAACCCAATGGACACACCTAATACGCAGCGGCAAGCGCATCATCTCCCCAACAATCCTCGCCCCGTCCGAAAACATCAAAATCCCCGTCCTAGAAGGCCCCGCAGATGACTTCTGTATACAAGCAGTACTAGCAATAGTTCAACTCCGCCAGTCAGAATCCTACCACCGCCTCCTCTCCAATAGAGCCAGCTACCCCTTTGCTCCATGTCACACCTACGCCATGGACGGCCGAGCCAGGTGTCTCCCCTCCCTTCAATCCCAGCTTATCACAAACTACGGCGAAACCCTCCACCGGCTAAACCCCAACGCTCTCATCACATGGCACAACATGTGCATGACTCTCACAGCCGATATCCAAATATTCGACCTCGCAGCTGGCCGTGCAGGCCCGGCTCCCGCGCGCAGGGCCCTCGACGATATCCGTGAGTGGTCACAGACGCCTGCAGCCAGACGCGCGTGTCTGCACGCTGCGCATATCTACAAAGTCATGACAAATCGCAAAGCATCCGACCACCCCACGTTCCAATCTATTTTTTCGCTCTTCTCGGCCGGGTTGGTGCTCGGTCTATATACGTTTATGGTGTCAGACTCTGCGGGTTCGCCGTCTAATGTCGGGTTTGTGGAGTTGATGGACGATGTGGACTGGAGAGAGGTGGGCACGGAAGGGTTCACGAGTTTTATGGAGCCTAGGGGAAGTCAGACTCTCGCACCAACGGATGATCCTGCTGTTAACTTCATTCGCAATGGGGCTACGATCTACTTGCGGGGACTGCCGTTTCACGGTGGGTATCAGTCTGCGCGTCGGATCATGCTTGATTATGCCTCTCTTCTCAAGGACTCGGGGAAGTGGAATGTCAAGAAGTTCTCTTATATTTTATACATAATGAGTGATGTTCTTATGGATGTCGAATGATAATGTCTCAACTGGTATTGACGAAAGAAATCTGTTTTGGTTGATTCTCTTTTCTTTTTCTTTGCTTGCTCGATACGTTCTTGTTAAATGAATTTCAAGATAGGGGAAGTCTTCGTATAGGGGTAATCGGGCCTCAGTGAGAAAGGTGCCCAAATAACAAGGGTAAGTCAACGGTGTAACATCATTGGATCTTCCTTATGCACTTTAATTGAGCTAGACTGACTCGAGCTAGCCTGCAAGTCTCAGCTACATGGGGCCAAAATAAGAATGACTGACCTCAGATCACACTCCTGGATATTATTATACTACACTGACATTTACTGTCACATATTGGTGTCATGGCTCCTAATGGTTCAAGGGAGTATATCTCTTTAGGAGCCCTCAACAGAAACGCGCATAACGACGATGACGCCGAAGAGGAACAACCGCATCACAAAAGCAATATCTGGCATCGAATTGATACCACCAGTGTTCTGACTGTGAGCCTCGGCTTCCCGCTACTGCTTCTCGCAGTGATACTCCTGGCTCTGTTCTGGCACGAGTCAATGAAAGCTATCGGCGGGGCAGAGTCAAATACCTACTGGCTGCGCATCGTCAATGCAGGCTGGGCAGCGCAACTGGTGACAGTATGCACCGCCTCTATCCGAACTGTGGTCGCTTTCCAGGCCGGACTTGCCACGGCTATGATTGCCGGTATTGTTTTGGAGACCACAGGCGCCCCCATCCTGCAGGGTCCATTTTACTCCATGCTCCGAGCAGTCAAGGTGGCGCCCAGCAACCTTTGGACTGCGACCAACTTCCAGCCTCATCTGTCGTACTTCATTTATGCGTTGGTGCTCACTGAGGTCTTGGTGACAGCAGCGTCCCAGTTCCTGTCCACCATCTTCCTCTCTGATTTTGGAAATGGGAACTTCTCCCAGCGCAGCAATGCGACAAATGTCAGCATCCTCCATACCACGAGTAACGCCGACATTTCATGGTTGGCGCCTGCTGCGGCCAGCTGGACATTTGCCGAGCTGTCGGAGTCCTTTGAAGATCGGTCGGGGTACCATGATACTGGGCACACCTTTCGAGCTTTCCTTCCTTTCGAGGAGGAAGCGCAACGAACCAAATTACGCCGGCTCCGCGGTCCAATGCCGGTAATGGATCATCGAGTCGTCTGTTCCAGTCCGCCCCTAACGAACTTGAGCCTAGATGCGACCCTGCAGAATTATGTGCATCTGTCCGGCCAGATTCCCACAAAGAACTTGACCTATCCACTTTTAATTGACTCCAACTCTCAACCCTACATCAACTTTACCTGCAAATTACCGACTCCAATGTACGCGCACGACAACAACACGATGGGTGAAAGCAGCTTATGTGTCCCACACACCCGCTTAAACTGGACGGTTCTCAACGAAGACCCTCTGATCCAGCCGTACGGCCTCCCCGAGACCTCAGCCCTATTAATGGTTCTCGATGTTGTTTCCACCGCCGCAATGGTGGGCACACTAGCACACATCCGAGCCTTGCAGACAATCCGAACGGACGGCCCCTGGACGATACTCTCTAACGGATCCGCCCACACCGAAACCCTCCGCGTTTCTGCCTGCCTCGCCAATCTCGCCATGCAAACCCTCACCGTCGGAATAAACAGTACCTCTGACAACCTCGAGCCCAAGACTGCCTGGGACTTCAACACCGAACACTTCAACACCGAACCATCCCGCCTCCAACTAGGCGTATCCTCCCCAGTCAACACGAGCTCCACCAACCACCGGGGTATCCTCACGCTAGAACCCCGATCCCAATGGAAAACCTTTGATATCCCAGCTGGTACCCCAGGAATGGAGATCGACTCGATCACCTTCTTCGCGGCCATCCTCGTCAGCTTCCCCAGCTTCCTTATTTCCAATCTCAACTACACCTTCAATGATGGCGTGATCCTCTCTCGCATAATTCCATCTTTCTACTTAGGCAACGCCCATCCGACCCATGTGGATCTTTTCCAGGACACTCTGATTACGACGGCCAGTCCGGCATTAGCCCTCCAGGCTCTGCTCGCCCGCATTTGTCAGATGGCATACTACGAGCAATTGGTAAAGTTGACTACTCCGGCCACGGCCGTGACAACGTTCTCGTTTACCGCGACGATTCCGGTGCGGTGGACGGGTTTTGTGCTGGGGATTATTCTCGTTTTGGTTCACTCGGTTATTGTGGTGGTGATTGCCGTGCTGTTTGTGAGGTCGACGGAGGTCTCGTTCATTGGGAGTTACTGGCAGACGGTGGCGCAGGTGGTTTCGAAGGAGACGGGGCTGATTCTGGAGGAGGCGGATCGGATGGATGATGGGGCTGTAGAGGAGTGGGCTAAGCGGGAGAAGGTGGTGGAATTATCTGAGGATCGTTGGGCTTTACAGGCGAATGCTGATGGAAGGGTTACTTTGGGGGTTGTAGAAAGTGGAGAGTAGAATCGGGTTCATAGAGTATATAAAGTAAGTAGGTAGTAACCTGAATATTCGCTAGGGCACTAAAGAACCAGGTGAACTACAATGTTCAATGATATTGATTCTGGGGGAAGAAAACTCAAATTCAGCAACTGATGTCTTGCGTAAGGGATTCTGCAATGCTGACAGAATGATTTGTTGATGGTTTGCTTTACTTCTTCATCTTTACTCTATCATACTACACTTTTACGGATCTGGAATACCAAAAATAACAACTTGAATTGACAGCATTAGATCCTGGTGGAAACTAATTTCTATGATCGATCAGCCGAAGTAAACTCCAACTAGTTATCCATGTACATACTAAGCCCCGTTGACTGTATTAGAAGGCCCCCCTGGACCACCACCCAGAATGCGCTTAGTATCAATCATCAGCTTACCAGCCATAATATCCTCCCTATGCGAATCAGCAATCTCAGCTGCACGCCACAGAATATGAACACGTACAAGCGCAGCATCCCCCACGACCGGCAACGAGAGACAGCATGGCTGGGTGTGATGCAGAGGCATAGTTGTAACAGTAGCAACCCCCGATCGGCACTGCTCGGCCATAAGACTCATCATCCGGTCGCCGCTGGTAGGCTTGGTTCGTCCGCCAAATTTAGTGAAGTCTACCGTAACCCAGTGAGTGAATTGCATCGCCCTGATCTCGGCGATGTTGGTGCCATCGGGGCGAGAGAACATACCTGGTGGAGACATATTGGCTGATATGAGAAGGGGTGGATTTAGATAGTTAGGTTGGAATGAACGGTAATTGTGATGACTGGCTCGAGAGGGGCTCTGATGGGATGGTGATATCAATTGAGGGGATGGATGTATGGCCAGTTAAATACTAACTCCAGTCCACATGTGCATGTTGTCGAGTCTTTGTTAAGAACAATTGCCTTCACTTTCTTTCATGTCTATATCCGAGCCTTTGGGGAGTTATCCCTTTGCCTCTTTGTCCATATTTAGCCAGAGGCTAGGATCCATTTGAACTCCGCTTTGCATCTCTCTTCCTATATATTTATAGATGTGAAAGATGATGAAAGATGAGGCTATATCCTTTTTATACTTTTATATGTTTTATAGTTCCATGGGTCACAGACTTTTGAGTTCAATCTATGATCTCCAGGGCTTAGCGTGATCCGACTTCGGATCGCGGTCATTACCGAGGTCGCGGGGGTGCTCCTTCCAAATTATCCTTCCTTCCTCGCAATCTGCTGGTCAATTGCGTCCCTTCCAGATATGTCTGCACGTGCTCTGCTTAAGCAGCAATTTAAGCTTAAAAACAAGCTTCCCATTCGCTGCTTCTCCAGCACCCGGTCCACCGGTGCGGACTTTACGCACGCGGTATAGTGCACCCGAAATCCAAGATAGAGATCCAAGGCTAATCTGAATGAAAGATAATCGGCGCAGGCGTCGTCGGCCTCGCGACCGCACGACAACTTGCGGCTCGCGAAGGCACCTCAACCATTCTACTAGAGCGCCATGACGCACCAGGGACAGAGACAAGCAGTCGCAACTCCGAAGTATGCATGCTAGGCGATAAGCCCACCCCCAACATTTGGCAACAGACACCACAGACCAAACAAACTAACAACATCTCACCAACCAGGTAATCCACGCAGGGCTCTATTATCCCGCAACCTCGCTCAAAACCAGCCTCTGCATCCGCGGCCGCAACCTCCTCTACGACCTCTGCGCGCAAAACAACATCCCCCCACCGCAATACGAAGAAATGGATCGTAGCGCAAAGCCCCGCACAATGGGAAGCCTGTCTGAAAATCCACGCGCACGCACAAGGACTAGGCGACGCCCCGACACGCCTAGTGGGTCGTGAGGAAGCGCAGCAGCGCGAACCAGACGTCAAGGCCGACGCAGGCATCGTCGAGAGCGAGACATCCGGTATCGTGGATAGCCACTCGTTGATGACCTATCTGCAGGGTGACTTTGAGAACCGGGGTGGCGATATTGCATTCAAGACCCGCGTGACAAGCGTGGAGGCTATTGACGGCGGCCGCGGCGGGTATAAGATCACCGCTGTCTCGGATGAAGATGGCTCGGTTACGTCCATTACCGCTGAGACGCTGGTTAATAGTGCTGGTCATGGCGCGTGTGATATTAGCAATATGCTCCTCCCGCAAGAGCGCCATTTTGTTCCGCATTATGCTAAGGGCACGTATTTCTCTTATGCGTCATCCAGACCAAGGACTTCCGTTTTGGTTTATCCGGCAACTTTGCCCGGTACTGGTGGGCTTGGTACGCATCTGACACTTGATATGGGTGGGCGTGTTCGCTTTGGACCGGATGTTGAGTGGGTAGATAGTCCTGATGATTTGGTTCCGAGCGCTGCGCGTTTGGAGCAGGCGTTGCCGGAGATCAAGGCTTATCTGCCTGGTGTCGATGTCGATGCTATTTCGTTGGATTACTGTGGTGTTCGCCCTAAATTGGGGAGGGGCGGTGCTGTAAATGAGGGGAAGGGGTTCCAGGACTTTATTATCCGGGAGGAAGAGGGTCTGCCCGGGTTTATCAATTTGTTGGGGATTGAGAGCCCGGGCTTGACGAGTTCTTTGGCGATTGGTGAGATGGTTAATAAGATTTTGTACCGTTAGGTTTTGGGTTGTAATTACTACAATTTTGGATGGTATATAGGAAATACATAGAAAAGAACACTAACTAGACATAGATGACCAAACCATCCCCTTATTACTTACACGAAATTCCAGAAAGAGGACAACCTTCTGCTTTTTACAAGAAGTAAGCATCAAGGTTCAAGGACCAATGATATCGAACACATGAGGTGAGATTTTAGTTCCCATCGCCTATATCAACTACCAACCCCAACCCCCATCACTACATACACCAACTCCAACTTATCCCCCGAAATGACATCCCCCCTCACAACTCTAGGCCTTCGCGCCTCTCTTAACTCCAACTCAAACCACGGACCCATATTCCTAACATTCAACTTCATCCTCGCCTACGGCATCTTCTCCTCGCGCACCCTAAAGCAATGGTACGGCCTCGACCACCAAGTCTCGCCACGCGAAGACCTAATTAAATACGGCGAGGCGGCTGTGCGTGAAGGAAAAATCACGCGCAGGCAGCTGGATATGCTCAAGCGGAATGAGTCGGCGCATGCTAATGCGGTGGAGAATTTTCCATTGCTGGTTGCCGGTGTGCTCTTTGCGTCGTTGGCTGGTGTCCCCGCGCGAAGGGTTAACGCTGCGGCGTTGTCGTATACTGTTGCGCGCGTTGTTTACGGCGCTGTTTATATTTTCGTGGATCATCCTACGTGGAGTCAGGTTAGGGGGTTGGTGTGGTGGTGGGGGAATGTGAGTTGCTTTTTTTCTGTTGTGGAAGGCTGGGGACTTGTTGGCTTGAGGGATTGGAGCTCAATGTATGTCAAGTATACCGTATTCTTAGTAGAGTAGCATAGTGCTAGAATAAAAACAACGTGCAAGAAGGCAAATGTGAAAGAGACTCTGTCAGTCATCAAGACTGAAGCAATAAACAAGACAAAAAGCCTCATGTGCAATGCATAAAGCGAAAAGTAACAGTACCGGTACGCCACGACAAGATGAAGAGAAAAAAGAGAGCAACCCCAGCGCAAAGTATGACCATGCAAAGCTCACTCCAAAGTCAACGTCCAGCGTCTATACAAAAACTCAAACACCACGAGCAACGCAAGTCCTGGACGGTAATACACAAAAGTAAACAAATCATTTCAAGCCAAATCCTTCGCTATTTACAACTGCATCCCAGAGCAGCCGCTGGAACTTCTCCTGCGTGGGATAGCGGTAAAGGCCAAGCGTGTTGAAACATGTACGCGCAATCGGATAACGTGGACAGTCATCCCCAAGACAAGCGAGTCGGATAATAAGGCTTGTAGCCCCCATGGCAGGGATTCGATCGCTGCCAGTAATGAATGACAGGATCTTGCGCTGATCTTGGGGCTGTGATTTCTCAAAGAAGTCCCAGAACCATCGCACAACGGGGAGCGATTCTGGTCGTGGGTGTGACCAGTTGTCGTAGGTGGCCACGGCCCGGAGCGAACTAACATCGAGTGGTTCATCTGAGCCGCGGACTAGCATTTCGATCTCTTCTGGTCGGAACAGTGATAGCGCATTTCCACCGCAAACTGTGAAGAAACCGCGTTTGAAAGGTTCGAATTGTCGAGCCACGGCTGCATCTAGCAGATATTGGACATACAAATCCACAAACTCACGCTTGTTAGAGTTGGTCACCGGCCGGTTCTCGCCATTTGCACAGAGTGGCACACTAATTATCTCGCCGTAGCGATCGACCTGGGCAACGAAATCATAGCAGAATGTCTCGGCAACATTGCCTTCAAATTCTAGTAGACCCCGGAGTCCTTTGGCGAGAGTTGGCCGGTACTCGGCAAGATCCTCTAGAGTGCATTTGAAGGTCGAACGCATGGAGGTAGCCGTTTGTGGACCGTTGGCGTGCGGCGCTGACGACAGCAGTTTCTTGAACGCAAACGGCGGGAGATCAACATCAAGGATGGTGGAGTTGTAAATGGCGAGACCTAGAAGAACTCCAACCAAGAAAAATTGTTCGGATGACTCAAAGCAATAAGGATTGAAGTAGCAGTACTGCGAATCATCATCGTAGATGAAGAGGCCTATTTTTGATTAGCGAGTCACTTCACTCTAAAATCGGGAAACGCTTACCATGAAGCGGGTCAAAGACCTCTCGAACGAGCAGAAGGAACCATTCCTTCCGCAGGCCACCAGCGTCAATGCCTTCTTCGCCCGAAAATTCGATCCGAAGACCCTTTTTGATTTCCTCTTGGCCAGTACCAACAACTTCACTCACTCCCTTGAGGCTGTCTTCAACCAAACACTCGCGCCGTACCTTCAACACGAGGTACTGACTAACCGCCGTGTGGTTGAGGACACTGTTGAAAAAATGCATCGCGTGCTTTCACTTCCATTTGACGACGCGCATCATGCTCCATGATATGAATTTTGGCCCAGATGCTAAGGAGGAACGGATACTGACAGAACGCAAACCTCGCGACTTTAGCTTCCCAGGTCTCGAAGTCCGTCACTAGATCCGAATAGTCCAGCAGTGTGTTGTAAAACGTGCTGATCGGAATCATATGTCCTTGACGAGGTCCGGGGTTCTTGGGCATTTCAAGACTGCGCAGGGTTCCATCAGACTTTCTCGTTGAAGAGGATATGTTAGCCGTAAAGAACAGCGACATTACTCTTGCCGCCGCTCTGACCTGCCAGTCCTCGGCGTATATTATGGGGTCTTCGGTTTTTTTGCCAGGCTTCTTGTTCGTGGTACTTCGGTTGATTGCAGCGTGAAGTTCCGCAGCAGTATTTCCTGAAGCACTGGCGAAACTCGGTATTAGATCGTCTCCGTTATGAGGGTTTTGGGAGTTTTGAGGGCGTTTTCGCCCATGCTGACGACTCAAGCGGTAGGTGAGAAATCCACCGACAAGCTCTACCAGGCGCTCGAAATGTCTGACAGAGAAACGGGAAGCCCATGACACGATGTAGTGGTGGCAGTCATTAGGCAGGTTAGACATGAGTCCCAGGATTCGTTTGATAATCCCATAGTGATGATTGGAGCCCTCTAGACGAGCAGGGGCTTTGGACGACTCTTTCTGCGAGACTTTTCCATCTCGGGTTGCCGACTTCGGGTAGTCCTTTGGATGCGAGGGGCGCCTATCGTCTCCATGAGGCGGCAAGGTGGGCGCATGATGGCAATAAGCGGTAGGTGAATACAATAGAGGATTCGCTAGCAAAATGAACAAGAACCTGGTTTCTTCTGGTTTCTTCAGAACACGGCGCGGGCGCTTGAGGGTGGCCTCGGTAGCTTTCAACAGTGCCCGTTGTAAGTGCAAACGAGACTCGCTGATTTGTCTCCCAATCAAGGATGGATCAATAGACGCCCATCTCTTGGCTCGGATCGAATCAGCTTTTGATCGTGTAGGGTCAGGTTTTTTTGCGGCCCAGAGCTCACTCCAAGAATTCCCCGCAGACAGAATTGAATGATACCACTGGGCTAACTCAGTCCAGTTGATCCGAGGACTTCGCGATGATATCATCCGGGACTTTGGGGCGCTCTTCTCTTTTGAATACGCAGGGTTTTGGCCGTCAGTTTCAGCCCACTCATTCATCCACCAAGCAGAGTTCTCGGTCAAATCTCCCAAAAGAAGAGTTTTAGCATCCGGTTCAAAGACAGGAGCATCATGCACTGGTTCAGGCATTGTGGTCGCTTCCATCCTCACTCTTGGCGCATTGCCATTACTCGCTGATCGGGCAGATCTAGGAGGTGGGTATGTCGTGAAAGATTCGTTGAGGCAATCACAACCTTTGAAGGCAGTGGCGATGGTATTTTCCAGCCGTTTGAAAATGTGTGTCCGATTGTCTGAGCTTTGAAACTCCGGGTTCCCAGCTTGCGAGACATCTTGCGGGTGGCAGTCTAGCTTTGGAGTTGATCGGAGATCTGAATTTGCTCGGACTCTAACGGGCGTGTCATTTCCCTCCCAGTGAACGGACTGTGGTGTCAAGTAACCTGAGTTCTCCTTTGATGCTGCCAACCTTTCCCGTTCACTGGAATTGGAAGCACTGCGGCCCCGAGAATCCCCAGTGCGAGGGGGTGCAAGATTGTTTGGACTAGAGGAAGGAGCAGCCTGCATGGGTGGAAGATCAGGTAGCGGTTTGTTCCTTCGGTCGTCGTCCGGCGACGACCATGACCGAGGCCCATTGTCCAAAAGACTATCGAAATACATATTGAGACATCCTCCGATCATACCACGGGTTTGATTGGCCGTCAAAGGAAAGACTGTGGTAATAAATCAGCATTCATTTTTTATTAGTCTATAAAGCAAAACTAGCATTGGCGGTGTTACCTTTGCTTGCCAACTTGGACGCTCCACCCTGAGACGCCTGTGGGGGGTTGTCTTTTGAATCATGGGACATCGGCTCGAGGTCTGTGACCATCAAGCAGTCGGTGCATCTAAACACCTTCAAGTGCCGAGGCCACCGGACAGTAGCATCACAAGTCTGGCACTTGCCCTCGACGATATCATTTCCAGCTGCACCTTTCCGGGGACTTGACGACTCGGGCTCCAATGGATAGGTAACCTCGTCGTCATCATCATCGTCAGAGTCCCAGGTCGCATGCTTGGGAGATGTCTTGTCCCGTTTTCGCCCAAACCCAGCGAACGGATTGCTGATCGAGCGTGAATGTCCTCGGTGGTACGAATTCTTAGGCGCACTGCCGTTTAACGGGGGCATGATCGAAGCATCGCGGGGCCGAACTATGCGGCGTGGGCTTATTTCTAGTCCAGGGGTTTGAGAAGGGTGTAGTCCAGGGATGACGACGTTGCCAGCAGTTGAGTTCGGGGGAATAGGCGGATGACGTTCAGACCGGGGCGGCATAGAGGCGCATCAATTTGATTGGGGTTGGGTTTTGACCAGATTCAACCTCTCCAGTATAGTATCCAGCTCGTGGAGCTTGGTCTTCGTGCCAGACACATGCGAATAGGTCGAGGAGGACGGAGTAGGGGTCAGGCAGCCAAGTAAAGCGAGCTTTGCTTCTTTGTCCGGTAAATGACTGGTTGGTCTATTGCAAGGATGGATATTCAGTAAGCAGGTCAAGTCGCATCAAATGAATATCTCTCTCACCTCGGACTCCAATAGAAAGAATGATATGGGGTTACAGCAGCATTTCATAGTCTGTGGACGGATTGGGAAAGCGGCCGGGGGATGGAAGTGGTTCCTGCCTCAGGCTCTTAACTTCTATTTATGGATTTGCCGCCTGAAATCGCAGGCCAAATATCTATTTTCGTAGGACAGCGCACATCCTGATGATCCTTAATTAAAGACAGCATTTGGCGTATAGAATTCCACAATTTGCAAGACATTTTAGTTCCTAGCCACAAATGTACTAGACCACTTCCTAGCGATCCGCTAAGGCACACTACTATCTAACGGCGGTTCGTCCCCCGCAAGTATGGCGCTAAGAGACGAAAGTCAGATTTGACGATAGACATACATATATCCAGATCCATAGAACTGGACAGAAAATATTACATTAATTCAAGTCTACAGATTCTACGATACCAGTGGCATGGAGTTGAACCAGTCATACTTCGTTAATGGGGGAATTGAAAATAGAACAAGATGGCTTTTTGGCTAACAACAGAACCGGCTGGTCTGCATTAAAGTTGAGCCCAGCGTGGATAACACTGTCTGGGAAAGAAGTGTTTGAGTAAATGACCACAGGCGGTAACCAACATTTTCCAACCGAAACCACTGGTAAAGTGCACTATCGCACTTAACGGTAACGCCAGTAGCTCTGGGTGTTCTGGCGCTTCCAGGTGTGGCGGCGACCAGCCTTGGTGTTGTTGTAGCGGTGACCCTTGTTGATACCACGGGACTTCTTGCCAGTGGCGGTGAGGCCACGGGACTCGCGGTGCTAGAAACAAAAACCTGATCAGCAAAGCTCTCCAGCATCACATTTGGATTTCGAGCCAAACTCACCTTGTGAACGGGGTTACAGATCCAGTTGATGCGGGCATCACGACGGATGGCCTTGTGCTGGGGGTCGACAAGGATGACCTCGTAGTACTTGTAGGTAGAGTCCTGGTTGATCCAGTAGGAGTTCAGGACGCGCAAGTTAGCAGCGCGGCGACCAACACGCTCCTCAGCGGTGGACTTGAGAGCACGCTGGTACTTGAGCTGGTTAACACCGTGGTTGGTGGGCTTGCCTGTTCACACAATCGCACATTAGCCAAAAAAAATCCTTCAATTTCCACAGATCTCAAAAAAATCTGCTTCTCGACAGGAAAAATTCGTACCGTAGGTGGCACCCTTGGAGACAGGGCGCTTGCGGCCACCGCGGCGGACACGGGCACGGTAGATAACGTAACCCTGCTTGGCCTTGTAACCGAGACGACGGGCCTTATCGGGGCGCGAGGGGCGCGAGGCACGGTGGATGGCGTTCAGCTGGCGGAGCTATATTATGCACTCTCAGCAAAGTTCAACGAGTGTATAGCAAGACACATGAATCCCAGAAGGGTTTTCTTGCGTGCCACAATCATTTCCGCCGAATGACTTTTGTTCGAGCCGCCTAGCAATACCACATGAAAACGGCATATCCTAAGGCAACGCACAGGAGTGCTCGGCGGAGATGTCAGGCAATCGGGGGCGAAGGGTTTTATCTCACCTCCCAGCATCGGACGCGCAGCAGGAAGCGAATCACATCGGACTGCTTCTTCTTCTGGATTTCTTCCACGTACTTGAGGGCACCCATCTGGACGGTTGTAAGTCAGATAAATGCACTGGCGGTAGAGATTGGATTAAATGAAAAATGATGAACGTACCTTGTCGGCTGTACGAGGTCGTCGGTTGTCGTTGTCGCAAAAAGTTCGAGAAGGAAAACGTCCAGAGGCAGAGGTTGTGTGTGGGACGCTAGCGATTAGCGAGTTGACCCACCGTGGCCAATCACAAGATGAGTGCAATTAGTGCCTTGCACATAAGGTGTCAATATCATTCCCCTGCCTCAGGCTCCAAGGCCAATAGCTACAAGGGGAAAAAAAGACATCTAAAAGTCAAGTCTTCATCAAGGACAAGGACAGAAGCCGTATAAGAAGTCAACTGATTGTAATTCCATGATTGGATAAATTTGGATAAATCTATTTGATTTTGAGATCCATCTCCAGATACTCAATCACTATCAAAATATCATACAAAAACATTAAGATCGTCAAATCACCTCGCTCCGTAAATGCAACTAATAACCCTCGCTCTCTCCATGCTGGCATAGAAGGCATGATCTTCCAAAATAAAGAGAAAAAAATCCAAGAACTAAACACAAGCAAAAGCAGTCCCATGTGTTGCATTCAAGAGCGCCTCGAAAGGTGCTCTCGTTCAACCATTTCATTGGTCACTGAAATGTAATACGATCCCGCTGGCAAAACGCTCTTCTTGCATAAAGGGCAAAGGCAACAGTTCTGGATCAGGAATGGATCGATACACGCTGAGTCAAATATGTGTCCGCAGGGAAGCTCGCGGACAGTAGATGAGCCAGCGACAAAATCGTCGAGACAAATAGCACAAGTTGTTTGAGTATGGCTTAGGCGGTACTTGCTTCTGCAAGATTCATTCTGTTCATGTTTGATCATCGCTGCTTCGGGTTTCCGGATGCCAGCATCATTCTGCGCATGGTTGTCTTCGTTGGATGACAACGAGTAGGTCTTGTCGCCAGAATCATGCTCGATTGGATTCGTTGATGTACCATCTTGTGGAAGCGTTGCTTCTGTTGGAGATTTGATATCCAAGTATGTATAAAGTGGCATTTTTGTAACCACTTCTTGGGGAGCCGTCATTTGGTTCAATGTCAAGGCCTCGATGTCGACTTGGCCTGCATCAAGACGTCTCTGGAGTCGAGCCCGTCTCTTACGCAAGACAAGTCGATAAACAATTACTAGGATGATACTGAGTATAAGAACTGTTCCTGCAATTGCAAGTACGAAACTCCAGATGCTCGTCGACGAAGTTGCGGTTTCTTCACCTACGATATGTGAGCATATATTTCGATAGTGATGCATTTTTGTGGCCTACCAGTTTCAATCCTAGCAAACAATCGGTTCGTCTTGGTCTGTAGTGCAAAATTGTCGGTTGAGTTGTCTTTCTTGTCGTCGGGTGTCTCGCTTGAATACCACGTGAGATCATTGATCAATGAGGTTCCAGCTGGGCCTGGAATGGCATACACTGGGTAATTGTTGTCCATTCTCCATTTATTCCCGTCATTGATTGCCCACCGAGAGTCGTTGGAGTCAGGTGGTATGCCAGTGTCGTTATCTGATGGTTGGAAAAAGATCATGGCATGCGTGCCGACCTTTTGGGCGGCAGAGAGAAATGATAGCGAACACTCGGCGGTTACCCATGGAGCAAGGCCAACGAGGGAGTATCCGAAGTCCGACACATCTTTATAACGGGTTACATTTAACGGCACGGATGAAGCGGTAATGTCATAGCAAGGATCATGCGGCTCTAGACTGGGTACAAACAAGAGGCCTGACACCAATCCGTCCTTGGGAATGCTGTTGCTCGATATCGTTTGGACCTTGCGGTCAAGAACAAACCGATAGGCAACATTCTCCTATTCAATCGCATGAGTTAGTTTCTGCCCCAGAGGCTGATGTAAATTATGAGTGAACAAGGTATGCTTACTTCGACTGACGAGGTGGAATTTGAAGCTTGCCCTTCACCTGCCCAAAGTGTAGCTGCTTTGCCCACGGAGTCATTTCGCATAGACATAGTAGCAGCTGACATGATGCTTGATATTAGGTCAAGTGAATAGTGAAGACGAATTTCAAGCAAAGGATAAACTGCAGGCTAGACGGTTGAGACCAGTGGGGAAGGCGGCGTGTGCATAGAGGAAACAAGTTGAAATTTGAATATGAAAGAGTTCGAAATTGGCAACCACTACGGTTTTAGGTAAAGTCATTTGTTACGGCACTCAGCCCTGAAGCATCCCATACATCTCCATTGCTAACTAGAGCTCTACAACGGAAGAATGCAAGAGTCAATCGGGACCGTCACAGGAATGTAGAATAAGCCTGGTTCCAACCACGAGGCAAGAGGCAAAATCGTCTTGGCTCAAATACACTAGGTTTCACATTTCGAATAAATATCCGTGAACGAGTAAACAAATAAAAATGGCCGAGCGCATGGTCTATATCGTATACTTCGCTAAACATGGCCGTTCGCGGTGGACCGTTTATGGAGATGATCATCAACAGGCAACTCTTCAAGCTTTTACACTTGACATTTGGATTTAGCGAGATTGTATTAAAAATAGTAAATGCTTCAACGCTTGCAATTCACAATTCATAAATGACCTACCTTGTTTGCTCTCTAATTCCTCATCCCTGTGAATGTATTCGGAGTAGCCGATATCGGGGTTCTATCCGAGAACTGTAAGAATGTATGTCAACTTTCAACCTTAACCACATTTTTGGGCACTAGGCCATGTTGTGAGTGAACCTTCAACTGGTAAGGCGCAAGAGAGGCGGAGGAGAAGCGCAAGCCTGTAAAGTGTGTTATAGAATGTAAATAGTTGGATCATCTCCATGCCATATGTTCATTGCTCAGCCAATGAATCGAATGTGATGCACGTGATGATAGGCGTCGTATCTTCATCACGTGTGTATACCCTGGCCGACCGCCAGCGACCACCATCATCACCTCTGGAAAGTCATAATTCATCCGTGACCGAGAGGATCTCTTGCTCTGTATCTGCTTTGGCTCATGATCAGACACCTTTGGGGAATAGTCAACCTCCTTTCCTTCTTCTTTCACTCGCAGTGATTAATGACAGCATGTGTCTGTCTAGTCCCATTCACACCTAGGATCCTTTCTGTCGACCAATTTCTATTTCCATTGATACTGTCCTTGGCATCTTAATCATCTCATCCCTTCTTTTTCCTTCGTCCGAACATCAGTCTGAAGAAACACCATGCCGCCCGCATACAAAGGCAAAGGCAAAGGCCGCGATGCGCGCCAGTCGCGTAGCCGCAATACCACCCCGTCCAGTGCTAGTGCTCCCGCCATCCCAGCACTGCCCATCCAAAGCTACCTGGAGAACGATGTCACCAAGCACATTGACTTGGCTAGTGTGCAATATTCCGATGTGTTAGACCTGGTATCTGCGCAGAACATCCCAGATTCAAAAACATTGGAGGCATTGGTGGAGCATTTGAAGGGTCTTAGTGACATGGCCGATCTTCGTGGCGAGGTTTGCAATGCGGGAATGCGCGAGATGTCTCAAAAGCGCAAGGAAGTGGAGGATCAGGAGCTTGATCGTGAAGTACGAGATCGCTCCAAGTTGAAACGTGAAACCGAAGAGGACGACGATATTCATAAGGGCGGGAAGCTGAAGAAGCGGAAAGAACGCCCAAGTGGAAAGGAAGATCGGCCATTAAATCATGGCGCACACGAGGTCGCGCGCCAGGATGGAGCGGAGACTAAGGTTGAGGGAGGTAAGAGATCCAACTCGGCGCTTTCTTCCCACTCTTTGTTTTTACCGACCCATCTCCACAACTCTGACCTTCTTTCACTTTCCCCACTGTTCAACTTTGTCTAACCATCAACAGCCGCTTCTCCAGCATCGAAAAACTCCAAGAATGCGATATCGGATGAAAGCTCCTCGCTTTCACCTCCGTCGATGATGTCCCCCAACGGCACGACCACTGCCGGCGAAGGCCCTCCCCCGGGACACCCGGGTCTGAAACCAGTGCCGATTCCCATCAACCTGAACCCCAGCCAGCGATTCCTCAAGTGCAAGTCTTTGGCGATAACCCGCTGAAGTTTGACGATCCGACCATTTACAACATTCGAGATGTTCTCCCGGGCATGACGGACGATGAGAAGAAAGAGATTTACAGTGTTGCCCACTTCCCCAAGACCGATCTGGTCCACATGGCAGCTGGTGTGGCTCCTGACAAGGACTTCAGCAACGCCAAACCTTCCAACCAAGTTAGCGCGAATACTTTCCAGACTTACATTGAACCTTACGTCCGGCCTCTTACCGAAGAGGACATTGCCTGGTTAAAAGAAAGAGTAAGTCAATTGCAGCCTCATTTCATGTCAACGCAAGCTGACCTGTCACAGGGTGATCGCACTACTCCATTCATCATGCCCCGTCGCGGAAAGAAAAACTATCGTCAAATCTGGGCGGAGGAGGATGGGGTGTCATATGACTCGAGCCAAGATGACAAGGACCAGCTGCCTTTGAATCAAGGCCGTGGCAGCATTGAACAGCTGACTGACGATAAAGCCGAAACCAACGAAGTCTCAGTTGGACCTCTCCTTAGCCGACTCTGCTCTCTCCTCCGTTACGAGCACCGTACCTTTCCCGAAGATTCCAACCCAACCGCCAATGGGGATACTGCTAGTGTGACTGGACTAGGTGGAGACGCGATGGACATCGATCAACCCACTGAGGAGAAGGAGAAGGAGAACAAGAACGAAACCAAGCCTCTCCCTGCTGCAACTACCTTCCGCGACGCAGATCCAAACGACTTCAAAACTTCGGTCGCAAAGTTGGACCATGCCCAACTTGATGAACGCGCCAAAGCCGAACTACGATTCATCGGTTTTCTCGGTGCGGATGATAATCCAGACTACGACGCTCACTACGATGATGAAGTTGCTGAGCGACTCCGCCTTCTCCAAAGCGAACTCAAGAAGCAAATCGTTACCAACAATGCGCGCAAAGCTCGCATTCTGAAGATTGCCCAGGAGCACATGGCCATGCTTGAGTTTACTACCATCCAAGACGACCTCGACTCTCAGGTCCAACAGGCCTATCTGAAGCGCACCCGCACTATGGGCAAGAGCAAGAAGGGCGCTCAACCCAAGCACCGACCTGGCGGTGCAGGCGGCGGCAGCCATGTCGCTGGTTCTGCGGGCGTTTCCCGTCCTGCTGTGGGAGATGCTGCCAAGATTGTCATGGACCGTCGCCGTCGCTGGAACGAGGCATTCCTGCCTATCTTTGACGATATCAAGACTACCATTCCCTCTGAGGGAGAAACAATCTTCGACCCAGAAATTATGGCTGAGTACGAGAAAGCCGAGCTTGAGAACTGGGACGAGGAATAATGCTCCACCCTCTCCGCTCTAGGTTTTTATCACTCGACGACCTCTGTCAGCCACCCTCAACCTTGTTTTGTTTTTATTTCCCGCACGATACGATACGAATGCATGATGGACTGGCGTTGCGTTAGCGGATACCTCTTTTTTTTTTCTGTTCCACCACTTCGAATGTGGAACCCCGTGGCTACCTATGTTGCAGTCCGCCTGGAGATACACACAGGATCTTTTCCACATGTATTCTACCTAGTTAGATGTGACTATGTCCGTGTATTCTTATTCTTAAGCTGTAAGCTTTCAATGAAACCAAATTCTCCAATCTTCAAATTTCCAGTAGTACCCGTAGCACGTAGTACCCGTAGCACCTGGTATATATATATCCAATCCTATCAACGCCAAAATGATAAAAGAAAAGGTAGGGTATCGATCAATTCTAGCAATCCAAAAAAGCAGAAACGAAAAAAGAAACCACCAGACTCATCTATGAATAATCAATACCTCCCAAGGATACCTCTTAAGTCTAGCCGTCAACTCCCTCTCACTCATCTCCAATTCCGTACAAACCTGATCAAAGCAATGCGTACCATCAAGATACTTCCCAAGAACCTCATCCCCAACAACCTCATCTTCCTCTTCCCAAAACGCCGACAACGCCCCCGTACTCCCATTCCCATTCCCACTCCGACCCCCACTAACCACCGACCCAGCCCGCTCACGACTAGACTCCCTCCTCGCAACCGCCGAGATAGGCGCGTCCTCCGGCACACTCGAGACCGCATAGGGCGTATTGGTACCCGTAGTGGCGCGCGACGGAGGCGCAGGCTGGCTCGTTGCGCAAGCGTATTTATGCACGCGGTACAAGAAGCCCTTTATCACGCCGAAGGTGATGAAGCGACGGATGTCGATGTTTGCCAGGGAGCGGCTGTGCGCTGCGTACCACTGCTTGACGCTCTGGCCTTGTTTCAGGCCTGCGTAGAGCTCGACTAGCCCGGCGCCGTCGACGATTGCGGGTTTGTGGAGGGTGGTTGTTGATGTTGGGGAGGTGGAGGAGGATGAGGCAGGTTCTTCGGTGCCGAGGAGGGGCCAGATTTCCTCGGCGTCGAAGCGGGATTCCTCGTGTACGAGGCTTGGGGTTGCGTCTGGGAGGGAGCTGGAGAGGTGGGCTGTTCCGGTGCTGCTGTTTGTGCTGCTGTTGGCACTTGGGGATGGGATTAGGGTTGGGGGGAGATGGGAGGGGGGGCCAGTTGGTGGGTGTGGTGCGAAGCGCAGGTTGACGTAGCGGGCACATTCTAGTTGCATTGCTTCGTCAGAGCCTATTGTTGGGCTGAATTGGGCGGTTGGGGCGTAGATCGCGGAGAAGGAGAAGATGTCGAGGATAAATAGGCAGCCGTAGTAGAGAAGGTGTCGGAGGGCGCGGCAGGTGAGGGAGAAGTCTGTGTCGGCTAGGACGGAGATGATGCGGACGCTGTTAACGCCGTTGATATGTGGTACGATCTGACTAGGTTTAGTTGTTGTGGTTCTAGCCAATGGGGCAGGGTCGTCTTCCACAAACCCTTTGCATGGTCAAGTCCCAGTTCTCATCCATGAAGGCCTGGTATCGCAACGTGAAGAGCGGTACCTGCCAAGCCTTGACAGCCGGGGGAGAGGGATATATCGGGAAAAGTTTGATGTTCAGGGTGTTCAATTCGTCTGGACGTAATATTTAGCAGCGGAATCATGCTAAACAGGTTCATGGACATACCAATGGGAATCATGCACTCGCAATAATTGTTTAAGTCCTCCATCAACATCTCACAAAGACTGTATATCTTCCCTTCGCCACTCTTCGAGAAATCGCGAGACAAGAAACCATTCTGCTCTTCCAGACCATGCATTAGGTCTGCTACCTTCTGCACCACGCTCTTATATGTGCTGAAGTCGTCCTCCTCGGCGAGGACTATGCAGAAGTTGAAGATGAATTCATTTCGGTCATACCGCACTGACTTCATGCAGATTGGGTAGCCCAGGATACGATATCCGTTTGTGCAGACTTGCAAAAGGTTTCCACAGAGCTCCTGGCGGGGGATAACGAAGAACGAGACATCGGAGAAGGTGAGGAAGGGTGGTTGTGAGGGCGCAGTGGGGGAGGGTACGATGGCTCCGTCCGGGACTTGATGGACAACTTTGGGTCCTGTACGCCAGTACGTGGTCAATATGTAGGTCATTGAAGGTTTATCATGGTATTGAAGGGCCTTACCTTCTATCGTGTCGAATTTACTGTAGAAGATTGCCTTGATCATCTTGGAGATGCTGTATGGTAGGGGGAATGCGTGATAACCAAACTGAGTATTAAAATCACAGTCTATCGGCCAAATTTAATCAAACACAGAGCTAAAACGAGGTTCATGTTCATATCAGTTGCGGAGCGGACTTCGGGGCGGAGAGCTTATCGAAATTAATATTTCCGGGGCTATTCCAAATTAGGCTAGATCATGTAAATCGTGTTTGTTTGATTGGCTAAACCCCCTTAGAGTTAGAAGCACGTGATATATAATGCTCTAGCTATCCCCGCACTTTGTTTACCAACTTACCCTCGTTCAGCAACAGCTTTAGGGTATCTCACATATATTGTATGTCTTGGTTTTCCCTATGTGAACGTTATCTTTTTCTACTTTTTACACCAAAGTCTTTGGTCGGTAAGTATCTATACTATTCCTTCAAATACTAGCTACTAAATGAAATTGGCTAACGTCGGTTGTAGGGACATCCTAGTGTAACAAGAAGGAAAGAAGACCCCCTTCTGCTTTAGTATTCAATCGAATAGACCATGTCTTCCACTAGCACAGAAGATGGAGGATGTGATACACCCACAAGCAGCAGTGTTTACCATGAATCAATGAGAGATTTGTCCTTGAGTGACTCAATTGCGATGCACTCCAAGAACTGTCCTTGGAAAGGTAGATCATTCATTATTCGCGATCCTCATACTAAACTTGTCATTGGGCTTCAAAAAGGTGAGTTACGGCTTGTGCCTGAACACAGTGGGCATGGGTGTGGTATTTACTGGTCGTGTGTTGAGTCCGACAAGATGTTACTGGGGTTTCAAAATGTGGTCTCTGGCACCTTTATCGGATATAAGAACAACGGCATTCTATCCAGCGCTCTATTCAGCGCGCAGTATAGTTTGCACGGGGAATCAGAATCGTTTTGTGTGCGAGCACATCCAGATGGTGGCTATGTCCTCCTCGTGAAACAGGCATGTGGGTTCTTGCCGGTGCAAATATGCATGGACAGGTGGCTCATGGTAGGCACTAACCAAGATGAGGGCGTAGCATGGGAGTTTATCCGGGTCAAGGACGAACATGCTATTTAATTTTACTCTTTTTATTTTCAAACATTGCTCAATACGACCTCGATGAAGATCCAGTCTGTATCTTGGGCTCTATTGTATTCATCTGTTAGACAATCATGGGACCGGGTGATATTTAATAAATATATTTCTGAGTAAGTTAGAATAACTTTTGCCGTTTGCTGAAAATCCTCCGATTACCACGTTGAATATGAATATACCCGGCAAAGCAAATATAAGAAATAGCTAACCAGTCAAACAGCGAAGCAAGGTGAGGAACAGGGACATGAGGGTATTAGAGAAAATGAGACAGGAGACAATGAAATCTATGCGGTAAGCAACAGACTCTTCTGGAGGCATAAGTAGAGCAATGGATATAAATAAATAAAAGCAAAGGGAACCCTGGGAAGAAGGAGCCAGTCCACTTCAGACAATACGAGAGAGGTAAGATGCACTGTAAAAAAAAAATTGCAAACACGAATCATAGCGAGGCCCTGATCAAAGGGTCCGATCGAGTAAATAGTATGCAGTCATGGGGCCGTGCCAGAGGCATAATTGGATGTAGATGGAAGAGCAGTGTTTGTTGCGATAATGCTGTCTGGCACTGTGAACAAGGTCGCCCTTGTCATCACACGAGCCGCACCACGACCACGTGGGAGTCGGACATTGTCAGCGACAAGGGTCAAGGGCTGATTCGCACGAATGGCATGCACCATTTCACCGAAACTGCCACGCTCTCCAGCCTCCTTCAACCATTGTTCCCAGTCTTCATCCAGCGGGACATCCGTGCCCTGGTCGCGGGCGGCCATCGCAGCAAGGATACGGTTGTTGAGAGCTACTCCACAACTTTCCATTTCCTCGTCGCTAAGTTCGTCTTCGATTTCGTGCTCCTCCTCGGCGGACCGGTAGCTGGAGGCACGGGAATCGACAGCACGGACCGTATCATTGCTCTGTGTCTCGATGATCTGGTCATATTCCTCTTCCGTCCCGCAGAAGTCGCAGTCGCTGAAGTGGACCTCGATTGAAGGCGCGGGTTGCGGGGATGCCGGTCGGACGGAGTGGGCTGTGGTATCCCGCACGATCACCCCTTCCTCTGCCTCGTACCGCTGACGCGCGGACTTGGTCCCTTCCCACCGACACAGATTGGAGATCTCCTCCTCTGTGAGACCGAGTTCGTCAAATGTTTTGAATAGTTTTCGGTGCCATGGGAAGCGACTCAGTCGCATGCGATGCGGTCCATGCGAGTAATCCAGCCCCGGGTATTGTGCTTCGATACAGTCTAGCGAGCCGTAGAAAAGGGATGTTTCGACACGTACTTCTGGGACGAGGTTTCGGGTAATGTGAGCACCAAATGAGCCTGGGTCGTTCGTGCGAGGTCGTGGAAACGTGGCATTATACACGATCTGACCCACGGATGGTTTACGCATGATGAGATTCGGATGTGGAAGGAGTTAAGAGGGAAAATAACAATTTAAGGAGACAAGGTCGTCCCAGACACCTTGGAATGTGATGATTCAGGATATCAGGCGCTGAAGGGTTTTCCCCCTTGCCCTTTGTCAAATTCCCGGATAGTTGGACGTTTCGGATGTTTTTTGAGGGGTTGGAGAGTGCTTCAGCTTGTTGACAGTGGGGGAGGTAACACGCTAGAGAAAGCGCGGACAGTAAATTCTCAAAAGCATATAACAGAAATATTTCTCAACCTGGAATTCTCATAATCCAGGCCAACGGATTGAATAATTAAGAAGCGAAAAATCCCGATCAGGTGCCCCAGCTGACGTTTCGGCTCTTTGACCCTTGAGGAATTGAAGGTCTCACAGGCGTTCCATTGACAATTAGAAAAAGAAGGAAAGAAGAAAAGAAGAAAAGAAGAAAAATAGAATGAAATAAGAAGAAAAGAAGAAAAACAGAATAGTTTTGGGAAGAAATAGGGCTTACAAGTCTTTATAACTTAGTCCTTAGAGTGAAGTGTGCGTTGGCATGGTATGGCCAACGAGGCACAGCCAGCTGTTAAAGGCGTGTCCAGGTGGACTTTGCATATTTACATGTGGGTAAATATGGTCGAATCATGAGATGTTCTGAATTATGTAGAAATGTAGAAATGTAGAAAGATTCTGACATTCTGACATTCTAACATGTTCATGTTCTCAGTCAGACATTTGTTTGATTTCCCTTTTGGGGGGTTTTGTCGTTGCATCACGTGCAAGTAACAGATCCAACCTTGGTCATACACATCTCAACCTCACAGCTTCCTAGATGTGACTGACCATGTCGACCTTCGATGGTATCGTAGAAGGTGAGATCAACACTTCCCACATCACTTCCATACTAATCATTTATGATAAGAGTTTCCCGATATTCGCAGTGAGTCTTACATATGAGACCAGTCAATCCTAAGACTAAGAAAAGCAGTTGACTACTTTCGGAAATGCCCAGAGCGGCCGGCGCCACTAGTTTGCTTCCTTAGCCATGTGCATAGCGATCATTTACAGGGCCTCGAGTCCTTTCGGGCACCGTTTATTTACTGCTCACCGGCCACGCGAGAGGTATGCTCTTATTTATCTTATTTAAATTCTATTAAAATTCATTAACCTGACCATGTGTAGCTGCTTCTCCGGATTGAAAAATATCCCCATCGGATGAACTTTAATAAAGGTATCTTAGAGTCGCGTCGACTGCACTATAAGCATCTTGCAAAGCTTCTGGTTAGTATCGTGTGTAAAAATTTGACTAGAATGGAAAGCTCATCCCGCATAGCGCCCAGTTCCACTGAATACTCCAACGGAAATTGAACTCACCCCCCGACGTCATATCAAGGTGACATTATTCGATGCCAACCATTGCACGGGGGCTGTGATGTTTCTAATTGAAGGGGACGGGAAAGCAATCATTTACACAGGTGATATCCGAGGTGAGTTGATGATCCCTTCTTCTTCATTGGAATGCTAGCTGATCACCTTCAGCCGAAACATGGTGGGTGAGCAGCTTGGTCCGTCACCCGGTCTTGATACCATATACTCTGGGTCAGAAACGGCTGGATAAGTTGTATCTGGACTCTACCTTTGCAAGCAAGACAAATCCATTCCGCGAGTTCCCTTCCAAAGCCGAGGGACTGTCTGAACTGTTGCAGAAAGTCCAGGCTTATCCGGACGATACACTCTTCTACTTTCGTGCGTGGACGTTCGGCTACGAGGATGTCTGGATAGCGCTCTCGGCTGCACTGAACACAAAGGTAACTGATATCATGCAGCTCAAATATAACACTGGCTAATCAAACATAGATCCATGTAGATCGTTACCAGATGGGACTTTATAGGTCTCTGGTCCAGATTCCAGGCAATAGAGGGGGTAGTGAAGCTCCTGTCCTCTGTGGCTTTGAGCTGGGAAACAAAGCTGTAACAGGCTGCCTAAGTAATAATGAATCAAGTCGAATTCACAGTTGTGAGCCTGGAGTTTCGTGTTCGGCAGCTCGCGGCACTAACACAGTCTACATTGTGCCTATTGTGAATCGCACAACTGGTGGTGCGGAAATCCCCGAGGTCGGTGCGGGCGGTGGTATTGGGGATCTATATCAAACACATGAACTCGAGCTGCCTGACGAATTTGCATTGGCCGAGTTGGAGAAGTTGTGTCTCAAACACGTCCAGGACAAAGAAGCCCTTTCTCAGATACGAAATGCGCTCCTGGATGCCTTCCGGTCAAGAAAAAAAGCACTCTCGCTTGATACATACGGCGTGAAGGACGAGGGTGAAATTTCATTGAAGAATCTGGTGACCGCTCTAAGCCATGGTCCATCTGAGACCTCTAGCCGGTCATCCCAGCCAGATCTGCCTAACACGATAGTAAGTGGCACTACTGTTTTCTTTCCGCCGCCCTCTCTAATGGCATTATAGCGATTCCCATATTCACGACACTCTTCCTACTCCGAACTATGTGAGCTGGTAGCTGCCTTCCGACCCAAGGACATCCATCCATGCACCGTGGATCCAACGACCTGGAACGAAGACGTCTCCATCAGACGTCTGTTCGGGCACCTCTGTTCAGGGACCGACTTTTCGCACGACACTCACATGCGGCAGACTGTAACTAATGATGTTGACGACGAGGGAGATTTGCCCGCAAGAAAAAGGGCCCGATACGACATGGACCTCTCCACACAGTCCACACAAGAAACCAGTAGTGGCATTGAAGATTTCAGTCTTGGTACCGCCGATGCAAGCCAGCCTCATGATCAGAAGCAGGACTCTCTACATCCATTGAGTCAATCTGAAGAGGCAGCCAGAGTCAAACGCAACGAAATCCGACAAGCACACCGGTATCTTCAAGAACATGCAGAACCTGGCCTCTTTCAAGTCAACCCTCTCCCGTCTACATGGCCGGCGGAAAAAGAAGACAGATTCGATCCGGCCACTGACGAGGGAACTGAAGAAGAGGATATGCTCATACCCGACCAGCCGGATTTAGAACCTTCGGCTACAGGACTCCGACTCAGGTCCGAGCCAAGCACATCTACAAGAATCATTGACCTGACTGGTGATGGTACTACATCTCCTCGTCCAATCACACAACAAACAGACAGTCAACACACAGACGTACTTTCTCTCTCTATCTCCGAGTCGGCATTTGACTCTCCGGACCAAAATTCCGTTGGAAATGGGATACGGGACCCGGCGCGAAGAGAAGAAGCTCTGAATCGATCACGCCGTGCGCGTGTCGCTGCTTACTTAGCTGCGCGCGAAGGTAGTTTCACTGCATGGACCGATGTGTCGCTTGTTTCGGCGGATAATCATGGCGAGGAGGAGATTGAGCTATAGGCTTGATCTTTTTTTTCCTCTATTTTCTTCAATTTACTGTGTATGATACCCCTTTTTACTATCTTGTTATCGATCTTGTCATCTGGTGTTTCGCCGATGGAAATACAACTGCAACGTTGGTCCACTATTGAGGGCCCTAGTTGGCCGAAAGTTGGCCGAAACTATGTCGTAGACCACATCGGCAAGTTCAAGACAAACTCCCAAACTTAGCGAGCAAACCATCAATATCAGTGATCTGATAATTGAAAACAAAGAAGGTGTTGGGTGCCTGGGTGTCTGAGACACATGGCCCCGTTTCTCTCTCTCTCTCCTTCTCTCTCTCTCTTCTTCGTCCACTTTACTTGCTACGAATCTACCTTGTTTCTCCATCTGAATAATATCGTAGATTCACTGCATGAGAAGGAAACAATGTCCTAACAAAGCCTTAGTGGGTTTACCTTGGAACTACCTTCGCCTTGTATACTAACTTCTTTCAATATAATGACAGCTTGCAAATATCAAGAGAACAAAGAGAACAAAAGCTCCCAGCAATAACTCATATGTCTTTCATTCCTTTATTCTTAATAAATACTTGTCTCCAGTCTGATCAACTTAGCACGACACAAATTCATAAATAAGCCCCGATTCTTGGACCCTTTCAAGGCATCATCCGCTTCCAGTTCTTCCTCCATCAGTACAACCAGCTTAACTTCACATCCACTCCACTACCCTAACCAGGTAAGCAATACATCCCTTTAATCTACCCATCTCTCCCTTATACAACCACAGCCCACCACGATGTCTTCTCTCATCAGCCGAGCCTTACGCCGTCCTCGCGCCATCCTCAAGTACCAGAAGGAGCACACTATCCTGGTAAAGAATATCCACGCCTGCATCGGCATTTTGTACCGAATTCCCGAGGGCAACTACCTTGTCGAGGTCGCCCTCAACATCCAGTCCCTGAAGATCCAGGCAGACAAGGTGAAGTGGGCTTCCCAGGCTCTTGCTATCGAAGCCGCCGACATGCCCTTTGTCACCTCCAAGGGGGTCGATCACTTCAGCTGCTTCATCCCCCGTTTCTGCGACTATATCGGTAGTGAAACTACCCGGCTGGCTGAGACCCTCCAAGATCATATCCACAAGCCTGTTCCCAAAACTGAGCACGGGATCCAATTTGAGATGCTGATCGCAACGGATCTGCAGAGTGTACTTGCTAAAATGGGAACCATTGGAATGTAGATCGTTAATTTTTACATCGAGTCGCGGACTCTTACCGTCAGTAGCAGCTGTAGCAGCAGCAGCTGTAGCAACACCTTATTTCCAGAGTCCAGGTACGTTCCAATACATCTATTCACATTTACATTCCACTCTCAATCTAGTTCTATAGCTCCCCACAATCCAATCCACCGTCACCAACTTCCGCAAAGCCCGCGACACCCTCGTAACCCTCCTCGAGCAACAATCAACCTTCCGCCGACACGACATCAACAGCCGCGTCTATGTAATCCCAAACCTGCATCTCCAGCTAATCCAACACCTCGTAACCTTGGCGCTGATGTTCTTCTTGCTGTGGCGAAATTGATTGATCGGATCGTGGCTAACTTGTGCTTTTAGATAGGTTTTTGGAATTGCGCTGTTTACTGTTTATTCCTATTATTCTGGTTTATCGTATACATTATTTTTTCGACGTACCACATACTACATACCACGTACCCTTCCTTTCCTCCGACGTTATGTCTCACCGACCCGGCCCAGTATCGAAATACAAACACGAGCGCGACACTTTCGTCTTCGATTTGAAAATGCAGGCTAGCATTCTGAGAGCGAATCCCCAGGCTGGTGTGGATGTCGCTGAGAATCTACATGGTCTTGTTGGTAATGTTCATCGGCTTAAGAATGCCTCTATGGGTATGGCTGTTGGCGCTCGTGGCAATGCTTATGTGCTAGCAAAACCGTACGGGTTTTATAGCTATAACGTGCCGCGTATGTGCGACGATATTGTTGCTTCTTTGTTGCATTGGGCGGATATTCTTGTTAATACTGATGGGCGGAGGACGGATGGGATTGTTGTTGATTCTATTGAGGGGATGTTAGCTTGTCTCGAGTTTTGAGAAGTGAAAATAGAAAATTATTGATCTATATGTGCACTGTTTGGAGAAGTATATTGAAAAATAGAAGTAGAAGTAGAGGGATATAGAATTCCTATATCACGTAAAAACCAACTCGAAAGAGAAACGAGGTATATAGGAACTGTAAAAACCAAAATCAAAAGCTAAGGGTATGCAAAAATAAAATCAAAAACCACTCAGAAGATATAATATGCCTGCGTCAAAGGCAACTCTGAAGCCGGCTCCGCATCACAGAGCATCCCATCCGCCTCAACAGTATAACTCTCCGGGTCAACCTTCATCTTCGGCATAACATCATTAAACTTCATATCCTTCTTCCCAACCGAACGACAATTCTTCACAGCCTCAATCCGCTTCTTCAATCCATATGTCTGCACAATACCCGCATCAATAGAAGCCTGCGAGACAAACATGATAGACGTAGCCGGGACGCGGCCAGCAAACATGGGCCGCATAATCATCGGCTCGACAGTAGGGATCGATGCATTCGGATCTCCAACTTCCGCCGTAACAATCATTCCACTCTTCAGGACAGATACAGGCTTCGTGCCGAATGTCGCTGCGTTCCACATTACCAGATCGGCGATCTTTCCCACCTCCACGGATCCAATGACATGCGCCATTCCCTGTGCGAGAGCCGGGTTGATCGTGTACTTGCTGATGTATCGCTTCACGCGGAAATTGTCGGCGCCGCTGTCGGCGTCGGTGCCGAGAGGTCCGCGCTGTGTTTTGTTCTTGTGCGCTGTGTGCCAGGTGCGGAGGACGACTTCACCACAGCGGCCCATTGCTTGCGAGTCCGAGGACATCATGCTGATGGCGCCGAGGTCGTGGAGGACGTCTTCGGCGGCGATGGTTTCGGCGCGGATGCGGCTTTCTGCGAAGGCTACGTCCTCCGGGATGTTCTTTGATAGGTGGTGGCAGACCATTAGCATGTCGAGGTGTTCGTCAAGGGTGTTGAGGGTGAAGGGACGGGTTGGGTTTGTGCTACTGGGGAGGACGTTAGGGTGTTCGACGACGGAGATGATGTCTGGGGCGTGGCCGCCGCCTGCGCCTTCGGTGTGGTAGGTGTGGATTGTGCGGCCTTTGAAGGCTCCAATGGACTGCTCGACGAAGCCGGATTCGTTCAGTGTGTCTGTGTGGATCATACACTGCACGTCGTATTCATCACAAACTTCAAGACAGTTGTCGATTGCTGCTGGTGTGGAGCCCCAGTCTTCGTGGAGCTTTAGACCTGCTGCACCTGCTAGGATCTGCTCTCTGAGACTCTTCTTTCCGCAGTCGTTGCCCTTGCCTGTAATGCCGAGGTTGATCGGAAGACTGTCGCATGCTTGCATCATCTGGCGCAGGAGATTCGGCGACGGGGTACATGTCGTCGCGTTTGATCCAGTGGTGGGGCCGGTACCACCGCCGAGGAAAGTGGTGATTCCCGAGGCCAGAGCTTCATCCACCTGTTGCGGGCAGATCAAGTGGATGTGTGTGTCGATACCACCAGCGGTCACAATCTTGTTCTCTCCAGCAATGACATCCGTAGACGAGCCCACGACCAAATCAGGATGCACGCCGTCCATGACATCCGGGTTTCCAGCCTTGCCAATACCAGCAATAAATCCATTCTTGATACCAATATCAGCCTTGTAGATACCAGACCAGTCGATAATCAACGCATTCGTGATAACAGTATCAACACACTCGGTATGAGACCGATCAGACGCCTGTCCCATACCCTCGCGCAGCGTCTTTCCTCCACCAAAAGCACACTCATCTCCGTAATTCGTCATATCATTCTCGACCTTAATCCACAAATCCGTCAACCCAAGCCGCACCAGATCCCCCGTCGTAGGACCAAACATGCGTGAGTACGCCTCGCGCTCCATGGAGAACTCAGAAATAAGCACACTATCCGCCTGTGGCTCCGGCACATGCGCAAACCCAGCTACCTGCAGCTTGGACATGATCTCATCAGCACGACTCATATCCACCGGCCCATTCGCCAGCCAATTTCCACCACGGATGATGCGATTTCCACCGATCTCGACAAGCGTAACCGTCTTCGTATCACCGGGTTCGAATCTGATCGATGTTCCCGCGGGGATATCCAATCGGAAACCGTACGACTGCAAGCGATCGAAGTGCAGCTGCGGGTTCGTCTCGATGAAATGGTAATGCGATCCAACCTGATAATCAAACACTGTAATTAGCATCACCACTCACTTAAGGTCTTTTTTTTTTCCTTCGCAGCTTGTCTATCGAATACAATTTACACACCTGAATCGGCCGATCTCCTTTACTCATAACCTTGAGTCTAATCCGCCTCTTCCCAGCGCTCAACCCCACGCGCGCATGTTTGGCAGGAATAACCGCGCCGGGCATCTTCTCGGGCAGGAAATCCTGTGGGTCCGGGTCTGGGAACGCCTCGGGCGCGGGGACGGGCAGGAAACTTCCATAGAGGGCGCGCGTGAGATCGCCTTCGTCGCTACTGATCGGGTGGTGCACTGTTACCAGGTAGGTACCGGAAATGAAAGTACCCTCGACTTGGAGCTCGATGAGGGTTGCTAGTACGGAGGGGGAGGACGTGGCGGCGGCCAAGCATTGTTTTGCCGATGGACATAAGATCGGCGACGGAGTAGTGGCCATCACGGATCAACTGCGGGGGGTTTTGGTGTTATTTTGCGCGTCGGATCAATTGGGTATATCGTATATCGTATGTTCTGATACCATTGTAAGGGATTGGCAGGGGTTATCGTACCTCGTGTAGCACTGAGGCTATCAGGGCCTGTTGGGAGATGTGTTAGTGGTCATGTCCTACACCTGTAGAATGTACACATACCACAGCTTCTGCATGGTTAAGCCGCACTCCACGTGCTAAACGACGTTGTGCCAAGAAGCCTAGGTGGGCGATGGTAAGCTTGTCAAGCTACAGGGGTGTTAGTTGTGTTTATATTGTTATGTCTCGGGTGAATGTATGTGCGACTTACCTCCTTCGGAATAAGCTGCATGGTGCATGTGGAACCTGAACCTGGCAGTTCTTGGCGTGCAGGATTATTGGTTTTAGAAGCAGTCTGAAAGCGACGATGTGACTTTTTAAAACCTCACAAAGTAAGTGAAGGTGTAAACGATAGAATTGCAGGAGATTCCCAAAGTCAAAAAAAGTCAAGGGATGTGGGGATGGTCCATTTCAAATGTGCTTGTTCCTCTGATAAGGCCATTGAACGATGATAAGTGCCCGCAGAGGCCGATTGGATCGGGGGACGGGAGTTCGGCGGGCATTAGTCAAGGGTTTGTTAAATTGATAATGCACTTGGATTTAGCTTAGTCTGTAGTGTCTGTAGTGTCTGTAGTGTCTGTAGTGTCTGTAGTCGGTTTTAATGACTCTAGTCTTTACTTTTCTGTTTATAACACGATATTCTATAGCTCTGGTGGAAAGGTAAGGTTGGACCCGACTATACATTAAAGAAGGGTAACTATATACACCCTAACCTGGCCATGGATACTGATACTGATACTCATGACATCTAGAAACCAAATCCTATAATTAGTCCAATTCACTAATTCAAGCTAAATAGGTACAAGTTCTTTTTTCCCAAACGCCGCTGAAAAAAAGGGCAAACCCGGGGTTACACATCCAGTCCACCAGACCAAGTCCCATCTCATCTGACCCCTATAGTCAAGCAAATCAGAAATCAGACAGCAGAAAACACTAGCAAACTCATTTAGGCCTCGCTCTTGCGCTTCTTGCTTCTGCGACCCTTCTCAGCGGGTGTCTTGACAGCCGGTGTGGACACCTGTTCCGCAGCCTTACGGCCGCTCCGCTTGACAGGCGACTTGGCAGGAGTCTCAGCCTCCTTGGCCTTGGTATCGCTGCGGCGACGCTTGGTGGTGCTGCGCGGGGGAGTCGGCTCCTTCACGGGGGAGGGGGAGTGAGACTCCTCGGATGATTCGGTCGACTCATCGGCAGACTCTTCGGGCTCAGCTTCAGCTTCAACATCGGCTTCGGCCTCGGCCTCAGCCTCGGGCTCGGCACCGGCAAAGTCCTGCTGCAGTTGGTTGGCGGCGGGATCGTGCTCCTCGTCAACCTTGTTGCCAGCCTTGTAGGCGGCCATGTCGCGCTTGTACTGGTCGTAGTTGGCGGCATACATCTTCTTCCAGACCTATGCGGAGGTGTTAGCTCTACATACTTGCCAACAATATCAAGCTAGGATCGCTTTGGTCGCTGCCTATACATACCTCCTTCTGGGTATCTTCCATGCTCTGCCAGCGGCGGGTGCCCTCGTCGGCGACATCCTTGGGGCGCGCATCACCGCCAAGGTCATCGGCGATCTTGCTACGGTTGTGCTGCATATACAGGAAGTAGGGGGTCAAGGCACGCTTGGGCGCATTGGGGTCGACAGGCGCGCGCTTGCGCTTCTTGGGACCACCGGCCTCGGACTTAGCGCCGGGGCTGCCGGCGCGGAAGGGGATGTCCGGGCCCATGAATCCAGAGGGACCGATGGGGAGCTCAATGTGGGCATCACGTCCCTCGGTGATGTTGTTCACGTGCTGGAGGTAAGCCTTGCCCAGGTCAGCGATGTAAGACTGCACCTCCATCAGGCGCATGACGATCTATGAGACATTGTTAGTTATGTTATTTCAGGATCAATTGCGCTTGGTCATTGCATGTATGGATAGGTATAGGGTTAGGGAAAGAAGAGGGCAGTTAGGCAGCGCGTAAGTTGGCAAGAAGTGTGCGATGTCAAGACAGGTGTTTCAAATCTAAAGGGGGGATAAGGGGAGGGGAATGTTCTCTCTCTCTTTTTTTTTTTTTTGCACATGAAGCTTGCCAACATGATGCAAAAGTATGAGATGGTATAAGTTAAGCTTTAATAGCTTATTAGGTAGCTTTTAGTAGATCCTCCAACTCGACGCGTAGTAGGCGCGCAGTGGATGCACACAAGAAAACAGAAACAAAAAGAACCGAAACAAAGAAAATGCAAAAGTCAAAAGGTTAAAAATGAGAGAAATGAGATGGGGAAGAAATTACCAAGTCACCAGTCCGTCTGAGCTCTTCTTTGTTGACCTGAACGGTCGTATCATTTTGATTAGAAGCCATTGTTATGAAGCCGAGTGGTTGGTAAGAAAAGAGAATTTTCTTGTGTCTCGGGGGGAAGAAGGGGGAAGAAGACCGGGAGGGGGTGGAAGGACCGAGGGGGGTTACCCACTAAATAGCAAAAGGGCACCCCGAAGTGCCCCGGGCCATTTTCATGCTGCTTTAGGCTTAGGCTCTGTCATGAGACACCCCTCCACCCTCCCCCCCCGGGAACCCTAGGCAACACAGTCAGTATCCTTTATATTATTATTCATTAGTTATTCTATAGAATATATTCTAGGTATTTGATTTCAATTCTAAAACTATATCATTCATATATAAGTTCTTCTATAACCGTAGGCAGTCTATAATATTATAAGGCTAAATTATTAATAAATTCATAACTTGCATAACAGTCTCTTAGGCGCCCTTCCACCCCGAGGGGTAAACCCATCAGCCACCTGGGCATGTGCATATATACCCGTAGACTTGTAGACTTGTAGACTTGTAGACTTACTTACTTAGGAAACAATTACATATATAATTTAACAATTTTATTTCTCTCTATACATTCTCCCGGTCATTTTGTTATATCTCATGCCTATTTCCTTCACAACATTACTATTTCCCTACTCTTTGCTCTCTTTTCTTAGGGGAGGCTGGGATATGTTCAAGTGTGGGCTATGCTCCCCCGCCAAAATCTCAACTTCAGGGTCGCCCAAGCCCGGTGGCTCAGCTGAGCACAAGGTATCAAGCTTGTAGTACGAATGCCTGTTCTAACTTCCTAATTCAATTTGTTGAAACTACCTTTTTGGATTCTTTTCCCTCCGGTGTAAATGACCACAGTGTACTTCTATAGTCTAATGCGTTTGTCGCTTAGCTACCAGTAGATACTTTATGGATACATCCATGTATGTAAGGTTTGGGGGCAACTCGTACACTTGTAGGCAATGACTTGATACATTTTGGGCTATGTTTCTTTATTTAACAGCTACATTGCTACACAAATAGTGCTTTGGGATTATTTTTGTTGGTTATGTTGTATTCTATGACGGTATTCCCACTGGTTGTGCATATATATACATATGTATCCACCACCTTTCCTATCTTCATCACGGGGCCTCACGCCTTTCTTTATAATGTACTTATGTTGTAGTTCTTGCTATTATCCGCACTACCTGAGATAGATACACCTACTAGACACACCTGAATTATATATTTGGAGACAGAATGTATTTCTTCAATGAAATGACGTCAGAGACGCAGCAACACGCTGAAAACAAGATGCACCAATCTACACGGCTATCCTGTCGCATGCCTACCTCACAACATATTCTAGTTACATACCTGTATTGTACAATAATCTAGAACTTGAATACCTGGTCCTTGTTGTAACCCAGATCCTTCAAGATACCAGTGAGTTCACCCTGGTCCTTGGGGCTGATCTTACCGCCGGAGATAGCCTTGTACATGGGGGAGGGCCACAGATGAAGAGCTTGATGTTTTCCTCCTTGGGCTCTGGCAGGACAGTCTTCAGCAGCTCTTTGCTGATGTAACCCTTGCCACCGGTCCACTCCGCAGGGGGTTGTCCAGGACGTAGAAGGCACGGAAGCGCTGGGGGTAGGTGTTCTCCAAATCCTGAAGCTCCTTCTTCAGGAGGATATCTTCTTCGCTGACATTGCCGAAGACCAGAGTGACCTTGGTCTTGTCCTCGGGGTTCTTGAAGATCTCACGGGCGAGCTGGTACATCGGGGTGATACCAGTACCACCGGCGATCAGGCAGATGTGGTTGTGCTTGTTTGCCTCCCAAGGGTACTTGACAATAGGTCCCTTGAAGGACAGGCGCTGGTCGACGTTCATGGAGTGGATGTGCTCGGACATCGGGCCGCCGGGGTAAGCCTTGACGACGAGCTCAAGGTAGCCGGGGATATCTGTTATGTGTTAGCAGAAGAAAACCAAGTCGGGTCCATGTTAATCCTACCCTCATCACTGGTGGGGGTGTAGGGACGGAGGATGTTCTTCTCAGCACCCTCGGGCTTGAAACGGGTCAACAGAGCAGCTAGATGTCTGTTAGTGATCGATTGGAAACCATCCGCGGAGCCAGACTACTCACAGGCAACAGGAAGGCCAGAGACAGCCTCCTTATCATCGTACTCAAAGCGAAGACGCTTGGTGTTGGGGCTCAGATTCTCAATGTTGGCCAGCTTGAGGTCCACCCAGCCCTCACCGTTGAAGACCTTGGGGCGCTCCTTGGGCTCAGCAACCGCGCCGGTGCTGTAGCGATACACACCAGCACCGAGACCGGCGAGACCGACACCGACGTAGATGGGGGTTAAGTTGGACTTCTTGGGAGCAGCCTCAGCAGAGTAGTTGCGCAAGCTCTGATTGAATGCTTGTTAGTATCGTTTCGGAATTGAATTTAGGACATATTCCAACGAACCTGTTTCAAGGGCTGTGCACAACGGAAGGATTGACGAGCAAACATGATTGCGATGAATTGGGGGGAATGGGGGTGCGTATACGTAGAAGTGTTGGAAGGGAACACTGGGAGTTCTTGAAGGTCCAGCGGGCCCGATGAATCGGCTTACATATCCGAACGCGAGAGCGAAAACAAACGCCCAGCTAGCTCCCTCCCGACACAATTTTAAGGATGCAACAAAATATCCCAGAGTAATGATTATTCGAGTAAAGATGGCCATGATATCTCAGCCTGTATTCTTGACAGACCAAAAGAAAGACTTGTAACTATGTTGTAGAATGACAATTGAACATAACTGTAGTGGATAAATGCCTGATATACAAGGTATCGAGATTCGGCCTCGCTGACACTTGCTCCGTCGGGATTATGTACAAGGGGAAGATAGGATCGATCACTATGTATGTAGTCTGGCAATGAAGTATATGACTGACAGTAAGCGATTTGCAGCTACTACCTTGCGTTCATCCATGCAGTCAGAAATCTGAAGGCCAACAGCCCATTAGTCCAGCTGTATACATCTCTGATATGATGATGCCTTAGCATCTATCAAATCGGCCTACTCTCTCTGTATGTCAATTGTCCTACTGGAACTCGAATAATTCAAGAAACCCGATGATTTTTTTCAAAATAACCTAAGATGCCACCATACGGGGAACTAGAGACATCCAACCATCTCACCCGTGAACGGGCAGTGGTTTCCACGCGACCATCTTTCATGCATGCTATGGCCATAAACAGTCATTCATCCACACACTCCAAACCCAACACCCAGAACATCACATTTAAGCAAAGGTAGAGGGGCGAGAGTGGGCAAAGACCTTCTTGCCGATCTTGCCACCGGCGCGGTGGGGCAGAGGGAACTTGAGGTCCTTCTGGAGGAGCTGCTTGATGTAGGGGCGGCGGATGCTGTCGTTGTTCTCGATCTCAACAACCTTAAGGATCTGCAGAAAAATAACAATTAGAATGTGGTCATTGTCGGAAGGTTCGGATGGCGTAACATACGTGGATGGAACCGAAACGGGAGCGGTGACGGGCAGCCATGTCCTGGTAGAGGGCCTCAACAGCGTCGGTGCGGCTCATCTCACGGAACTCCTTGTACATGTTGTGGGTACCGGAGCGCGAGTCGTAGCGGATCCAGATACCGAAGTTCTTGACCTTGAGGGGACGCTTCTCCTCGATCTAAACACAAGAAAATGAGCACCATTCCATATCCTCGGATGTTCAATCCCAACATACCACGTTCAGGGAGACGATCTCGCCGTTAGCCTTCTTGAGCTTACGGAGCTGGGCCATGAAGTACCAGAAACGCGACTTGGCCACAACAGTGTTGGGCGCAAAGATGCGCATGCGGTACAGCTTGGGCGTGGGGTTCGCCTCGTTGGGCAGGTGACGCCCGATGACCTGGTACTCAGTAAGACGCCCTGGGAATCCGTCAGCCATTGTTCGTAGTGGATAATCCAATTGCCCAGATGTGCTGTTCGAGATATTAAACGGTGCGCGATATACAAGTTGCCGAGAATTCGAGAAGACCAAGGGTGATGTGGAGATATTGAAAAAATTCGAGATTCAACCATGCGTAGCCCTGATGGACGGTGTTGTGCGTTCCTTCATAAACAATTCCAAGCGATGTCGATTTGCCATTGCGTCCTCCTCTTCTGTGATCGTCCCATTTCGATATTGTCGGGGTCTTTGCGCCTCGAATTTCCTCCAACCATATGCGCGCACCGTTGTCTCGAAAAAAGTCCTAGGGTATCGGGAAGGGAATAGAAATCACTCACCCATCTGGAAGAGTTTTATGTTAGTATAAATCTCCGATAAAAATCGACTGGTAGGTACTCACTGTGATTGTCGCTGTGGTGGATGAGTCGTTAGTGTGCCGTCGGTGGAAAATGAGAATTGTGAGGTTCCAATTGTGCTTAGGGTTGCCGCCCTTGCCCTAAGCGAGTGGAGGCATTCCGTTCTGCACTAGTCCCATTTGGTAATATCGCTGCGCCACTGTCCCTCCGCCACATCTCACCAGCCACATTGCATCGCCTTCCCCACATGTCTTCTCCAAAAGTATGGCGTTCCTCACTTGTTTGTCTTTGTCGGGTCGGATCTCAACCTTTACCCCACCTCGAATGCTTCTTTCCAACCCATAACTTCCTAATCAATTTAACCAACGCGGTCTTTCGCCAGAGCGCAGCTCACCATGACCTCTTTCGCGACCGCGTTCAAGAACGCATACCTCGACGGGTCCGGCCCGGAACTAGCTGCAGTGCTCACCCCGATCGCACCGCCTGAAGATCGCGATTGGCTCCGCGAATTCTACCGGTTCTCTAACGCCGAATACATATCCAAGGATCTCAGCTATGCTCTCTTTCATGGGAAAAGTTTGAAGTTGCCAAAGGCCGAACAGGCGGCCTGGGTCGACATCTTTGTTGTTTACTGGGAAGCTATAGGCGAAATACTTCAGTGTGAAGATCGCCTTCCGGGTGCTAGCGTCATCACGGTCTTCAATGCCTGGAAAAAGGTCGCCAATGCCCTCATCCGGGGATACTCGGGCTCTGCCGGCATTCCGGCTTGGACATTGCCATGCTTGTACACAGTCGGGAAGTACTTGCGTACTTTTGCGATCAATGCCGATCTCGAGGCAGCTTCCCAAGGCTCCGCTGGATTTGGCTTCCAGGATGACATTGCGGCTGATGTTGAGAAGAACGCCAACTTGGAGGAGGCTGCTCGAGTCATCAACCGGATGTTCACTCTGTGCCTGAGTGATAGGTAAGGATATGGTTGAATTCTTCGAGTTGTTCTATTGCTGACCAGACCCAGAGCCCCCTCGAAGAGTCCCGAAAGTGGGGCATATACAACATGACCAATCTACTATTCAAGACGTATTTCAAGGTACCGAATGTCGATCTTACTCTCGCCGGCGAAACGCTAATCTCTCTCTTTCAGATCAACTCCGTCGGCCTTACCAAAAACTTGCTCCGTGCCATCAAAGCCTCGTCGGCCGATCTCCCCTCTCCCGGATCTTTCCCCAAATCCCACATTGTCACATTTGAATATTACGTTGGGGTCATCCACTTCTTGGATGAGAATTATGCAGAGGTATTACCAAGAGCTGTGCTCGTGGACCATTATCGGCACTGACAATTTGCAACATAGGCCGAGGAACACCTGACATGGGCTTGGAAGATGTGCCATCGAGACGCCATCAAGAATCGAGAGTGAGTAGCCCTCTAGCTTTAGATAAGATTCCCACTAACCACCGGTAGATTGATTCTTACCTACCTTATTCCCTGTCACCTCGTGACCACACACACGCTACCTAGCAAGGAGCTTCTTGCGCCATTCCCACGCCTCGAGAAGGTTTTTCGGTCTCTGTCGAACTGCATCCGAAAGGGTGACTTGGTTGGATTTGACCAGGCCATGTCTGACGGCGAGGAAGAGTTTGTCAAGAGACGTATCTACCTACCCCTAGAACGTGGACGCGACATCGCTTTACGCAACCTTTTCCGCAAAGTTTTCCTCGCTGGTGGGTTTGACGAAGCCAAGGAGGGTCAATCTCCGGTTCGGCGTACTCGTGTCCATGTGAATGAGTTTGCGGCAGCTCTTCGTGTGGGTACTTCTACAACTGGCCGATCACGCGTTGATATTGATGAGGTGGAGTGTTTACTCTCCAACCTCATCTACAAGGTAGGCTGACAAGTATGACCTATCCGTAAGTGCTTACTGACATGCCGCTTTAGGGACTCATGAAAGGATATATTGCACGTGATCGAGGCATCATCGTTTTGAGCAAGGGAGGCAGTGCTTTCCCGGGCACAGGTGTCTAAAGACTTTTAGGTGGCAATGCACTATTTTCGTCTAATGCCCATCGACACCTCCCTCGGTGGTTGCTAGAACCTTCAAAGCCGTCAGGTATGGATCCGCCTATAACTTACATTCATACAGCTATATCATTCGGCATACCAAAATACTGATCAGGCAACACCACTGCTGAAGAATTTTGGAATCACGCGATACACATTGCACACTAGCAACATGATACTTGGTCATCGCTTGGATCGAAGCCCCAGCTTCGTCGGTGTCATCCAGTCAGAGTCATCCAGTCCACGCTTGCCTAATACATGAGATATCGAAATGGGCTAGTTGGACTACATTACATCCTATCTTTACGAATTCACGAATCAATTGTTCCAAGTACTTAACCTTCAAAAATGCTCTCCATTCTGTAGATAATGAAACATAGTAGTACACGGGTATAAAACACTGCCAGCAGCGATATAGAACTGGAGAAACCACGCAATTAGTTAGTCAGAAGCCAGCAACCCGTCCTAAACCCAGAAAGCCGATCATCCTTAGCAATGAGTAGTAACAGCCGAACTCTCAACCGATTGACCAGTATAGTCATCCTGATCGTAACCCAAATTAGCATCATATATCATACCTAAAACACCAAGGAAAGAAACCTACCATATGATTACACAAAGCAACAAAAAGATCAAAAAACAACTTCCCCCCACGCTCCATCTCCGCCTGCATAGTCCCACTACGCATAAAAGTTCCTCTCGACCGCACAATCAGCGCAAGGTAATGAGCCCGCAGCTTCGTCTCCGTGTCAGGCGTGTTAGCGTACGCGAACCGCGCACTCGCAAGAATCGTGCTACACTGGATCCCAGTGTGTAGACCCTGTTTGCGCAGGGCGAGACGCTGAAGATGGGGGAGGTTGTATTTTTCTGCGGCGCAGCTGTAGAAGAATGACATATATTAGCACACACATTCACACTCACATTCACATCCATAACCAAATGAAAAGAATGAAAGACCGAAAACAAGACAATCACTTACTAAATAGCCGTATCCCGCAATATCACCCCCCGCGCCCGATGATGAAACACCGTCGCAGTCGCCTGTCCCAATTCCCCACTAGTGCCCGCGCCAACGCCCGCATCTGCGTCTTCCAGCTCCCATGTCTGGGTCCGACTGTTGTGTCGCAGACGCGGGTAGTAGTCGCCCTTGTAGAGGTACTCGAGAACGCAGGAGAGGACTTCGGCTTGCTCTTCTGGGAGGTCGATGAGCTTGCTTGGTGGTTTCTGGGCGAGTCTGGGGCGTGGCGCATTCGGGTTTGGGGTTTGGGCTGTGCAGTGGGCGGCGAAGAACGGGGATGTGCGGAGGATGGCTTCGTGGGCGGCGAAGAGGCGCTTTTCGGGGCCCACGCGGAGCATTACTATTGGGCTTGTTGGGGGTGTTCTGTGGGTTTGGTTAGTGGATGGGTTTTGTTTATGGATTGGTGTAGATGGTGAGATGAATATGGGATGCAGATGCAGATGCAGATGCAGATGCAGATGGAGATGGAGACACATCCATGCTATGGACAGGACTTACGTTACATCTGGGGGTTTTTCAAATCTTCGACGCTGTTCGACTCGTCGAGTCTTACTGCCAATCGAGCCAGAGCCTGAACCAGAACTATCTCGTTCTTTGTCTTTGGATGCTCGGTCTCTAATTATCTCGCGCGGAGTCCTGCGCGACTGCAGCGTGAAAGCCGAGGCCTTTGTCGCACGATACCGGCCAGGAATTGGACTCTCTGGGGTTCTTTCGGACAACATTGCTATTATACTATGGGTCTGGATAGGAGACGGCGGGATTGGGGAGAATACAGAGACAGCAGTGGATGGATTCAGGGGCGCAGATGGGGTGGTATTTATAAAAGAAAGAGAGGACACTACAAGCTCCCGTTTGTTACAGAGACGAGTCACATCGTACATTATATTGTACTGGGTGGAGATTACAGGACAACGCCGGACGGTTTTTGTACGGATGATCTGCTGGATAGCTCCAATTAGCCTGCGTAGAGGGGTAGAGCTCGAGGAAAGACGCGTCACAATCAGTTTCGAGCGCGTAAAGGGGTTGTCTCGAGTCGCCAAATGAGCGCGTGGTCACGGGCCTCGATTTGACCAATCACAGGTCGCCATCGAGTCAAAGGAAATTACGATTTCCTATTTGGGAAATAGTTGTGGGTTGCGGTGGATTATTGCTTCGCATCGGAGGCAAATTCTGATCTTCTGTCTTTGTTGCAATTGATACGTCCATTGGGCAAGAATATCTTGGAATGGTGAGGTTGCTGATTTATCTTTTGAACTTGGTTACGTTCGAAAGTCAGGTTTGATTAAATTGCAGTGCTCCGTACAGATTTGATTGAATGGACCTGCTGCAATGTCGCAATAGAGCCCCTGAACGCCGACGCTAAACGCCCTTGACAAAACCCGGTGTTCCCGAAGTTACCCGTCCCATCTCCGCTTGCCAAAGATATGGGGACAAAGAAACAAGAAAAAGGAATGAAAAAGAATGAAAAAGAAACCGAGGGCCTACGTTACAGGAATACTTTCCTGGCATCCTTGGGGTGGCTTTCGCTAGGGCAATACGGGCATTTAAACCGATTACCCTTGCCCAGGCGCCTCAACGATTCATGTGCAATGACATGTCCACATGGCATCATCATAGGAGGGTTCTCATCAGTCGCCTGCTCCTTTGACACCGGACAGACAAAGATAGAGTGGAAGAGATATTGGGGAGGGAGGGGTATCTCGACCTGAAAATATAAATATTAGCCTTGATCATACACAGAGTAGCGGCTTTCTTACCGGAAGCTCGTTGTCCGATGTCCACTCCGTCCGCTTCGACTTCATAATCGTTTGTAGCTTCAATAGCGTAGGCAAAGCTATCGCCCCCGCTGTAGCAGCAATGTACAGCGGCGAGTCCGCCGAAAGACCTAGCAAAGAACAGAACTCGCGAGTAAAGAAGTGAGCTACGTCATCCCAAGCCGAGCTGTTATTGAAGAGAGCCGCATATGGTGACCCGCCGAGGTTGGGTGAGTACGCCATTGCTCCGACCAGCTGCTGAACCTCTCTCAAATATCGGGGCACAAACACATGGAACTCCCGCCGTGCGTACTCAAGTGCAGCGAGCCATCCACTTGCGGTTCCCTCACTGTTTGCCCCACCATGGTACAGCCATACGTATTGTAGTCGACAGAGCTCGAATTCAAGGTTGCTACCCCGCGCGTCCAGCGCCTCGCGGTTATCCCTCGACCATTCGATTGCAGGAAGTAAGTTCCTGTTCTCTTGTATTTGTTGTAGCATATAATACATTGAGGCGAATTGTTTCCGGATCTCGGTCGAAGGGACTTCGTCCATATCGAGCAGGCTGGCGGGTGGATTCGTCGGCCCATGTCCATTTTGGGAGACTGGATACACTGTCTTCTGCTCGGCAATCTCGGAAAGGAAGGTGGCGGCCACGCCGAACTGGCCTTCGCGAAGGAGATGCATGGCGATGGCGCGGTTGATGAGGTTTTCGTGTGTAGAGAGGCCATCTTCGTCGGTTCCAGGCAGTGGTCGATCTTTGAAAAGCTGTGCCCGATGTTAGATTAATCGCAAGGCATGGATGACCAGTATTCCCAATACCTTATCTAGAGATTTGGTGTACTTGTTGAGGCCACTGTGAGTCTCTTTCAAGCTGTCATTGATAGAGTCAAACGAAGATTTCACCGAGTTCTGAAGGGTTGCTAGAGCGGCAGAGGCAGAAGATGGATCTGTTTGGGGAGAATTCGATGTCGTCAGTTCAGAACCAAGCGGGTCCACGTTTACAAGTTACTAACCAGCAGCGATGGCATCACGGGCAGACTGCAGTGAATCAATTGCAGAGTCCACATTCTTGATACCCTGAGCACCTTCGGTCCTCTTGAGGAGTCGGCTGTGTTCTTTCTGCACTACTTCCATTGCAGATGGCGTTCGGTTAACGGGCTCGGAAGTGACTGGCGAGGTTACCGAGTCTCGCCATGTGGAGAACCTTCAGATAACAGCTCTTTTATCTCGGCGCCTTCCAAATTGGATAAAATATACAATATATTGAGGTGATGGGAAGTTTTCCTTCAAATAGATGCAGCTATAACGAAGGTAATAACCAGAGGAAACCGGTTGAAATGAAACAGAAAGACAAGCTATTCCGGGTGATATTCCACGTGATTCAACCCCCCATCCGGAAAGTGATTGGCAAGTGATTATGGAGCACTAGGCCTAGTACACAAGTCCGGAGTAGAAGGCAGCATGGGTATCCAAGTGAGCTCAGTTGAACTCCTGCTTCAACATGGTGGGTCTCATCCTTCTTTAATAGTACCCAGGTATAACTAATCGAAAGTCTTACTCTACATAGCAGGTTCCGGCTACCCAGTCTAACGATTGTATGACTTGCCTGTTAACTACAACCTGTCCCTGGACTGGCGAGTTACACACTAGGCCAAAAGACCATTATATCTAAACATTACGCTCAGATAGTCCAGGTTCTGATACAGATAACTAGTCCATGACATGACATTACCTATACAAAAGGTACTTAGGCACCCCGTGGGCATATCATATAGCCTTCATATACAATATAATAGTCATCTTCCAAATTAGATACTAGGAATTTATACTACCATTAAGGTAAGGGGATTGATACAGGTTCGTTTCTTCTTACAATATTCTACTTAAGATCCCCCTTTGCCCGAAAAGTCCAGACATTAATCCATGGATACTCAATTCTTTACACCGCCTTCTCAATTCGAAGCCCTAGATTCCTCAACCTCAACTAATTATTTCGGAATAACAATCATCCGAAAAGGCGATTCCAGAATCTTCGAGTTGAAGACCGGAATCTTCGGAATAATAAACTTCCGAAAACCGGACTATTCCAGAAAATTCGGTCCAACGCGCGTTGGACCCCACTAAGAAATATAAATACCCCCTTCTTCCCCCCGAATTCCTCTTCTTCTTTTTTTCTTCTCCATCCTAGTGCACGGGTTTTACACGTATCAGTGAGGAGACATCCGAGATCGTGTTTTTGCTAGTTGAAAACTACCAAATTGACTACTTCAAGTGAGCCTAATCGCACGCTTGGGAATTTTTGAAACCTTCCTGCCTCAACTCCTTGGCTCTTGAGCCCTCGAGTTGAATTTGATTCTTCGATGGGAGACTTCGGTCACCCTCGAGTATCTTCAGTCTTTTCATTACTTGTTACCCATGCTGGTGGCTCTTAGAGAAGAGATATCCTTAATAGATGCTTATGATTACCCTACACTCCCCCTTATTTAAAATGTAAATAAATAGTTGTTTTTTCCCACCAAACATGAAGTCTCGCGTCTCAGAGTGTCAATGTTATGATAGACTTGTCGCGTCCCTCGGTCGCGTATGTTGTACCACTTACCACTTAGCCCCACCATCCCTTTCGTCATCAACGTCCATTCTACGAGATCTCTTTTTATGATCACTTCGTGCTGGATAAATTCTCGTATCCTTCTCACCATAACATTCTCACAAAACGTTCATGATTCGAAGATCACATGTGTCTCAGCCCTGGGAATGTCTCAGGGGTCTATGTAACCCTTGCACCATTTACCTTCACTATCCAGGAACTCCAGGCCGGTATAACTACATACAACATATGCTAGTGAACTACTGGCAAGTTGATAGTCGAATACCATAGTCGAATACCACGCTATCAAAAGCCTCCTTCATTTCAATGAAGCTTCAGTTTAGGCCCCAATATGTGACGGAATTACAGTTACTGATGTGTGTGTCACTAGAATACCTCCAGGGCGACTGATCTGCATTCCGACCGACCAACAAAGTGATCTTTTCTCTTCCCCCGGCCGTGAAGTTTCCATGCGGTCGAACGACGTGTGCAGACACCTCATCATGCTCATCGAATTAGTCGGGAGGATTCTGGATCACATCTTCTAACTTCGTCCATGTCCTCGCACGTGTTGCTATGATACACCCGGTATCGAGGTAATTCCTCAAGGGAGCGGCAGCTATTCTGTTCTTACACCTAGATTCGAGACCTGTGAAATGACCATGGGACTTTTGAGCCTTGCCAAGGAATACATATCTGTCTTTTATGAACAATCACACTACGGGCGATGGGCCGGAGGAGAATACAATCTTTGTTGATGCATGGAGGATTACTTCCACCTCCATATCTGGGGTATCGTAAGTACTCCGTACTCCGTACGATGAACATGGCATCGACGAATATATCCCCAGCCCCGGGCTCCACCAATGTAACCGGTTTCTCGATTCAATGATTTTATGGAGATTGAAGGATCAACAAGCAATCGGATTTTTCATTATATGCTCAGACACCAGCCAAAACATGTCAAGTTCATCATTTACCTCCTGAGTTTCAAGAGCGCAATATCAACTATAGTTATATGGTTTTTGTGCTAATTTTATAAACCGGTTACAGTCTTCCATATACTCCGTACGAATACGCACTATCTCTAGTATACGGATACGAAGCATGGGCTTTTTACACGAAACAACCATCAAGGGGGTACCAATTCCTTAATAGACCCACATACCATAACTGACCATCGAGGGCTAGAGAGCAGGGATCGACAGGCACAATCTCTCTTTGCCTGACTTCCAATGGATCACTTTCTCTCTCTGTCAACTACTCAAGAGATGTGGCTGGTATCCAACTTCACCAGCCCACGCTCTTTGATACTATCGCTATAACAAAACTATGACTACTGCTTTGAAACACACTCCCTAGCCATCTGCACTCCCCCAAAATGTCGCCCCCATCTTGGGTCTTTCCGGCCATAGCCGCTTCCACCTGGCTAGGTGAGGTCCCCAATTACCCACGGTCGCATTCGACAATGATCTAACACTGCATTTAGCAATGCTACTTGCTATGCTAGGACACTGGACTATGATCGGTGAACCGAGATATGGCTTGATGAAGCCTGGTCAGAATATCCCGTGAGCAATTGCCACCTTTGGTCATCCCCATAATCATGCCAAGATTTTGAACTAACGGTTTTTGAACAGATTCATTTCAGATATTGGAGCCCAGGAATTAAAGCCATTGTTCATGATCGGATCTATTACGACAGTCCTCCTTTTAAACCTCTCTTTCTACAAACATGTTCAAAACAAATTATATATCAGCAAAGCGTGCACGCACGGTTCATTCTTTTTCACAGTCGTCGGGAGCACCGGCTTGATTATGCTCTCTGTCCTCGATAACATCGCCCACCATTTGATGCACGATGTCTGTGTGACAATATTCATGTATGTCCTTCGTCAAGGCCGATATGCATCTACGTTACAATGTACTAACGGTTTCAGTGTGGGGTTCCTACTCAGCGCAGCCTTGATGTGCTTGGATTATATATACCTCGGAATCGCTCATGCTCTACGGGAGCCTATGCTCATGACAAGTTTCGTTATCAAATCTTCGTTCATTGTCGTTGAGCTTGCCCTCATTATCGTCTTCCGCATCACCGAGCATACCCACTACCGGCAGAACAACACGGCAGCTACTCTTGAATGGGGTGAGTAGATATATATCGTCTCTACCTCTCCACTGCCCTACATTGTACTGATTTGCTCCACAGTCATCGCCTTCGTCTTCACTGGGTATATTCTTTCTTTGATTGTCGATCTCATGCCGTCCGCACAAAGGAATCTCCATAATCCAAAGGGTTATCAACAACTTGAGATGAGCACGGGTATAGGCACGGGCTTGCTGCCTTAGCTCGTGGTTTGATTGGTTCTTTGTTATAGGCGCCTGGCTGTAGCTTATAGCGTTGGTTCAGTTCGCGACCTTTTTTAAAATGTACATATATATTTATATATTTCCGTGCTCGTGAAACGAATACCAAGACTTTCTTCTTACCCTGTGGCAATTCCTATATCAAATTAGATCCAATTGACCTCCCAAAAATAGCAACATCCGCTAATTCTGTCCCTTAAGGATTAATTTATTTCGATATCAGATAGACTAGGTGGAATAACCTGGTCCAAATCGTAGTTTCACTTACCGTTTACGATCCTGATGACTGACCCTTGGCACTCTCAGAACTCTTGGAATCATTAGCAGTAGGATCTTTGCAGTAAGATGGTCCATAGGGCTGCAGCTGTGGGGAGGCATACGTACGCACCGACGTATAGCCTTAACGCCAAGTCTCGCGCCGAAAGACCGAGCAGAAACTCACGCCCAATTCGTAGCAAGAATCTGCACATGCTAATATTGTGCTGCAAAGCTTGGCTGTTTATATTGGAATTGAGACTGAAGGGCTGAAAGCTCAATTTCAAAGAAGAAAAACCATACCCGAACCAGATACATATTGCATCGAAGGAATCAATCAGCAGATCCCAGAAATGGCGAATCGATCGATTCTAGTAGCAAGTGGTGCAAACAACTCGTCCCAACCGAAGGCTTCTGCTACTCCACACAGGAGTCGTAAGTGATGCCATCATCCCGATCCAGGACTAGGTTCAGCTCATAGCATCTGAGCACTAGTTTCAGCTTCCTGGTTGGTGACGCCACTCCGTCTTTATAAAAGGCAGCTTGGAACCCCTCTATCCTGTTCTTTTCTGAATTATACTTACACTCAAATACCCTCTCGATCTCACTGTTCATCAATCCATTACCTTCCCACCTTCCTCATACAATCATCCATCATGGGACTCTTCAGTCACCACCACGATAAGCACGACGAGCACAAGAACCACGAGGGTGGTCACCAGCACGGTCACCAGCACGGTCACCAGCACGGTCCCGGTGGACCTCAGGGCGGATTCCAGGGACAGCAACAGGGTGGTCCCCAACACAACGGCGGCCCTGGTGGTCCCGGTGGCCCTGGATTTGGAGGACCCCAGGGTGGATTCCAAGGACAGCAGCAGGATGGTCCCCAACACAACGGTTGTCCTGGAGGCTTTGGCAGTCCTGGTGGACAGCAGGGTGGACACGGCGGTCACGGTGGCCATGGCGGACCCGGTGGTACCCAGGGAGGCGTATGTATAGCTCGTTCATTCTCACGACACTTTTGCTAACGTTTCTACAGCACGGTGGACGTTGAATTGTCTAGTGTGGATGTGATTGGAGGTTGATATCCTTGGAAGAAATGTTTTGAATCGATAGACTCATAACATGGCATAGTTTTATATATAAGTATGAATCATGTCTGCCATCTCGCTGGTTGAACATTCTGGTGATGGCGTTCGAAAATTGTCTCTTTCTTGATGCTGTACTTGATGTAGATGAGTTAACGTATGGTTTCAAATGTTTAAATGTTAGGTGTTTAGCAGAGAGACATGCTGCAACTTGTGAATGCCGACTATCATCGTGTGGTTTTTCTAAAGCTAGTCTTTGTCTACTGTAACAGCCCATCAACTGCGATCCCGATAAAGTGAGCAATGTAGTCACATTTGTTCAAAGTATTTGATCTGTTGGGTTCCGGGTTAAAGCCTGTTTTCATGGGCTTTCCCCGGGGCGTTGGCAGTAATATGGTAGGTCAAAAGAATAGATCTAACATAAGATATCAAGTTGAACCCAACCAGCTTAGTACAGCAAGCAAGCTAAAGTCTTCTGGCTAAAACTGCCATGACAGAACTTCTGATTTTCTGACCCTCCATTCGGTTGCTTGAGCGTGGTCCGTGGTGATGGTTTTCTCGGGCTGGAGGGATTCGCGTATTGTCTTCTAGCTGAACAATGATTTCAGAAAGGGAATTCAATGGGATGTGCCAATGAAGGTCAAAATATTATCGCAGGAGAGGGAGGGAAGAAGTAGTATCACATCTATACAACCATTGATGCCTGAGGCAAGAAAACAGACAACAATGGTCACATGATCTGTCCGCCATAAGGTACGGAATGACGTCGCCACTTTTGCACCTTCGGGAGGTTTATGTGGTTTTCAAGGCGTTCGCCGAATTACGTTGGCCTTTCTCCTTGATCTAGGCTCATACTATGTCTCAAACCCTGTTATCTGGATATGTCACAATTGTTTCTACGTGACCAAGAGTGCAGGAGGATTGAAGGAAGGCCGGCAGTCCTTCGCATCTTGAGCTTAGGAGAGGTGACTTGGTTGAGGGTCGAGTGATCGGCGCTATCTTCATTTTTGCCCCCTAGCGAATAAGCCTGGAAAGCGGACTAGCCATCATGCAGGCCAACGCCCCGAGTATCCCTCCGGTCGATCGTACGGATTCAATGCCATTGGAGGCTCCCTCCTACGCAACTGGACCCGAACGTCCCTCACCGCAAGGCCACCAGCGATTTGTGTTCACCGATGCGGTTGCCCTCCGATACCTCGAAGAAGACCCCTCGACCGATGTGCTCCAACGACGTGTAACACTACAAGGCTATGAAATTTATGTTGTCGAGCAATGGGCCTGCTCTCGCGTGCATCCGACATTCATCATATCGACCTATACCGGTGACCCTTCGCATACAGTGATTGTGGGAGTATTGAGTGTTCCGACCAATGAGGCAACATGGTCACCTCGCTTACGGATGTACTTTGACGGCATGAAGCAATGCCACGCCAGAAGGAAGGAATCGCCATTAGGGACGGTCATGGTTACGGATCTGGCCTCATTCCCTTCTGCCCTGAGTCTAATTCCAATACCCGATGGCGATATAAAGAAACACCGGGAGGACTTTATTGTGAATGAAGACTTAAAGAGACTTGGGTGCGCAGGCCGCGCGGGCTTGAAGCTTCAACCTCCCTCAGCGGCGACCGAAGCCAAGTTTCATCAGCTGTACCGAACGAGCGAGAGGGTTCCTTTATACAATGCGGTCATGGAATTGGTCAGACAGTGCCAAATTGCCTTGATGGTGTTTGACAAGCTAGCCCCGGAGTATGTGGATGGGCTACTTTGTGATGTGACCGAGGCGGCTGTCAGCGATTGGTGGACAGATATTGGGACAGACCTGTACAACATTGAACCAAGTGACAGCAGTCTGGGACCCACCAGCGTGGCTGCGTTGCTGGGCACGTTGCTCGGAGCTCGAAATCGACTGCACGCCTATGGCGCCCCTGTAGGGAAAGACGCATTCGACTTCCCCAATCTAAAAAGAGGAATCGGTGGGTTCCAAAAGTCTCAAAAGATGAGGCGATCGCGAAGGCTGGACCGACTTACATTGGACCGGTTACACCGCGTGACGGCCAAGGCTGCCAATGCAGAAGGCTGGACCGATGCAGTGAAGTCAACCATGGCAGAGCTGAGTGGACAAGGTGGTGAGATGGTTATGGGTATGGTCCGCGGGCGTGACAAGGGTGGCATTGCCGATATCGAAACACTGGATCTTGACACCTTCGTACAGTGCTGTAATGGCGAGAGAGCAAAGTGGCTGTGGTTGGGCAAACCGCGCAAAAGTGGTGTTGAAGACGGGTTCGCTCGCGCGACTGGATCGGATATGATGTTTACCACCGATGAACAAGGCGGTTATGCCTGGACTAGTCGCAAGAAGCATTCAATAGAGGATATGCATACCGAGCGAGTACACTCAGGGCCGGATCCCTCCTGGAAGATGCCAGAACCGACTGTTGAAGAAAAAGACCATCGAAAGAAGGGCGTCAGCGGACGAGTTTCAGATGCGCGAGCAGGACTAGGACGTTTCAAAGATGCAGTCGGACTGCAGGGCCTTCGCCATCACCATCATTCTTCACGAGACAGCTCCGATTTGACACACGATGTTGCATACCGTCCGTCCATCGATAGTGACAACGAGGCACCGTCAACAAAAGCGTCAACAAAAACGCGGACTGACTCTGGGTTCCGGTCGGAAAGGATGATATCAAACGACATCGAAAAGCTCAACGAGGTGGAAGACAAACCGCAGCTGTCGCCATTTCCCGACTCCGAGAGAAAAGCTCCTGAAATCCATATCGAACCTGTACCAGAAGATGAGCCAGAACAACAAGCTCAAGACTGGCCCATCTCGCAGCAGTCTCCAATCATTGAGGAAGATTCCGACATGGAACGCGTTTTGTCTCAGTCGACGGCAGCATCAACAGATCGCGAACGTGACCGTGAGGGTTCGATCGGCGGGATGGCTGTCATGGCCCTGCGGCGGCCGCAAAGTTTTGAAGAATTCAAAAGCCTTGAAAGTGAGATTGAACGGCGAGACAACTTCTGCGGACGACACCTGTCGTTCAGCACAGTTGAAGAAGTGATGTTCAAATGGGAGCCGCTGGGCGGGAAACCAACCGTCAAAGAAACTGATAACCTTGAGGAGGCCATCGTTCAAGAAGACATGCTTGCCTCAGAGGGGCGCATCTTCAGCTCGCGGATTCAAGAGCTGAACCAGCATACCGTGCCTTGGGTTGAGCGACAAGTGGATTCTGTGGACAGTCTCAATCAACTCCTATATGACCGACACGAAGAGCTCAACTCAGTCTACCTGGAACGCTTTGCCGACTACCAGAGACTACGCGAACGATCCAGTGACATCCTCATAGATGAAAGTCACCACCTCACCGATGGCGTGAAACGCGTCGAGTTGCTGGGCGCCAAACTAGATTACGAACTACACGTCCTCGAGTCTAAAGTCGAGGACGTGGAAGCCGGCCTGAGCGACTTTGACCGTCACATCGTAAATGTCGAGACAAGAATCAAAGCCCTGCTCAAAGGCGAGGAACAGCACGATACTTCCTGGACCGCATGGATAGCGCGATCCATGGGCTTTTCGACCTAACGGCGACACTCGTATGATATTTTCTTTTTTTCATTCTCTGTTTTTCCCTTATCCACCATATTGTACATAGTCAGAGATAGACCGGCGATCGTGCCTCCCATCTGTGATGGTATAAACGTGAACCATCATTCAAAACAGGCTCCAATTCCAGTAGGCCGAACCAGTCAAATAGCCTTACATAGAAACAAAGACCACCGAGCTCTCTAGCTTCAAGGCTGCCAGAGCTTCTTCCCAAGAAATTTCGTTGTCAACACGTTTACATGCCCATGCCACCCTTGTTGGCATTGGCCTCGCCCTGCATCTTCTCGCTGACCTTGATGTTGACGTCGAAGAACTTGGACACGCAGCGGTCGAGGCAGACGGACTCGCCCTTGTTGAGGTCGCCTTCGCGGTAATCGGCGGGGATACACTTCTTGGTGCAAGACTCAGTCAAGCTATGATTCACGACGGGAGCAAGTTAGAATGGGTTCGGGTTATAAATAGTTTGAAGATGGATTGGAATGGGGTTTCTGAAGGCTTCTGGTTTCTGAATCGTGATACAGAGCGCTTGGATATGCTGTAGAGCTTCCAACATACCGGTTGAACATGTCTGAGATCATCTCGACTTCTGTCTCGGCAGCAGAGATCTTCTCTGCCGAGGACATCTTGGGGGCACCGCCGAAGAGGAAAGACATGATGTATGAGTAGATGGAATGTAGAGATGGTAATGAGTCGATATGTGGAGTAGAGCACCAGAGAGTCCAACGTAGTCGGAGCACGGCAGGTCGGAGAAGCTTGGGCCACCCGCGTGGAAAAACTCGGTTCTGCCGGTTCTTTTTTTTCTCCTTCTCTCCTTCTCTTCTTCTTCTTCTTCTCTCAACAATGTGAGAGCCATTAGCATTTGCTATGCTTTCAATTCGCCCTAGATGGGCTTTATCTGGCTTTGGCCTGCAAAAAAGGTAAGATTTGCATTTACTGTTTACTGTTTACTGTTTTACTCTCTCATTTCCCACCATTCCCATCTCTCTCCTATATGATGATTTATCCCCGCATTAGAACCGCTACAGTGATGCCCTTTTGGGCACTGAACGTACTGGATTTTATCTGACAAAAGCTTATTGCTTAATTTTGGATCAATTGTGTCAATTTTATCGAACATTGCTAACCCAAAATCTTCAGTGCAGGACTGCGACTCGCTAGCCAATCTCGCGTTCAGACTCCATTTACATCACGACTAACCATACAGCCAATTCGAAAGAATAGCTCTACATCATCATCAGGGAAGGCCTTGCAGGACCGCGTACAGCAGATCAAGGATGCCTGCGCAGACCCATACCCTCGCCTAGCGGTAGACGCACGCACAGTGGGCTGTGCCGAGTTTCGGTCTCGCTACGCGGAGCTCGCCAACAATGATTCAGTAGAAGACACAGTCATCGTCTCTGGTAGGTTCTGCTTTCTGGCCTTCACAATGCCCATGTACTTAGAATAGTAGGAAGAATCCGTACCTATAGACTCGCCGGAAGCAAATTGATCTTCTTCGATATCGTGCAAGACGGCCATAAGGTCCAGGTGATGTGCAACAAACGTCGTCTGGGCAGTGTCTCTCCCGAGGACTTCAAGAAGTTCTATCGTCTTCTGCGTCGCGGTGACGCTTTCTGTATGTCTCGTCTCCATCTGGCTTGACTCGAATGTCGCCCGCTAAATGCTGTTCCAGCTGTAACCGGTAGACCGCACCGCACTGGACGAGGCGAGCTCACCATTGATGTGAGCGAGTTGCCACAGCTGCTCGCGCCATGTCTGCATGATGTCCCCGTTCACGATACCGACCACGAGACCTCTCCCTACCCTCGCCATGTCCAGTTCCTAGCCAACCCCGCGACGGCCGATATTATTCGAGCCCGTGCGGCTCTCGTACAATATCTACGCCAGTTCTTTATCGACCGGTCCTTTATGGAGGTCAGCACACCGATCGTCGGGGCTGTGGCAGGCGGCGCAATTGCTCGTCCGTTCTATACCTCCGCCACTGAGTTCCCAGACCGGCTGCTGTCGCTGAGAATCGCACCGGAGCTATGGCTCAAGCGGTTAGTGATTGGCGGATTCGACAAAATCTTCGAAATTGGACCTTCGTTCCGCAATGAGGGTACGTTGAACTAAATAAAAATAACCTGTCCTGCAAAGCTGATGAAATACAGGACTGGACAAAACCCACAACGCAGAATTCACTACCTGTGAATTCTACCACGCATACGCCAACCTCGAGAACCTAATGACCATGACCGAAGACCTCCTCTCCGGCATGGCAACTCACATCCGCGCCTTAAACACAACAGGCACTCTCAATCCCACCACTGCCAACTTCACGGCACCATTCCGCCGCATCGACTTCCTCATAGGCATCGAAGAGGCCACCGGTCACAAACTGCCTAACCTCGAATCCCCCGATGCCCTAGATAAAATCCACGCCATCTTCACCGAACTCTCCCTCCCACTCCCAACAAACCCAACCCTCCCCCGCCTCCTCGACGAGCTATGCAGTATCTATGTCGAATCGCAATGCATAGACCCGACATTTATCATCAATCCACCCGAATGCCTCTCCCCACTCTCCAAATCCTTCATCCACCCAACGACGAAGCAGCGTGTCGCCGCGCGCGGTGAACTCTTCATCGAAACTAAGGAAGTGGTGAATACATACGAGGAGGAGAACTCGCCATTCGAGCAACGTCGCAAATTCGAGGACCAGCTACGGTTCAGCAAGGCTATCGGTGAATCCGGTGAGGTTGATGAGAGCTACCTCGAAGCCCTGGAGTGGGGCTTGCCTTCTACTGGTGGATGGGGTTGTGGCGTTGATCGTCTCTGTATGTTGTTCACGGGGGCTAAGCGAATTACCGATGTGTTGCCATTTGGTAATCTAAGGGCTGTGACTAGACGGCATGGACAGTCGAGTATCGAGTGAGAATTTTGGGTGTTATAAATATGGTGGCTTGTACGATATACTACATCAGAATGGGATGATATGGATTTCTCAACTCCTATTGGATATATTATTTATATCCCTGCGTCAAGTAACATCGTGTCAAATTTAGTGCAAATAGGCGAAGAGTAGCCTTTTATATCGTTAAAAAGATAGGCTAAAACCGATAAAACTCTTGGAAGCGGGGAAGTTGATTTTGATTTTGACAACATCATGGAGACCAACACGGTGGCTACGGTAGCTGAAGCCGTTACTGTCAGTCTACAGGAACTTGTAGATGGTAAGTGGTGTGCTTAGAAGAAAAAAGAGTTGTAGATGCTAAGGGATGCAGGAACTGTATCTTTTGACACTCTAACCGAAGCCTTTGGACCATCCTCTCTGGGTATCATCGTCGTCAAAGACCTACCCTCGACCTTCAGCGACCTACGAACAAAGGTTCTCTCCAATGCCTCGTATCTGGCGGCTCTCCCTGAACCTGAACTGGGTAAGTCTCCCAAACCCCAGAGCTGCCGCCACCCACCCACTAACCTCCATGTAGACTCTCTCACCAGCCCAGAATCCAAATACCTGGTCGGCTGGTCCTGCGGCAAAGAAACTCTGAAATCAGGTCATTTCGACACACTAAAGGGCTCGTACTACGTGAACTGCGCCTTCTATCAGGATGCATCTCTAGACAACGCCCCCGCAGACGATTTCCCCGATTTACCCCAATATACCGCGCCAAACATCTGGCCTTCACCAACCAAATTACCCGAGTTTAGGGGTAGCTTGGAGTCACTATGTGGGTTGGTCATTGATACCGCGGCTCTAGTCGCCAAGGCATGTGACCGGTATGCAGAAGCCAACATCGAAGACTACAAGCCTGGATACCTGCACCATGTCGTGACAACTAGCCTGACAACCAAAGCACGACTGTTGCATTATTTCCCCGGCACTCAAGAAGACGGGACTGAGGGTGAAGCCAGCGATGATGACTGGTGTGCCACGCACCTTGACCACGGCTGTCTGACAGGCTTGACATCGGCTATGTTCCTCGACGAAGCAGTTTCCCCTCCAACTCTCGATCTATCTTCCGGCTCTGCATCTGCCCCTCTCCCTGAACTTCCCCGTTCCCCCGACCCTTCGGCTGGACTGTATATCCGCTCGCGCACTGATGAAATCGTTAAAGTCAATATTCCTAAGGATTGTCTCGCTTTTCAGACTGGGGAGGCTTTGCAGCTAATCACGCGAGGCAAGTTTATGGCCGTGCCGCATTTTGTTAAGGGGGCTAAGGCTAGTCCTGGACAGAAGATTGCGAGGAATACTCTGGCTGTATTTACGCAGCCGAATCTTGCGGAGGAGGTTCAGCCTGGATTGAGTTTTGCGGAGTTTGCGAGGGGTGTTGTGCAGAAGAATTATTGAATATATTTTGTAGTATGATCTTTGATTTGAATGAGGTTAATTCAAATCCTTCTTTTTATGTTTCGTAGTGACTGAAATGGGATGGCCAACCAGAACCCTGGAGATTCCCCCAGATTCCCCCCGGGAGGCGAATTCAACAGTGACGGGCACTCCCAAACCCAATGCCCATTTCGGCACATGAATATCGGCATCTACAGAGTTTCCAAGTCCAACAGCCAAGTGATTTCACTATAATTCCAGTATCCAAGATACCGAGATATGGACCGAAATCCAACACACTGGTTAACCCTGTCACAAGTTGATCCAAGATCTACCACTTGGGGATCTCCGCATTTCCCCATAGTTTTGAGTGTCGAATGAGATCTGCGTGTTGATCTTCACTCAATCTATCATCTGCTCCGTAATCACAATGTTATCTACGGACGGACGGAACTGTATACCGTCCCCATTACCGAGTACTGATGCTAACAATGCCAACATCACTCTCATCTTTCTGGAGACTCGTTTTCAGGGTGACCCCTCCCCCGCACTATCGCTGATCTTCCCCAGGAATTATGGTTTCTGGTTTCTGGTTTCATGGGGGTCATGGTGGTCATGATGGTCATGGTGCCTCGGTGGTATCATGATGTCCACGACTTGTCTACGCAGTATATAAAGCAGAACGAACCTGCAATTCGATTCAATTCCTTCTTGCCAGACTTTTCCTGGCCATACACTCACTCCTCCCTTCTCTTGAACCATAGTTAACCCCTCCACCCACAATGTCCCACGAAGAAGGAATCAGTGTCAAAGACACAAACAACATCTCGTCCTCATCAAATGACGACTACGAAACAGGCCACTTCGGCCCCCTAGCCCACGTCAACACAGCCTCAAGCCGCTATCCTGCCTTCGGCGGTGATCTCCAACCTGGTCTCTACCGCGTCCCCAAAGACCGCAAGCTCGCCAACCCGGCACCGCTAGGCCTCTGCGCATTCGCACTCACTACCTTCATACTGGGATGTCTCAATATGAGCGTCAGGGGTATCACCAAGCCTAATATCATCGTCGGACCTGCCTTGGCTTATGGTGGGTTGGTGCAGCTCTTGGCTGGCATGTGGTATGTTGTGGAAATGGAAATGGACTGAAGTATAACTAGATGGGTTTGCTTTTTTGCTAACGAGATCAGGGAAATGGCTGTTGGTAATACCTTTGGTGCGACTGTGCTCTCATCTTACGGTGGTTTCTGGATCTCCTTGGCTATCACCTTCATCCCTGGTGGATTTAATATTATGGGGGCTCTTGAAGAAGCGGATCATGGGTCTCATGCTATGTTTTACCATTCGCTTGCGATGTTTCTCTTTGTATGTTGTTCCTTATTCCGTGTCCAACGAAAAGAAGGGGAAAGAAAGCTAACTTTTTTTGTTTTTTTTCCTTTAGGGCTGGTTCATCTTCACAACGCTAGTCACGATGCTTACGCTGAAATCCACCGTCGCGTTCTTCTCGCTCTTTTTCTTCGTCGACCTTGCCCTTCTCTTGCTCTCCCTGGGATACCTTTTCAATGTGGATGGAGTGCCAAATGAAAAGTTGATAAAGGCTGGTGGACTGTTTGCTCTGCTTGGTGCCTTCTTGGCTTGGTATAATGCCTTTGCTGGTATGGCAGATAACAGTAATAGCTTTTTTGTGCCTCCTGTTGTTCATTTCCCTTGGTCTGAGAAGAAGAGGTCTGCTAGACGGAACTCGGCTGGAGAGAGTGAGGTCTAAGGCGTGTATGAAGCTATGGTATGTCGCTTATTTAGATATAGATATAGACATGATATGACAATAGCTATATGAATTTACTTCTCTTTTAGTATATGTGTTAGAACAGCATGTTTGTATCTTGCGTTTATCCTTCTAGACACTGACGTCGACTTCACAAGGCTGTTCTACGGAGATATATAATTGTGGGATATAAAACATACATTGAATTACCACACTCTGACTACTTAAACATTGTTAAGATAGAACCATCCCTCCATAACACCTATGGGTATCTCGAATATGCCGCTAAAAGGAGCGAGAAAAAAACGGGAACATCGGATCGGATCAATCTACGCAAAACGATAATCACTATCCTCCGAAGAAGATTGACCTCCGTGAAGCCCCAGCCCAGAGATACCACCAGACCCATGATCACCAATCAATCCATTGCCATCCTCGAACTGTGACCCAACAGAGTCATCCTCAGTTTCCGGCACACTGCCAATAGCAGAGCTGACCAGCTTACTCGTCTGCGCATGTTGCGCAAGACCAGTCTTCGGTCGACCCCTTGGAGCGGACGAAGACGAAGGCGAAGTCTTAAAGGGCCGACCACTAGAAGAAGGAATCTGAGCCTGGCGCCGGAGAGCGTGACTGACTTCACCGTGGGACATTTTGATAATCGCCTGCCATTTGCGCGGGTCTTCGCGCTGCGCTGCGGTAAGACCGCATTCCACACCGTTGATCTCTGTCAGTCCGAGTGTTTCAACCCGGCAGTCGCCCCAGAACCACGTGTTGTTCCCGGGCATGCGTGTATCGACTTGTGATGAATACTGACGACCTTCCATGACGCTGGATACGTCGTAACCCAGGGTGTGGGTGCCGAACATAAGCTCTGCCGCGAGCGGTTCGTAGCAGCGACCAACGATCCAGTGCGGGGAGATGTTGCAGGTTCTGCCGTTGGCCATACGGTACCAGGGACCGTAGTCGCTCATGCTGACCTGGCGGAAGGTAGTGGTTGCTTCTTCCGTGGTGAGTGGGACCGGGCCGGTTGCGGCCCCGGTGGTGGATGGTACGGGGTTTCGACCTTTGAATGGTCCTTCTTGGGTAATGCGATTGGGGTTGGTGGTGTACACCTTACCAGTGATCAGGGCTGTGAAGTGTTTTGCCAGCTGCTCCTCGTCGTCGTCAATACACTCTGAAAGGCAGAGTGCGATCTTTTCAATGACCATCACGTCTGTCACTTCGCCGACTGTTCCGTTCTTGAGCTGGTCGGGATGGAACCCATGTGGCCTTAGACGGACGGTATCGTGTACAGCAAGGAGCTCGGCTCCTATGAAAATTCCTTTGCAGAGGATTCTGGCGCAGGGCCAATTGCCGGTGACATGGAACTTGTGAACTATGCTCCAGGAAGACATAACAGTCATCGCGTTCTCAATAGATGGATGAATATCATCCCGCTCTTGGCCATTGAGGTAGAGTTGCCATGTGTTAAAAGGTTTGATATTCCGCAATGGAACATAGGCGTATTGGACAGAGTAAGACTTGTCGTTTCCCAGGGGATCTGGGAGGGTCTCTACACGGAATCCCGAGTGACTTAGGCCGCGCGGGCTGTCTGGGTCTTCAATAATGTTCACCATATGAACTTCGTCCTCCGGGGTTTGGGTCACCACACCGGCGCGCCAATCAGGCACGCCATGCCACTGGTTATCATTACCGAAAATTTCAACAAGGCCAGTTTTGGGGTTTCGCATCAAACAGCCATCTTCTAGACCCTGCCAGATCCAGAGAACAAGCTCACCACGACGAGGGACGTAGGCAGGATCCAGAACAAGTTTCACGAAGTAGTCTGAAAGCCATTCGTGTGTTAAGACCCAGTCAAGATTGAAACGCTGCTCAATATCTTCATCGAGGCTCCCCTTATCTTTCAATTTCATAACTAAGATCCGCCAGTAATCTGGCCCCTCTGCATCGGTGGGTCGACGCTCATTATTGGTCACTTAATGTGTCAATAAACAATCTAACATAGAGGCATGATAAGACTCACTTGTATTCACATCACGTTTAGCCCGTTGCACCGCGGTCCCCTGTGATACGGGCCCCTGGCTCGGCTTTCCTCTACCACAGAGCTTGCATCCACACTTGTCCAGCTCGTTCTTGACTATAGACAAGAAATGAGGAAAGAAAGTTTTCTGTGATTGAAAGTACTTTCCGCTTGGATGGCCAAATAGAAAACTGTCATACTTAACATAGGATTGTTAGTTGCAAATCAAGATGGGAACACTGGGAAAGCTCACCATATCAGGATTGGTGCCACGTGGTCGCGCCAATAGACAGTATCCCTCAGGCAACTTCTCAATGGTATGAACGACGCCTGATGTATGCTCTGTCAGTTCGAGAGCAGATGAAGGGTATAAACAGAGAAGGAAGGATGGAACAGGCCAGTATAAAGCAGAAAAAGTGAACGAGTAAACAACAGTTGGATACAGTGACAGATGCAGTCACCACAATAAATGCGACGTGCAAAACAGCGCGATGTAACAAATCCAGCATACTAAGCAAACCGTGAAAATAAAACCCGTAATCAACTCACCCTCTTCGTAAGTGCCCATCTCTTTGAGCCAGTTCTCGGCAAGTAACTCCCGCCAGCGAATGTCGGGGCGTTCAAAGTAGTGACCTCCAGATGGCCAGGTATTCATGTCTCCATCGCTGACAAAGTTATCCATTGGGATAATATTGACATTAGGGTCATCATCCTCGCTGCTAGAAGACATGTTTATCTTCCCCGCCTGGGAAGCCCAGGGAATGTAGATTATATTGGTACAGAGCTAGGACCCACCAATGCTGAATAAAAAAAAAGATAGAAAAAGGATCCAGCACAAGAATCCGTCTAAAGACAGCGAATAGAGGGTTTGTATGAGAACGCAGGTTGAAGAAGAGTAGTTGATAGGATGAACTATGGGGACCCACGGTTTTCTTCGCGCTGGGCTTATCGATAAGAAATGCTGCTGCTTTAAGAGGGCGGTGAACAAAAGGGAAAGCCTCGCTTGCCGCTTTAATTCAAGTCAACAACACAACTAAACCGAGAAATATCTATATTATGCATAGGGAGATGGATTTATTGAATATCATTTAACATTCCAAGATTGTAGACCTATAAAATTGTCCATACTGACTGTACACATTCAATTGGCAGTTGCTTCAACTAGAGCCTCGGAGCCAGAGTGCTCTTCTTCTTGATAAGGCGGTGGTGCAACTTCACCACTATTGGCCCACACTTTCTGAAGTTCCTGATCAATTTCCTCGCGGCGCTGCTTCCACTCATCCACCTTATCCAGACGCTTGCGCAGCTCCTGAAGTTCTTTCTCAACGCCAAGCTTCTCCTTCTCAGTACCGATTCTCTCGAATTCCCAGACCTCGCCTTCGGCACCCAGGCCAAGAGTTAGGTTATAGGTATGGTACTTCTTCAAAGACGCCCGCGTCGAAATGGTGATTAGTGTGATACCTCGCTCCTTGGCATTATCGTATAGCAAACCCTCGACGTCCGAGGAAACAGCCGAAGTGCCTTCGTCCATGAACGCATATCGCGGCTCATGGTAGAAGAGCCTTGCCATGCCCATGCGCTGTTTCTCACCACCGCTCAGAACGTCTTTCCACTCCTTGCGAGCGTCCCAGCCGCCTTCACGTTGTGGCAGATAACCAAGATGGGCGTCGTCGAGGATCTTCTGTAGAGCTGCGTCTGTCTCGCCAGCTTCGCGCATATCAACCTCCGTGTGCGGGTAGATTACTTGGTCACGCAGGGTGCCGACACTGAGATACGGCCGCTGAGGGAGGAACATGATGCCGTCGAGGCCAAAGCCTCGAGGACGACTAACGAGCCCGCGGTAGACGGGCCAGAGCCCGGCCACAATACGGGGGATTGCAGACTTGCCTACACCGTTTGGACCAGAGATGAGGAGGTGGTCGCCTGAATGGACGATGAATGAGAGCGACTCGATGAGTTCGTCGCCGCCCATTGGGTGGAGGGATGGTGCGACGATCGGGACCTGTTCTAGACGGACACCGTCGAAGCCGTTGTGGGTGGTGCCCTGGGAATCGGCAAGAGAGTACAGTTCGGGATGGGAGCCCCGTGGGGTGTAATACGCATCGGCGTGGACACGGTGCAAAGTTGCAATGAGGCCATAGACGCGCGAGGTGTAGCCTGCCAGCTCAGAGATATCCTTAATGCTGTACATCATGCGACCTCCAGCATCGGCGAGCGAAAGCATGAGGCGTTTGTTAGTGATGAACTCCTTCATGCGGCCACGCTCACGACCCATGCCCTCGGGTGAATCTGCCAACTCCATCGCACCACCCGAGCCACCCCAGGCGGGGAGGAATATGGGCAGGGAAGTTATCAAGTAGCCAAATGCTGACCAGGAGTACTTTAGGATCATGTCTTCAAGCATGTTGTAGCGGATCTTGAGACTGTAAATTCCCTCCATCCATCGCTGCAGCTCCTTGAAGCTTCTGGCCAGGAACACTCGCTCGGTATCAGCTCCACCATAGAACGAGATCTCTTCGGCATTGGCTAGAAGTCGAGAGTGCAGGCCACGAAAATCGCCTTCCTTCTTGCCCTCTACTGCCTTAAGCTTTCCAAATGGTGGTGAGAGTTTCCGGAGCACTACGGCTGTGCTGAAGTACCCAGCCAAAATGCCGCTCAGGGCAAGGGGACCAAGTGAGCGATAAAGTTGATAGTTGAATACGAAAAGATCCACCAACGGCTTTCCCATTGAGGAGTATAGTGATGCGGCAGCTGTGCAGAACAGGGTAAGGTCCTGCGTGATAAACTGGTCGGGCCCTTGGCCGATTCCACCGTCCAAATTCATCAACTTATAGTAATTGTTATTGTCGGTTAGATAGAGATCGTGGATATACCGGGTCAACCGAGTGCGGAAGGCGATGGACACCTTCGATTGGAGGAATTTGATCATCGCATTGGTATATGAGGCAAGGGTTCCGATTCCACACCACTTGAGGATACCCCAAAGGAAAGCCTTTCCTTTCCCAGCGACCAGATCCCTCACAATCTCACCATCAAGCCGTGCGATCAACAGTGAAAGATATGTTCTCACCAAGAGAAAAAGGCCATGGCTCATCAGCAATCCGGTCTCTTTGCTTCCCCATCTTGGGACCATGATACTACCCAAGCTTAAGAACTGATGCAGGAATGCCAAATTCAGACCCGGTTTGGTTGTAGGGGGAGGAATCTGGCTTGCCGAGCCGTCCTGTCCGCTACGAGCCGATGCTGGGGGGTTGAGGAATAGTCGTCGATGAGCGTCAAAGGTAGTCGGTTTAGTGGGATGGATTAAGACCTTGGAGGTTAGGGAGTCCTTGTATGGCACGTAGATAGTACGAGAACCGTCTTTACCCCGGATACCAGAGTTCCGGCGTAATAGACGGCGACCCTGGGCTCGCTCCTTAGCTCTCCCTCGGAACCACTTGTAGCCTCCATAACCGGAGCTGATGATGGAGAAAAGAAGGGCTATCGTTGCAATCAAGCGGGTGGTTTTGGACGTGCGGTGAAACTTGGAGCGTACGAGATCGGAGTAATGACGATATAATGCCAGGAGGGGATCCTCCGGACGCCGAAGGGTTGACTGGACGGCCATCTTCAAATGGCCTGAGACCTCCGACTCACGAGGTAACTGAGGGGTGGTACCCTAGACTCAACCGAAGGCCATGAGGTTAATTTCGAGTGTGTTTGCAAACCATAAATGCATTTCAAGACAAGAAAGTGAAGTTGACATGAAATATTTGGGCAGGTTGCATCATTGCATGTGAACCTCGGATATGCGGAGAAGCACCTCACGTGGGGAAGCTGACTGTACGTACTTCTTCTCCAGGGCTGCCCAGCCCTCTCTCTCCTAGTGATCTTCCAATGAACTGAGATTTTGGAAAAATGGACTTGGATAATTATAGAAATGGGGGAACCCCGACTTTTTAGCCCTGGGGATATTCCCATGGATTTCAATCTCTAATCTTTATGGAGTACTCCATTATTTTTCTTTGATATCCTTTGTTATTATGTTCAACTTCCCCTATATGAAACATTCCAACCCGAGTGAGCCTCGAACTCGAACCGTCACCAACAGGTATAACCCAGTTTGTAGTTTGTAGTTTACGGCTTGGGGTTTGGACTGGATCTAATTTCAGTCAAATCAAATGAAATCAATCACGTTTTCAAAGGCCATAGCTCCTCTTACTGGCCATATGAGTGGCTATTAAAGCATAAAAGTGGCCATAAAAAAGGGGCCGTACATAATACTACATAGCAATCACAGTGAATATCCACAATGAGATTCACCCCACAGGCCCTGATCGCGATCATCACAAAAGGATTCTGTTCTTTTTTTTTTCTTCACTCAGGCCCTGTGTTTGTAAGGTTGTAGGTATGGTGTAAATGGTATATAGAGTGTATAGAGTGTACGAATAAGAATCCCGCATTGAACGTGAAGGTACTTATTACCCGAGTACAGGGTACCTCTGCATATGTTGTAGGGTGATAGCAAGTCGGTATTTACCGTAGCCGCTGAGGGCTTGTAGTAGCGTGTGAAAGAGACCCTCCCATGTGCCTTGCTAGCCTTGTTAGCCCTGTTTAGCGTCAAAAAGAAAAGGGAAAAAGGGAAAAAAAGGGAAAAAAAGGAAATAAAATCCCATTTCCTCGCCCCATTTTCCCTCACCGTTCACGTGACATACCCCCGACTCCTCTTGACTCCTCTCCCCCCGAAAATCCTCCTTTAAGACAGTAGAAGATATCACATCCCTTTTTCTGTTCGTTTAGCTTGTTGTTTTCGAGAAAAGTGTAATAGTGGGTGTTGGATCACTCCCCCGGGGCCAAAGGCGGTACGTGCGAACTTTCCCAGAACGCTTGCCTATTGTCTAGGAGGCGTGTTAACGTCCCCTATTAGCCGCGCTCTCGACCTTGGAGAGTTCAGGCATTGACTCGGCCTTTCAGACCTGGGATCTGTTTCGCTTCCCTTCCTTATTCTATATTTATTTTGTGTTGGGCCACCTGACACCGCAGCCACCATACGATGAGTGGAGAGAGCACTGCGCGAGATTCAGCTCCGGAATCCGCAAACAAAGCACCTATGAATACCCCCCGGCCTTCCGGGCTCGGCCAGTAAGTGAATGCGCTTGTGGATTTTGACCTGTTGTACCCAAGGGGAATATGATTGCTGACATCGTTCCTTCCATAGTTCCTGAGCCCGGGCAGGGTAGTGGTACCGATGCGACCGACATCCAGGATGCAACCTCTGTCGCACCTTCCGACCTGGCTTCGTCTTCCACTGGACCAGCGCAGAGTACACCGGTCGCTGCTGAAGGCACCACTGCACCGAAGAAACGCCATTTGTTGATTCCGATCCCATCACGACGATCCTCGAGAACAAACAAACAACAGGGGTCGGAGAAGTCTGAGGAGGTGGCGCAAGATGAGCCTTCTCGACGGAGTTCTAAAGTGAGCATCCTGCGGTCAAAACGGGATCACAGCCGGGCAAGCAGTCGCCGGTCCCGCCAGGTTCAGAACGGAGTGAATGTGGAGGAGAGTAAAGAGGCGGCGACCATGCCCGAGGACAGTCCCTCAAAGCCTCAACAGAAAAAAAGTCCGTCTAAATTCCTGGCTTTCTTAGGCTGTTGCTCCTCTTCCGAAGTTGATGCGGATGACACTGCTCTGCCTGCAAAGAAAACAACCATGCGGCCACCTGCTTCCAACAGGTTGCCTACTCCAGACAAGGCAGAGGCTCCTACTGGTGACTCAAGCACTGTAGAATCGGGGGAGCCATACTTAGATGAAAAGGCACACTCCACAGTCAGCGCGGATCAGCCTGGCGAAGAAGACCGCAATGTCAAGCCTGCCACGGCCAGCGTGCAAGCCGATGGTCCTTCTGCGGATGCAAAACCTGCGGATGGCAAACCTGTGGATGCCAAACAGCCAGAAGTCTCAGGCCAAAAAGATGAGATTAATGAGGTTGCCCCGCATGATCAAACGGGAATTGTGACGGGATCAGTACCTGAAGTGAACGCAGACGCAAACACTCAGGATTGGGAGGGGCAATCAACCTCGACCACCGAGGACCCTACTTCTGCATCAACGGCAACCATCCCGAAAGATTTTGGCACTGACGGCCAAGAAGAAGTCACGTCTCACCAAGAAATGAAGCATCCCGTCGTTATTCCTCCGCCACCACCACCGCTGCCACCTGCACCCCCCGGCTCCTCCTGCTCGAGGTTATGAGGACGCAGCGCATCCTTTGCTCCCTGCGCCGTTGCCCCACTTAAGTGGCCGAAAGTGCTTGGTTCTCGACCTCGATGAGACACTGGTTCACAGCAGCTTCAAGGTAAGTCTTCCTGGCTTTCAAAATGCGCCCAAAGCGTATAAGCATATTATTGGATCATCTCACTCACTATTGATTTAATAGGTTTTGGAGCGTGCCGACTTCACCATTCCAGTTGAGATCGAAGGTCAATATCACAACATCTATGTAATCAAACGTCCCGGTGTGGATGCATTCATGAAGCGTGTTGGTGAGCTTTACGAAGTGGTGGTATTCACTGCCTCAGTTTCAAAGGTCAGTTGATAGTTGATGGTTTTTAGTGACATAAACTGACTCGAGTTGTAGTATGGTGACCCTTTGCTCGACCAACTGGATATCCACAACGTGGTTCATCACCGTCTATTCCGAGAGAGTTGTTATAACCACCAGGGGAACTACGTCAAGGTGAGCTCGTTTGTCCTCTTTACTCATCGAGAAAAACCTAACCATTATCCAGGATCTTTCACAAGTCGGTCGAGACTTGAAGGAAACCATCATCATTGATAATTCCCCCACATCCTACATCTTCCACCCCGAGCACGCGATTCCCATCAGCAGCTGGTTCTCTGACGCTCATGACAATGAGTTGCTCGATCTCATCCCTGTTCTCGAGGATCTCGCAGGGGCCCAAGTCCAAGATGTCAGCATGGTCCTGGACGTCACCCTGTAGATGCCTCGATGGGATCCTTCTTACACCTGAGATATCCATTTTGAGCGAATTGTTTTCTTTTCTACGCGAGAAAAGCCCTTTCCTTTTGCGTTCCTCCAGCATTGCTGCCATTGATGGGCAGTCGCCCTATTTCCTACTACAGATTCGATTCCCCTTCTCGACGACCGAACATGGACCCAGATGGAACTGGTATCCTGCTGGGCCAAGGCCCCGTCCCCCTGCATTTGTTGTCGTTCTTGGATAGCACATTACCCCATCTTCGACCTTCTGCATTGCAATTTGACTTTGTATCTCACTACGCTCCGAGCGAGCCCATTCCCCATTATTTCTTTTTCTTTTTCTTCCCCTGTGCTTTACCAACACCCCCTCATGTCCTGATCTTCCCTTTTTTGTGTATTCTCTCCCTATCCCCCCACCCAACAAGTCCGCTTTTTATGCATTCTGCAGGCGTCCCTTGGTTATCATGCCCCCCCCGCTGTATCCCCCCTATGTTATTTCTTTTCTCATTTCTGCCTTGCTACATGGCCTTGCTGCCTTGATCTCAGCTCACCAATACACGAGCATGCATTTCATTATGTTCTCTCCTTTGCTGAGACCTCTGCCTGGCAGTGGTCTGCATCTCCTTCATAACGAGCAGTGTCTAATAATTTCCTTTATGCTGCCCAATTTGGAGATTCTTTCATGCAAATGTACATGATCAGTCACGGCTCTCGATGCTGTATATATAGCCCCCGGGACGACGGATCCAGAAAACAAAATGGAGCCAGTTGTATTAGAGTAGAAATGACTTTTAACCATTAATTGTTATTCGTCTACAATCTATATCTCAAGTAAAATAAATAAGTCAATCCATATGTCCCTAGATAAATAGGTTGAAGTGCTTCGGGGTCATTCCGCATTGAGGCCGCATTAAGACGATGATGTAGTCAACCAGTTGATCTCCTCAGCATTCCCGAAACCCAAGGTCTCAGTTCCTAACTCTCAGTGCAACCTCTTTATATCTTCTTTATTGCCGTTTTGTTCTTTCGAACCCATCTCTGTGGATTTCCTTTTTGTTCTAAAATCCCCGATTGGCGATCGTCTCCCGATAAAAACGCCAAAAGCTCCCCGCAATCGCGATTCCCACCGCCCACCTCCGAACATCCCACATCTCTCACGCTGGCTGAAATCATGAAGAACAAGGAGGGCTGGGACGGCAAAATGAGAATGGAGCCAAAGGCCGTCATTACAAACCCGGAGGCGTTGGAGGATTCAGATTACTCGGATCCGGATGCACCCACGGTCGAGGAGATTGAGGCTGATGAAGGTACGGTCGCTGGATGATTGATTGCTCAAGGCTGGGCGGTTCCTGGCGAATCGATATACTAACGGCTGTTCAGATCTATTGGCAGACGAAGATGTTAATGCAGAGGTAGGCAGCCCTGGACTCTTCGCTGCTCGACGCGCGCGCGACGTGATTGCTAATCCTTCTTCTGCTGTAGGATATCGACCTCGTGCACTGCCGGATATCGTCGATTTCTGCTCTTAAATTGGAACGCTTCCCTAAACTTCAGGTACATACCCTCAACGACCCTGGAATCCGCATGTGTCTGGTAATGGAGAGGGGCATATGGTACCACTTTTTCCTCAAAAGCACAAAAGCGCAACGGCGCGGCATTTCTTTCGGTCCACTCAGGTGGCTAACGCGCTGGGATATACAGAGACTATGTATGCGCCAAAATCAAATATCACGCATCAACTTCCCTCCAAATGTCGCCGCCAGTCTGACCGAACTCGATCTCTACGATAACCTCATCTCCCACATCAAGGGCTTGGAGGAGTTCCATAACTTGACCAGCTTGGATCTGAGCTTCAACAAGATCAAACATATCAAGAATATCTCGCATTTGAAGAAGTTGACCGAGATTTTCTTTGTGCAGAACAAAATCTCCCGGATCGAGGGTTTGGAGGAATTGACCGGAATCAAGAACTTGGAGTTGGGCGCGAATAAGATTCGGGTTCGTACTATATGATACCCGCATACAAAGTGAACAATGGAAAAGCTGACACAGGGTCTGTTCAGGACATCGAAAACTTGGAGACACTGACCGCGTTGGAAGAACTCTGGCTTGGGAAAAACAAGATCGTCGAAATGAAGGTCGGCGATTGTCACCCAACATACCCGAACAAGTAAAGAAGCTGACGCCATCACAGAACTTGGATAGCCTATCGAACCTCCGCATCATCTCCATCCAATCCAACCGCCTCACCAAAATCACGGGTCTCTCCGCGCTCCCAAAGCTCGAAGAGCTCTACCTCTCTCACAATGCAGTAACCGACCTCTCAGGACTGGAATCTAACGAGACACTGCGCGTGCTCGATTTCTCCAACAACCAGGTCTCTCATCTTGAACATCTTTCTTCACTAAAGAACCTCGAGGAACTGTGGGGGTCGAATAATCAGCTTGCTAGCTTTGAGGAAGTTGAGCGCGAGCTCAAGGATAAGGAGAAGCTCGAGACTGTTTACTTCGAGGGTAACCCGTTGCAATTGAATGGGCCAGCGGTTTATCGGAATAAGGTGCGCTTGGCGTTGCCGAATATTAAACAGATTGATGCTAGTAAGTCTCTCGTTTCCCTCTCTGTCTCTCTCTTGTAGTACACATATTGTTTCGGATATAGTGCTAATGTGATACTCCACTCTACAGCTTTTGTCCGAGTTTGAGGGAATGAGGGCAATGCCTTAATGTCTTTTTTATACTCTGTCTACTTGACTAATGGCTCTGGCGTCTTGCGTTCTATGGTCAAGTGTAGGCGGATTGATTTATTTACACATAGAATATGAGGACCTATGGAATTGATGTCGAAAGGACTGCTTCTGAAGCTGGCCATGGCCAGCTTTTTGATTCGCAACCTGTTGACCCTGGAACCACAACATATCTAGAATCAAAGTCATATAAGTAGGGCTCTTCCACCCATATAGATTTATCTGCACCTCAGTATGGGATATACATCTGTAAGAGAGAGACAAAGAAGATACTGAATAGGTGGTGATAGCACTAAAGCTAGAATCTCCTATATTGACTGAATGCAGCCCGAATTGAAATCTCACTCTGGGATTCAACATATCTATGGGTTATATACTCCGTAAGGAAATGGGTGATAAAGGCACCACACTGCATCTGTGCCGCTAATCCCGATTCCGTAGGAGTCTAGGGTTTTTAGGGTGTAAGAATGGGCGTAGGCAAGAAGTAATGTATGCAGGTGAATAGGTAGGTAGGTAGATATGAGAGCTTACACGTGCGAAGAGAACCAGGGGTAGTGTAACCCTACCCGATGAATATGATTGATGTCAATTACAAGAAGGGACACTAATGCATATACAAAGAGAAAGCACAAAGAGAAAGCACAAAGAGAAAGCACAAAGAGAAAGCACAAAGAGAAAGCACAAAGAGAAAGCATAAAGAACTTGGTATCAACAACCATGATTTTCCATGATAGCTCTAAAAGAAGGATCTCGCAGAAGCTGAGTTGCGGTCAGACGCTTCGCCGGGTTGTAAGTGAATACACGAGACATAATGGAAAGCACATGGCTTCGCTCCATTGGGTCGGCGTCGGGACGAAAATTTGCAATTCTTGACTCAAGAGTCCATGTGGGATCGGGAGTTTGGTTTTGGTCATACCAGTCATCACGGCCTCCAGGGTGAGTATATAGACCCTTCCACTCCTCGGGCAGAGGACCTAAAGACATCACGAAACCACCAATAATTCCACCATTGAAAACAGGAGAAAAAGGCAAGTGGCCAAGGTAAAGTTCCGAAAAGGGGATCATGTAACTCCATATGTCGCAGGCAGGACTGGGGTCCTTTCTATGCAGGCGGTCCGGGGAGCAATATTGCAATGGTGGATAGCCACGTGGAGTCACGGGGTGACTTTCTTCGCCAGACCAAAGTCACCGAGATGGAATTTCTTTGTGTGTAAGCTTGGGGGGATTTTAACAGGTCCAACGAGCTCTCCTTGCTTCCAGAGATTGTCCACTGGTATCATTTGCTTCAATGGCCGACCCAGTGCCTCGTATTTAGCACTCCTAGGCAGATGGTCGAGGGGTTCTATTCCCCACATACAATTTCTCTCATTCAAATCTGTTGAATAAACGTTAGCATATAGGCGAATAGAGGAAAGAATAGGATACTAGTGTTACTCACCACGGTGGACAATTCCAGCCTCGTGTAAATTCTCCAACGCCTCTAGCAATTGCCGAGCTGCGGACATGCGAGTAGTCATAGACATTTTTATCACGTCCGGACCGTAAAGACATGGGCCTATCAAGGGAAATACTTGAACCGTATGGTGACATCCATCTCCCGGAAGTAGAAAGGTTTCCAGATACGTCACAAAATGAGAGGCATCACGTATATTCCGAACGATTTCGTCCTGTAGGCGGATTTCCTTTTCACCTGATTCTCCAACGAACATAATCTTAAGGGCAACGTCTCTGTTATTTTGGCGGTCATGGGCCATCCAGACAGTCGAGAAACCGCCGGATCCAAGCTTATGCTCTACCAGGTATCTCTCATTGATCAGGTCTCCGAGGCGGATGGGATAGAAGACATCTAGGGTGTTATTTCTATCATATTTGTCCTAGGGCTCGACAACCTCTTCTAGGTCCATTTCCTCGTCTTCATTGCGCACAAAGTCGCCGAAGTCTTCTTTACCATCTTGGTTGCAGTATTGAGTTGTTGCTGTCATTTCGCATACCTGACATGCCACTATCCTTTGTAAGTGATTTCTTCAGTCTCCCTGTTTATTTCAATGGACATTGACCTTTGACTTTAGCGCTGATCTCCCTGCCCCTCGTGATCCGTCTGCCTCTCACACCTCCGAGAATCGTTTCTAGCCGCCCAGTTCTATCCACTTTTGCATCCCCGCCCGTCTGGGCGTAGAAGTTCTTCGTGACGTGATATGAGATGATCTAGATCGTTCGGAAACCTATGATCCGATTGATCTAGTTTCAAACCCCTCGCCGAGCGATGATTTTTGGCATGGTGGTCGAGCCATAAGCGCCGATGTGATGCTGTGATATAGTATGCAGGTGCCAGGTCGTTTCAGCTCGATCACGATTGGACAAGGACTTCAAACTTCCACCCATCAGAAAAATACCTTGAACTCACCGATCTCTCATCATGGGCAAAACCAAAGTCCGACTAGAAGATCTCCCGTTGGAAAAAAGACTCAGAGTCACTCTGTACAATATAGATGACTGCAATGCCGCAACTCGCGGCCAAAAGATTCCTGGTGCTCTCGGATTAAAAGTCCAACGCTTCGCTGTTATCCGTGGCATTCGACACCACGATGGTTTCGCCCACGAGCTACGCGGCGTCGCACCGGAGTTCACTCGTGCACTCAATGCGCGTGCAATTATGAGCGGAGTGATCCCAGAGATCAATGACTCCTCTGAGATACCCTATTGCATCTGGTATCCGGAACCTCCATCCCAGGAGACCCTTCGCAATTTGGTAAAGCGTTATACCAACATGATTTATCACGCTGCTCGCTCCTGTGCCGTGGCGGGATATTTTGATCTTTACTCGGAGCTTCAGGTTCTTCCCGAGGTTCATGTTGCTGCCGAGGCTCGCGACGCTAGCCTAGCAAGAAAGAACAAAGGCAGCGAGGCAATATACGAGCAAATAATGTCGAATCATTTGAAATTTGAAATAATGAATGATTATGATCGATCTGTCAATCTTGAAAACCCTCGTCCGGCACATCTGAATGGAGACACGGCGGTTTTTTCCGATCTCACTGCACGGATGCTTCATGCAGGAGTGGATAACAGCAGCAAACATTCCGTCAGTCTTGTTGATTACATCGAGTGGGATTCGAAAGAGTACAATACGTATAACCACTTCAACATCACTGAGGATATGGGAATCGACGATCATAGTTGCGGTGCGCCTGAGCCTTTGGCCAGCTTTTGGCCACTTCTGTATTCGCCTCTGCCGTCAGACCTTCCACCAGTTAATAAAGACAACCTGATTCTATCGGCTGCATATAGAGGCGACGTGGATCGATATGTACGCCTACGACGCCCACAGATGATCGAACAAGAATTCCACGCTATCATTTTGGGGATATACCACCACCCCCTTTGGGCGCGATGGTGGAGCACACAGGTGCCAGAGGTCCCCGATAAAAGTGAGCACGTATCCCTAAGACGCGCAATCAATGCTCGACGCATCATCAGCGACGATATTACTTGTATCACACCAAGTACCCCGGAATCGCTGGTACCACGCAGAATCTGGTGGCCTAGTGTTGCTTCTCCAGTGACCTACGTGCGTCTCGCGCAGAAAAGGCCTGATATGCTCGAGTCTTGTCTACGAGCATGTATTGTCGCTGATTACGAAGATGCGTGGGATGAAATTCTGACTGGGTCATCCGACGGCCCGATTGATTCCAAAGTCACTCGACTTTCCGAAGTCGTCAGATCGCAGATATATGCCGAGGCTAAAGATTCTTCCAATCCGCATTACCTCGACGACATAAATTTGCTTGGAACTGCCAGGGTGCAGAAGCTTGAAGCCGATATGTACTACTTGGATGACATGCGTACTGCGAGATGGATGTATTCCCCGCGCTCGACTGCCCAGAGAGTTGTAATCAAAAACAAGCCCTTCGCGTTAACAACGGGGGAGAGGGGATCGGATGGAATTCCAAGAGAACCGAGTAATCTGGGATTCACAACTTTTGGCATGGATGCAATTGGCTTGGATAGTAACACATGGGAGCAGGAAAGTTTCATTGATGTCGAAGATATGCACAACATCCTTGATGCCAGACACGTTTCAACATAGCATCTATAGCCGACTTCAAATCGCAGTTTAGTTCCATCCACATTGGTTGGGTCATAGTTGGTTCGAAGTGCTAGGCTGATTATCAAGTGACTTTCAGCAGTACGGGTCATATCAATCCGCTTTCGAGCAAGAAAAACGTCACTAAATAGAGGCCGACTGGTGTCAGGATGTGCTCCAATCGCCCTATCACGCTTGTAAATCTGTAAATCGTACTGGACTATTCAACATACTTTAAAACTCTTTTAAAGAGATTAGACACATCGTAGATATCGTGGGCGACTTAAAAAAATAATCTCATCGGCCTTATTGGTAGGGACGTAGTCCTTTAAAATTTAAGCATCTGCTCTTTTCGACAATCACACTCGATTTACTCTTTGTCAGGGTCTAGTCCCCATCATTCAACATGGTTCTGCTTTCTTTAATGATTACACTCAATTGGCACTATCAATCTTTCAAACATATAGGAACGCATCGAGCACGGGGAGTAAGTCGTGGACCCTTCCATTTCTACAAAAGCCATAAACATAAATGCACTTATAAAATAGCCTTAGGCCGCCTTGGCTACCCGATACCGTTGTGTGATGGTGTCGGACAAGTCCACAAAGGAAGCACTGCCCATAAGCTCTGGCAGACTCAGACTCGCTTTCATTTCACGCACAATCCAATTGCGGATCTCACCGGCCACCAAAGAGTCAACCCCATAGGTGCTAGGGGGCTTCGAGGGTACAATATCATCTGGGTGCAAGGACAAGACCGAGATAAACTTGCCCACAACGGCTTCGTAAATTATGGATTGATCATCCTCAAGAGACTGGCTCTTAGACAACAACTGGCCTAGGGGGATAATCGGCTTTTCATCGATGTTGTCGGTGCCCTGCTCTGCCGTAAGACGGGGGTGCCGGCAATGAACGAATCGACTATCCGAAAACCAGAAAGGAACATGCGAGGAGGGCGGGAGCAAGCAGGTATAGCATTCGGCATCCCAACTGGGATCATATTGTCCACTGATCACCGTATCCAGAATGTCATTGATGTCCATATCGGTGAGACCCTCTTCACCCCAGTTTTTGTCAATCACTTGCTGTCGACTGCTCTGCTCGGCAATGTATCCAACTTTGGTCACTGGGCCTAAGTCGACGGAGACAGCAGGAAGGCCTTGAGAATTTCGCATTCGTGCCAGTGAGCCCAAGTAGGTTGTGGCGGCACCGTAGGCAGAATGGCTTGGGGGCCCAATGGTACCAGTAATGGATGAGATGATGATGAAGAACCTAAGACTCCGGGGATCACTGAAATACTGATGTAGATTCCATGCACCCTGAACCTTGGGGCTGACCACTGCGCAATAATCGTCATAGGGCATGTTCTCAAATAACATGGTCTAGAGGACGGGGGTCAGTATATGGCGAGTCTTATGGGAGGAAAATTCATATTTACTCACTTTCAGCACCATGGCGCTGTGGATGACACCTCGGATAGGCGGAAGAATCTTTGCACTCTCCTGGATAACATTTTCCAGGCTAGCGGAATCTGCAACGTCACCTTGGAACACCGCCAGTCGTACACCTTTCAGTTGCATCTCCGACTCTAGCTCGCGCACTCTTTGCGATTGTAACCCACTGCGAGTCATAATGATGATGTTCTTGGCACCTCTGCGGCTCATCCACCGAACGATACTTCGTCCAATGCCACCACCACCACCCACGACAAGGTAGGACTCATCGGGTGTGAACAAGGGCATACTTGCCTCATCAATGGCCACCTGTTGTAGTAAATCAGTATTTGGTTATTTACACCTCACAAGGGAAAGAGCCTCTTACCGATACTGGTCCTGGCAATGAGAGGTCGACGACTAGCTTCCCGATGGAATTGCCCTCGCTGAGATGCCTGAAAGCATCCTCCATCGCCCCAATGTGGTAGCACTTGGGCGACATCGCCGACTTTATCACCCCAGTAGCGTACCAATCAATCCCTCGGATCAAAATATCTTGCAACAGATGAGGTTTGTCCTTCATCAAGGCCTCCAGGTTTATCGAAAAGAAGGAGGCACCTCTGTTAAACGGTCTCATCGAAAGACGGTTGTCATTCAAGATATCCGTGAGGGCAAGATTCACAAATCTCCCATAGGGGCCTAGGCACTTCCACGACACATCTAGTGCTTCATTGGACCGAGTGTTCACAACAACATCATAGCCCCTCCCTGCCGTCCGGTCCATCAGATCTTCGTACGATGAGACCTGATCCCCACAGAAGATGTGGTCGAACGGAATCTGGAAATAGTCTGCGATTGCTTCCTTCTTCTCGGCAGAACCGACCGTCGCATAGACCTCGGCACCAAGATACTGAGCAATTCTCACGGCCATCTGACCGACACCTCCTGCAGCCTGGTGAATGAGAATTGTCTCGCCTCGCTCGAGGTGACCAACCGTTACTACAGAGTAGTAGGCTGTGACAAATGCCATAGGAATGGCGGCTGCAGTTGTGTATGTCATTGAATCGGGAATTTTGACTACCTGGACCGAGGGGCAGCGCACAATGGATGCATATGTACCTCGTGTTAAAGCACACACACGATCGCCAACAGCCAGGTCATTGACACCGAGACCGATAGCTGTGATCACGCCGCTGCATTCGTAGCCAAGGTCCCCGATAACCTTGCCATTGCTGATTAAGGCGTCTTGGAAGCTGATCCCACTTGCCTTGACTTCGATTTCAACATCCAGGTCATTGATGGCCGGTCGTGATAGTCCATTATTGACAAAGGTGAGACTTTTCGACGTCCCCGGTGCTTGTACCTGCATCTTAAGTAAATGTCCACTGTCCCAACCGGGTTGAGACCTCGGTGCAAATTGCTCCCGTGTGTCAGTGATTAACTGGTTCATTCCAGTATCCGGCTTG